GTTGAAGCTATCGTCCGGATGTATATGTATAATTTTTAATTCGACATTCTCGTCCGGACGATAGCTTCAGCTACCCACATATGTTAATTTTTCTAAGGCAGAGCTGGTGCATTGTTGCGCTATGTTCTGATGAAAATGCCGGAGGAGTAGACTATATGGCGGAGCCCGAATTCTCGAAGGTTTTTTAAGATAAAAATAATTTCGGCATCTCACATAGGATGTTGTCGTTCTGAAAGCGGTCCCATGTTTTGCTAATCGACAGTGTCGATTTGCATCAAAGCCGTGGGAGTGAATGCTACATAGAGGTCGAGTCCGGCGTATTTGCCGAGCACATGCCCATTAAGGAGAATGAACTCCTTGGATGTATCACGTTTGACTTTCACGTGAAATGACTGCGCGCCTGCATGGCATTAGCTTGCGTTGGTGTTCATCCTCATGTATGACACGATAGGACGATGAAATTGGTAAAGGGTCACAAGGTACAAGCTGCAGATGCACAGGGTCCAGTGACGTCAAATGCTGTGCGATAATAGGTGGCCCAGTTTTTCTCTGGCACCACCGCGGCGGTACTGTGAGATATCGTTTCCTCGTGCATGGCTTGCGATACATACACCGTACGAGATGTCAGAGTGAAGGATAAAACATTTCTGCTGAATAACTGCAGTGCGCGATCTACACATGCTTCTGCTATAGACTGTATACCTCCTTTAAAGACCCATACTGTTAATGAGCTGCAGCAATGATATGGGCACCTCGAGTCATGACCCTGGCCGCCACATCAGCCCCAGCCACCTTCCTGAAGAATTGGCAAGCATGATTGTAGGAATCTTGCACATGACAGAAACCACGCCTCATTATGAAACGGGACTCACCGGCCTCAGTGAAAGTGTAGACCTACATCTGTAGTGAATATATATTTTCCACTGTCCGTGGGGACCTTTCCACTCACATGGCTCCAATGTGAATGGTAATGGGTCTACGATAGTGCGTCCAAACTGGACAGATTGATACCGAAAGTAGGATAACGGCGGTATCTAGTTCCAATTCAGGTTGTATGCCGCCCATAAACGGCTATGTCATCTGCCTTGGTGTCGGAGCGTGGGGAAATATCGGTGAGCATGCAACTATCTCGTTAGCGGTTTACGGCAATGCAGCCACTTGCATCCGCGTGCCAAGTCTGCAGTAGAGCCCAACCAACATCTTCCAAGGGACAACCCCCAAACTCTAATGTTGCAATTGCTGTCAAGGGCTTGCCTTGCAGTTATCAGCAAGTAGAAGGCCGAGGCTCGGCTCTACTGCGTCATTGCATCGGTCACACTTGCCCAAGCTTACGCATTGCCACGTCCTTCGGCACCTACTCTGCGCCGTCATATCCTATCCCTTCTTCTCGTTCTCTCATGAATTACTGCCCAGTCGTTCTCTTTTACTCATTGATGCTTCGGTTCTTGTATTCTATTTCCTGTGCTTTAGTTGCATCACTTGCGCTCACGTCACAAGAGATACCCCACCATCAAAGCTCCCAGCTCGGCAGTAAGCACTCGGGACAAGCTATGATACGCGACCACGGCCGAAATCACCATCATAATTCACCTTCGCAACGCAACAGCAATCGTGGAGCAGTCATGAGTTGGGACATCCAAGACATAAATGCTTCACATTCCAAGCGGAAAGTCCTATAATAACCACCACAACTTGATAAATCGTCGTCGATGCATCCGCAAATACTGTCAACCCCTCAATGGACTGTATTAAAAAGCAATTCGAAACTCTGGGTATCAACCACCAGAGCGACATAACCGCAGAAGAACAACGCCACCCAAACAACAAACACGAGCGTGACGACCGTCACCATAATCTCTTCCTCAACGGTAAGCCCGAAGGAAGAAGCAAGTTTCAGCACCGTGATCTCCGTCACGGCGAATACCATCATCTCTGTCACCCTCATCGGAACCCTCACCGCTACCGCCGTAGCCAACTTCCTAACGACACGGAGATGGCTCCCGAGGAAGGAAACTCCCCATCGCACCCTCACCACCAGCGTCGCCCGCCCCAGAAGAACCATCGCTATAGCGGGAGCAAAGTTGACAGCGAGCAATACTACCACAACCCCTTCTATTACCGCACTCACCGTAACCGCGCCAATCACCTCAAAAACGGCGGCGACACCTCCGGCGGCTTCTCTTTCAATCACGAGGCACTCGACAATTCCGAAATCCTCTACGAGAATATAGACGATCCCATGGTCTCGGACTCGGATATTCCTCAGTTCCACATCCCTCGGCGAAAAGACAAGAAGAAAGAGGAGGACAATTATCCCTTGTACCACCAGACGTACCTGCACCCCCACCACCGCGACCCCCCACGCGGCCGCGATAGACGACCGCGCCCCAACACGAACAACCCCTGGCCACACCCCGTGCCACCACCACCGCTAGTGCCGCAAACTGCTGCCCTATCCTCATCAACGACCTCGAGTCAACAGAAGCTCAGCAGAAGAAAGGAGCCAGTCACGAGACGCTTCTCTGCTACAACATCAACAGGGTCACCTCACCTCCCCCGCAGCCGACAGATTCCGCTGCACTATGTGCCTGGTCACGAGCCACCCAATAGCGAACTCGATACGACGACATCTTCGCCGCCCCCACCACCACCACAAGGCCGTCGACGCCGACTTTCGCCGCCGCTATTTCCCCTGCCCGCCCCCACGACGACTGTGGATGGCGGATCGGTGCTGATGGCGGGCAGGGGCGAGAAGAGGTCGGCCGGGGTGAAGAGGGGCGACAGGAGGGACTACAACGACAAGATCAGGGACCAGACCTCTGGCGGCCCGCTCGCGTCAGACTCTCCTTCTCCGATCCGTTCCTTCGTGCCTGATGGTTACGAAGAAGGCGCGAGTGATGAACTTCTTCCGCCCGAACCGACGGAGATCAACGGAACAGAGTTGTCGTTGTCGGTGCGGAAGAGGAACGGCGCCGACAGTGGAGGGGGGGATGGGAGTCTGATCTACGACGGTGGCAGCGGGGGGTATGATGAAGAGGGCTATGAGGGATATGGGTATGAGTACGTCGGGCCGAACTATGATGGCGAAGAGGTGATTGTGGTGGGCGGGCGCGGAAAGGGGCATGAGGAGCTTTGGAGTCCAGGGTGGGAGGTCAGCAGTGTCCGTACTTTCAGCGACGGCGGCGGCGGTAAGAGGGACAACGACGAAGAGGGTACGAGTGAACTCATTGGGGGCGGTAGTGGGCGCGGGCGTGGGTTCTTCGATTACGCAAGGGCGAGGGCCAGGAGGAAGGGGGAGAGAGTAAGGGGAGCGACGGGTCATCAAGTCTCTGGTTTGGGCGACGATGATGGTGAGTCTTACCACTTTGGACGAGGTGGATTCGAGACCGCCGGCCGCGGCGGTGGATGGGAGACCGAGCCAGAGCAATATCTATTCGACGATGAAGATTTTGGCGGAGGTGTTCCAAGGGGGTGGTTGCCAGGACGAATCGAGCGTGTCGATTATGAGCATGGCGAGGATGAACGTGCGAGAGACAAGCGCAAGTATCGCCGCAAGAAGCACAGCGACAGCAATCGCACCTCGACCCCGCCAGCACTTCCAAATGGTCCGGCTCCGCCTAGCATTGCGGGCCCTTTGAGCACTATTCGTGCGCCGCGCACACCTTCAGAGGTTGCAGGGTGTGCACTAGGTACAGCAGCGGTGGGGTTGTGCGCGACAGGTGTAAAGAAGGTGGTGTCGCAGGCGATAAAGTGGGAAGTAGAAAAACAGGTACAGGAAAGGTTATGGGAAGAGAGGATGGAAAGGAGAAGGAGAAGAGCTAGGAAGAGGGAGGAGAAGGAAAAGAAGTGGAGAGAGAGGGACCGGCTGGAACGGGAAGCAATTGTTGCCGGCAGAGCAAGTGGCAGGCCAGGATTTGCGAGAAGGTTGAGCGACAAAGTTCCTCAACGGTTCAAGAGAGCCATGAGTGGCCCCAGTGGCCCCAGTGATCTCAGTAAGGCAAACGAGAGAGGAGACAAAGATTGGCCATTCAGGGATGATGCGGTCGAAATGGAGAGCAGCGACCCGATCGGAGAAGGTTTCCGTGTCGAGGATGAAGGGCTCAGTCCAAAACTGAGGAGAGGCTGGAGAAGAGGCTGGAGTCGGAGTCGTACCCCTGAACCGAGAAGACCATTTCCCCGATGGTCTAGGCCACCAGAAGAGCCGTGGAGACGAGGCGGAGGGAGTGGCTTTCATGATTCACCCCGTTGACACCCTTCCGGGACATGTACAATAGTCGAGTTCTGTAAAGGTAGGATTGGTTCAGTTCGTGACTGACAACCTTGGGCAGTTGAAGATATCGTCCGGACTTTAATGTATAATTAATAATTGTACACGAACGTCCGGACGACAGCTTCCACTTCCCGCATGAGCAATCATTTCTTCAATACCTATTGATGATATCATCACTGTCTACATAATAATTTCTTCTAAAACCTACATGATGTCAGCATGCGAATGCTAAAGTGAATTGGTTTTCTGTGTATCACATGCTTGATAAGTCAAGATCCGTTCCTGTAATGATCATTTTTTCTAATATACCCTTCGGCGGGCACAATCAACCCCTCTTCTAAAGCGCTGCTGTTCTTTGCGCTAGCTTCTAGCTCTAATTTGGCGAGGGGGAATATCAAGACGCAATCATTTGATTACACACCAGTTACCTTTCGGTAAATAGTCGTTGAGAGGGTTATGATCCACGCAGAACGCCGGTTAATACTTGCTCATTCACAAATCTGTTATTGTACAATCTAAGGTGGGGTAGTAGCGGATATCCGCTCCGCAGTCTCCTCAAGAGGTAGCTTCTTGCGTGGTCTCTTCAGATCCTCAGCAGTGACTCCATTGCCAACCTTGGTGATACCCATGACGGGCGGATCACCCTTCTTGACGAACTCGTATTGACCTAGAATCGTGTTAGTGGCAACTCTACTACCGCGTTGCGGGCTACGTCGTACCTGGAAGCTTGGTTCCCGCCAACCTGAACGCATCTCTCACAACCTGCTCGTGGATTTCGCCCTTCAATTCAAACAGAATTTTGCTAATCGCCACTCTGCTGGCCCAATGGTCGAAGCTACCCTTTCCCTTACCCATACGCGACTCATTACCGGAAGTGTAAACGCCAATGTTCGCCGAGATGCGCATGTACAGGCGGAACTTCATACCACGCAAGCGCTTGCGAATAGTATCCTCAGCAATCTTGAGATGCTTGGCGGAGATGCGGCGATCGTGGTCTTTGAGGCGCAGGCCGTAGTCTCCCCAGACGACGGTGGTGCCGCGCATGGAGCCGCCGGTGGGCACGCGCGGTCGGCCCTTGCGGTCCTTCTTGTTGTGGCCAGACCGGGGAAGCAGCCAGTCGAGACGCGGACTGGTGGTGCTAAACGGCCGCGATGCAAGGGCTGGGCCTAGGATCGCGGAGGGCGCCACGGGTGGGCGTGCGGCGGTGGTGCGGACATGTTGGAGGACTGCGAGATTGGCATTAGCGGCGGGGGAGGCGCCGGACGCGGGGTGCAGTACGGCATTGGGGTCTCGCGGGGGCGGCAGCGAGGCCTCGTCGCAATTGGGCCCCAAAGTTAGGGCATAATCTGGGGGAAGGCATGGCGGATGCACCCGTGTAAGCGCGGAGGTGTCGAGCGAGCTACGGCTTCACGATTTCCAAGGCGCTCGGGCCACTGGGCGGAGAAACGTCTCGGAGCTGCGGCGCCTGGAAGTGCCAAGGGTGGCGCCTTGACGCGCCGGCGCGACATCATCCATTCACGCGTCGACGTGCCGCTCTGCTTGTCTGCCTGCCCGCCTGCCTGGAGGCGTTCTGCGACCGCAACACACCACCTCTCTGCGACAAGCTGCAATTCATGAATTGAACCTTTGTCGCCATCCGTCGCAGATATGCCGGCTGATATCAGGAGCTTTTTTGGCGGCAAGCCTGCTGCGCAGCCTGCAAAAGAGGAGGTGCGTCGCTCTTTCCTGAACTGCTACAGCTCCATCGCCCGCCTTCCCAAATCCCCGCGCCCTCGCAATGCCGCCACATTCAATCGAACAAACCAATCTTGACCGCGGTCAACTTCTGCTATGAAGTAATAACATCTCCGAAAATTCATACTCACTCACCACTCACAGGCAAAGCCCGCCGCCAAGAAGAGAGGCAGGCCAGCGCGCAAGGTCGTGGAGGACTCGGACGACGAAGACGAGCCGTGCGTCAGAACATTCCGCATTTACTACTTCGCGCATGCTGACATAGTTGTAGTCCCAAGAAAGCAACGCCCAAGAAGGCGGCTCCGAAGAAGCAAGCGTTGGTGTTGATGTCCATTCCACATGATCAGAGACTAATCTGGAACCAGCAAACGTGAGCCAACTCCCGAGGGCAAAGCCACTACAGCCTCGGCCTACTTCGGCGACAAGAAACCCGCTCGCTCCGCTCCCAGCAAGACTTCTAAACCTGCCCCGAAGACCGAAACGCCCAAGTCCTCTCCTAAAAAAGCCATGGCCACTGGCAAGACCGCTGCCACTCCTACCCGTACCTCCGCCAGAAAGACGAAGCCTGCTACGTACGTCGAAGTCAAAGATGAGGACGAGGATTTCCTGGACGGTGATGACGACGGAGACGACATTTTCACGGCTGCTTTCAAGAAGAAGGGCAAGCAGGCGGATGACTACGACGAGGGCTCTGACGATGAGCCCGTGGCATTGCCACAGCGGCAAGTCGGTGGGAAGGGGCAGAAGAAGCTCAAGGACGAGGATGAATTTGAGCCTGAAGCAGATGTCGACATGAAGGACGCCAACCCCGAGGATGACTTTGTGGTCCCTGATGATGATGAAGAGGTTATTAGCAGTAAGCCGGCGAAGAAGGCCAAACCAGCTGCCAAGGCGGGCAGGAAGCGCAAGTCAGCCGAGACGGATGATGAGCTTGAGGAAGAACCACCTAAGAAAGCCCGCGGTCGCTCTTCAACGAAGGCATCCCCAGCAAAGAAGAAAGCGAAGAAGGACGAGCCGGAGAATGCTGCCATGCAAGAGCTTCTGGACAGCATCCCTACTGTGCGGCCTCCATCTCCGCCGAAGGACGGACAAACTAAGAAGTTCGACTTCAAGAACGCTCATGCAAACTCTGGACCAGCGCCTCAAGCCGGTTCCGTCGACATACCCGATGGACAGCCGAACTGCCTCGCAGGGTTGACCTTTGTCTTCACTGGTTTGCTCCAGTACCTTGATCGCGAAGCCGGACAACAATTAGTCAAGCGCTACGGCGGGAAAGTCACGACTGGACCGAGCAGCAAGACCAGCTATGTGGTCCTTGGAAGCGATGCTGGTCCCAGCAAGCTTCAGAAAATCAAGCAGTTCAACCTCAAGACCATCAACGAAGAGGGCCTATTTGCTCTTATCAAGAAAATGCCCGCTAATGGAGGCGACAGCAAGGCGGCGGCAGCCTATGAACAGAAGCAGGCAGCCGAAGAGAAGAAGATCAAGGAGATGGCTGAAGAAATGGAGAAGGAAGATCGGCGCCGTGGCGGTGCTGGCGGTGCTGGAGGCGGCAAGGCTGCTGTTGGTGCGGCAGGTTCTCAAGCACCTGGATCTCAATCATCGAGCTCACAACCTGCCCATGACAATCGTCTGTGGACTGTCAAGTATGCGCCTACCCAGTTGACCCAGATTTGTGGAAATAAGGGCCAAGTGGAGAAACTTCAGCGATGGCTGCGCAACTTCCCCAAGTGCCAGAAGAAGAACTTTAAGATGGGAGGCCCCGATGGAAGCGGCCTTTTCAGGGCTGTGATGATCCATGGCCCACCAGGAATCGGCAAGACAACTGCAGCACACCTCGTCGCCAAACTCGAAGGGTACGATGTCGTTGAGAGCAACGCCAGTGATACCCGGAGTAAGAGGCTTGTACAAGATGGCTTGCAAGGTGTTCTCGAGACAACGTCGCTACTTGGATACTTCGCAGGTGAAGGAAAGAAGGTCGAAGAATCGAAGAAGAAGCTGGTGCTCATCATGGACGAAGTTGATGGCATGTCTGCTGGCGACCGAGGTGGAGTTGGAGCACTCGCCGCTGTCTGCAAAAAGACTGAAATCCCTATGATCCTCATCTGCAACGACCGCCGTCAGCCGAAGATGAAGCCATTCGACTACGTGACCTTCGATCTGGGGTTCAAACGTCCAACGACGGATCAAATCAGATCGAGAATCATGACCATTGCATACCGAGAGGGTCTCAAGATGCCCAAGAACGTTGTCGATGCTTTGATTGAGGGAACCAATGCGGATATTCGACAAGTCGTCAACATGGTCTCTACTGCAAAGCTCGACGAGGAAGCCATGGATTTCGACAAGAGCAAGCAAATGTCTAAGGCGTGGGAAAAGCACATCATCCTAAAGCCCTGGGATATTGTTGGCAAGATTCTCCAAGGCCATATGTTCTCGGAGAGCAGCAAGCACACGTTGAACGACAAGACCGAGCTTTATTTCAACGACCACGAACTGAGCTACCTCATGCTCCAGGAAAACTACCTTGGGACCAACCCTATGCGTGCTGGAAACTACCAGGGCAAGGAGCGCAACTTGAAGCTACTAGAACTGGTAGACAATGCCGCGGAGAGCATTAGCGATGGAGACTTGGTTGACAGAATGATCCATGGATCTCAGCAGCAGTGGAGCCTTATGCCAACTCACGCTGTCTTCAGTTTTGTTCGACCCGCGAGCTTTGTTGCTGGCAGTATGGCCGGCTTCAAGACCAACTTCCCGCAGTGGTTGGGTAAGAACAGCTCGCAAGGGAAACTCACGCGTATGGTCAAGGAGATCCAGGGCCACATGCGTTTGCGCTCATCCGGTGATCGTCATGAGATTCGTCAACAATACATTCCTGTTCTTTGGAAAGAGCTTGTCAAGAAACTCGAGATGGAAGGCAAGGAGGCCGTACCTGAAGTCATCGAACTCATGGACAGCTACTTCCTCACCAAGGAAGACTTCGATGCAATCCTGGAACTGGGCGTAGGTCCTATGGACATGGAGAAGATCAATATTCCGGCACAGACAAAGGCAACCTTCACAAGGACGTAAGCATCATCATTGACAGCAAACAGAGACTGAAAGAATGGCAAGCTGACATGGACGTCTTTACACAGGTACAACCAGCAATCCCATCCTATTCCCTTCATGAAGGCTTCTTCTGTCGTCGCGCCCAAGAAGGCCGCCAAGGAAAAGCCTGATCTGGAAGAGGCAATCGAAGAGTCGGACGAGGGTGAGGTGGTGGATGATCCGGATACAAAGAAGGACGACGATGAGGAAGGCGATATCACCAAGGACAAGTACATCAAGCAGCCGAAGAAGAAGGCCGCGCCGAAGAAGAAAGCGGCGAAGAAATCGGCGGCGGCAGGTGGCGATGATGAGGAAGAGGAGAAGCCGAAGAAGGGCAAGGGCAAGGGAAAGGCGAAGAAATAAGCGCAGCCACTTTACGTGAAGGAAGGGTGGAGTATGACCAAGGAAAAGTATAGCTTCGTGGTGTGTGGGCTCAGTCGGGTTGTAGAATCAGGATGTTTCTTCCCTTTTCTCTCTCTCTTTCTCTTATCCTGCATCGAGTGGAGGGGAACTATTTTCGAGCGGACAAAAAGTAGCCAGGGGCATCGACTGGCTGAAAGGTATCCACCTTTTCTTCGGTATTCTTCGTTATGCATTCAAGAGAGTTGAAGGGATTATGCAAGGGACAGATACATGGGAGTATTGGATTTCTGGCAGGGAATCCAGGGGGGTTAAAATGGGTTACAGTAACAAAAAGTGCATGAATTGAAATTGCAAAGTTATGTTACGTCGTTGGTTTGTGAAGGATTGTCTTGTGGTATTTGTTGTTTCATCAGAAATTTCTAATCCTACATGGGTAGTTGAATTAATGCTCGGATGCACTTGTATAATGTCTGAAATTTGGGTTCAACTACCTATGTAGGCAGTGGTTATTGGATTTCTGCTAAGGAACGACTCTACGATTGGGAAAGCAAAGAAAAGAATTGTCAGTATCTATTCATCCCGTCTCTGATTTTCTTTCTCCAAACACACAAAACTTCTGGGAAGTAAAAAAAACGAGAAAACCAAAAGAACATGCAAGGAAAGAGTAAAGCAAATAACAAGCAGCCCAAAGCTCACTGGGTCACGCGTCACCCTCTCTATCTCTCTTTACCCGCCGTCACAACCCGCCCTCCCTCTCCCAAACCATCCGTCCGGACATCCACGTCTGCAGCACCTCGCCCTCCTCGCTCAGCACAACCAGGTCGGCCCTATTCCCTTCCTTCAACACGCCCACCCCGCCTCCCTCCAACGAGTCGGGCGTATCCACGCCCATCAGCCCGGCCACGTTCTCCGTCACGGTGCGCACCGCCTCCGGCAGCGTGCACCCGGTCCACGCGACGAGGTTGCGGACGGCCTCGGCGAGGGTGCCGCAGCCGCCGATGAGGGTTTCGTTGCTCGCGTCGTCATCAATAGCGGCAGTAGTGGAGCCGTTCGCGGCGATGACGGCTTTGGGCGAGGGATACGGCTCGCCCGTGACCGGGTCGTGCGTGACTTTGCGCTGGGCGGACGAGATCTGGGCGTGGCCCGGGTAGGTGCCGGCGGGGATGGCGGGCGAGGCGAGCTCGATGCTGTCGGAGACGAGGATGGCGCGGGAGGGGTTTGCGCGGTAGAGGAGGGAGACGGTGGAGGGGTGGAGGTGGTGGCCGTCGGCGATGAGGGTGTAGTAGGGGGGCTGGGGCTGAGGTTGGGCAGCGCCGCCGTTCTTCGTGGGCGGTGGTGGGAGGGAGATCAGGCCGGCGAGACCGGGTTGGCGGGAGTGCAGCGGTGTCATGGCGTTGAGGGTGTGCGTCAGGCAGGTGGCGCCGGCACCGAGGGCGGCGAGACCATCGGCGTAGGTGGCGGTCGTGTGGCCGAGGGAGACGCGGATTGAGTGGTTGGTGGTGAGAGTGTTGATGAGGCTGGTGCTTGAGGGGAGCTCGGGTGCGAGCGTGGCGAGCTTGACGGATCGGAGGCCAGTGGCGCCATAGATGGTGGTTGGGGAGGGCGTCGTTGAGGGGGTGTGGAAGAGGGATGCGTTGTGTGCACCGGCTTTGGAAGGATGGAGGTAGGGTCCCTCAGCATGAGCGCCATGAAGATAGGCACTACTGGGAGAGAGATATCGGGGCTGAAGAGATGGGAGGATCTGTGCGAATGTGAGATTTCTGTAGATCGGGCTTATTGCTGTCGAAGGACATTGAGAAAGAAGACAGATATCCATCTGATTCAAAGAAAGATCGCAATGAAAAACCGAAGTGTAAAGGAGCTCCATCGGCGAGGATTGCAAGTTTGAAAAGTTGATATAATCTAATAGGAAATTACCGTGAGAGAAGAAAAGAAACAACTCATGGGTAGTTGAAGCTATCGTCCGGACGTATATGTAGAATTTTTAATTCGACATTCTCATCCGGACGATAGCTTCAACTACCTATGATATGTGCGAAATAAAATCAATGCTAGCCTTCGGATGAAATACCCCTCCGTATCAGGCTAGCGTGAACAAGGCTCTAGGCGTAACTATTCCCCGCCTTCTCTTTCATCAAAGAAAAACAACATATGCGGGTAGTTGAAGCTATCGTCCGGACGAAAATGTCGAATTAAAAATTATACATCCGCGTCCGGATGATAGCTTCAGCTACCCATGACATGAAAAATAAATTCATGGTAACCTTCGGCTGTGACAGATAGATTGCTCAACTCGATACAAAAAAAAAAAAAGAAAGCAATGACCGACCTTCTGGAAAGTATCAGGAGACACAGTGGGAATTGTAGCCCAAAAACCGGTTACGCCCTGCGAGACATAGTGCTCGGCTGTCTCTTTCAGCTTTTGATCGTATTGGCGCTCGTCATCAAAGTGAGTGAAATGAAAGCCGTTAACGCCGTTTGTGTGCAGCTCGAGAAAGCCAGGGGCGACAATGTTACCCTCCAGATCCACGATCTCTCCGCCGATGTAGCCGGTGCGCTTGAGGATGCGGCCGGTCTCTTCGGAGATGACGAGGTGATCGTCGACGATCTCACCACCCAGGCAGTAGCTGCCGTTGGTGAAGAGGGTGAACTGGTTGTCAGACATTGCTTGCGATCTACTTGCCGACCTGGCTGTGGTGGAGGGAGGTCAGCGGCGGGGCGCTGGGCGGGGTCTGGCAATCCTGGCGGCGATCGTCGGAACCCCAACCCGGATCGCTGCAGCTCACTCAGACGTCTGACCTGCAAAAAGCTAGCAAGTGCACTGCCAGAACCTCTTCCGGCTATGGCGGCGTCTAGTTCGGGGTGCGTAGCCTGTTTGGAGCTGCAGTGACACGCTCTGGCTTGGCCAAAGCACCTGCGATTGACGTGAGAATGGCAGCCACATGATGTCATCGCTGTGGCTTCCCGCGCGAAACACGCTGGGTGCTGCTGCCAGACCTTCCTTGCTTGCGTCAACATCCTGCTTGTCCAGGCTAGATTATTTCTTCCCAGCCGCCGTCGCCCTGCAATTGACCCTGCTGCCGCCCCGACACTGCCGCGCAAAGGCGAAAGCAGTCCTTTGACCTGCTCCCTCCCTTTCAACCACCACCTGCGACCGCTCCCTTAGCCACCATGGCTGAACAGCAGCAGCAGCATGCCCCGGGCGGGCACTACTCTGGCGCCAATCCCGTTCCCACGGTCAAGAAGTTCCTCGAAAGCCTGGACAAAGACAAGCAAGAGCGCGACAAGGCTATCGAACAGCAGGGCCAACAACCGCAAACTGTCACGGCTCACAAGCAACACCCCCGTGGTATCAAGGGCACTCAGAAGGAAGTCACCGATCCCACGACCGGTCGCCAGGTCGTCATCGAAGATGTCAATCGGGATGTCATGAAAGAGGTTGACAACCCGAAGGTCAGCACCCACGCAACCCTAGCTTTGTGCAATCTAGTTCTGACGCGCAGCAGCTCTCAGTTCCAAACGCGAACTTGGGCAAGGATACAGTATGCCTCCCCGCACATGTCCCGCTATCTCGCTGACACCAGCACAGCCGATCAAGACGGATGCCTCTCAATCCAATCCCGAGTACAAATACAACCAAGATGTTACTGCACCCCCTGATCCGGTTGAGGAGGGCACCACCTCCGACGTTCCTATCCACGGCGAGAAGACAAACATTCTGTTCCATCCCACCCCCTCTGTCAGCTATGAGCCCTACTTTGAGGCTATGGAGAAACGCACCACTGGCCTGTGTGCCGGAATATTCGCCGCTATCATAGTCGTTGGCAGGATCTTCGGCGGCCATATGCTGGGCCTGACTGCTCTTGGTTTCTGCGTGTCCTCGGGTGTTTTTCTGTGGATGAAGGAAGTCATTCGCAGCGGACGCGAGGTTGAATGGGAGAGCGAGAAGAACCGCGGCCAGACGGTAGGCATCTTCCCGCAATATAACCATACGTTATCTGACTTTGCGGCAGGCATCTGCAAATCTGCTTCCCGAATCAGTTGAATGGATGAATACCTTCCTTGGAATTGTCTGGGGTTTGATCAATCCTGACATGTTCCAGGGCGTAGCCGACACGCTCGAAGATGTCATGCAGGCCTCGGTACCGGGTGTTATTGAGAACGTCCGCGTTGCAGAAATCAACCAAGGAAGCAACCCTCTCCGCATTCTGAGCTTGCGCGCACTTCCGGACTCGCACATGAAGGAGGTAAAACAGGCAATCCATGAAGAGAACAAAAAGACGAAGGATCCCCAGGAAGCTGCTGCAGATGAGGAGGGCGGTGACTACTACAACCTCGAGTGTTCCTTTGCCTACCATGCGAAGCCGTCTGGCCAGCGTGCGTCAGACAAGGCCCGGAACATGCACATGCAACTCGTCTTCTATCTGGGGATCAAAGGCCTGTTCGGAGTTCCGCTACCCATCTTCGTGGAGCTCCAGGGCCTTGTTGGCACCGTCCGTCTGCGTCTCAACTTGACTCCGGAACCGCCCTTCCTGAAGACCCTTACTTTCACTCTGATGGGAGTTCCCCAGGTCCAGGCAGGATGTATTCCCATGCTCGAGAAAGGCGTCAACATCTTGAACCTTCCCCTGATCTCCAACTTTGTCAACTATGCTATTAGCGCTGCGGCAAGTATGTACGTCGCGCCCAAGTCTATGTCCATTGATATGCGGGCTATTCTCCAGGGTGACGATATCCAGAAGGATGTTCAAGCCCTTGGAGTCATGTGGATCCGCATCCACCGTGCTATTGGCCTCAGCAAACAGGATAAGCGTGGCAGCAAGCATGGTGGCAGTGATCCTTACATCACCCTGTCGTTCTCCAAGTATGGCAAGCCTATGTACTGCACTCGGGTCATTACGGACGACTTGAACCCAATCTGGGAAGAGACTACAGCGTAAGTTATTTTCTCCTTTAAGAAAGATGTCACAGGACTGATAGGACATAGCCTTCTTGTAACGCCCGAGTTGATCAAGGCGGATGAGAATCTGAGCGTCGAGCTTTGGGACTCTGACCGCCATAGCGCCGATGATATTGTTGGCAAGGTCGAACTCTCGATGCAAAAGATGATTCAGCATCCTGGAAAGATGTACCCTCAGGTCAGCAAGCTCGCTGGTATGGATGCCGACAGCACCATGCCAGGGGAACTCCATTGGGAGGTTGGTTACTTCAGCAAGCCTAAGTTCAGGCCCGAGCTCCGCACCGATGGCAAGAACAACGCTCTCGTCGATGAGCTCAAGGACAAGCCTGAACTGCAAGACGAGAAGGGCGTTACAAACACCGCCGAGGATGATGCAGTCCAGCACACTCCTCCCGATCCTCTCTGGCCCAGCGGTGTCTGCAGTATTGTCGTTCATCAAATTGTGAATCTGGAGCTCGAAAACGTCAAAGGAACGCAGGGCAGCCGAAATGGCCGAGAGTTTGAGCCAGCCAAACCTTATGGTGAAACCACGGAGCAGGAAGGAAAGAACCTTCCCACCAGCTACTGCACGATCCTCTACAATGATGAGTTGGTCTACCGTACCCGTGCCAAGGCTGTTAGCTCTCAGCCAATTTTCAACGCCGGTACCGAGCGGTTCATGCGCGATTGGAGGTCTGGAATTGTCACTGTTACTGTCCGCGACTCCCGCAACCGAGAACACGATCCGATTCTGGGTGTTGTGCCGCTCAAACTCACCGACATCCTGGAGACTAGCTCCCAAGTCACACGCTGGTACCCACTCGATGGCGGCATTGGCTTCGGTCGCATTCGAATTTCTTTGCTCTGGCGCAGCATCGAAACCCGTCTCCCTCCCCAGCTCCTTGGATGGGACGTAGGCACTTTCGAATTCTCGTCCGATCGCATTATAGCAGTCAACTACAACCACCATGCTAAGCTTCGTCTGCGTACTGGTGGATCCACTGCAAAGATTCCTCGCACTGAGGCACACGCATTGGAAGAAGGTGATGGTATGTACTGGGATCTAACCAAGAAAGAGGGTAAGAACGATGTGCGGCTTCCCGTGAAGTATCGCTACCGCTCCCCTATCGTCTTCGAGTTCCACCTTAGCGGCAAGCGCAAGGCCGCTGCCTATGCCGTCATCTGGCTCCAACATTTCATCGACAATGAGGAGATGCCCGTCAACGTCCCCATCTGGACATGCTCTCACCCAGCCCGTCTTACCCAGAACTACATCACCGAGGAGAACTGTAAGGGCGAAGCGGGTCTTGAGGATCTTCAGGAAGTCGGTCGCCTACAGTTTACGGGCAGGTTCAAGGCTGGCACAGATGAGAGCCACGAGGCCTTTATCATGGACAACGACTCACGCGAGACGTTTGAGACCTGGGAGGCGTGCATGGCCGAGGGTGTGCGCCAGCGCCGCGTTGACAAGGAACTGCCAGACCGCATCAAGCAGCTACACGACAACTCGCTCACATCGGGCCGCGACGTGCTTAAGGGTGCGCCCGAGGAGGAGAAGGTGAAGTGGCTCACAAGAGACGGCACCGACTGGTCCGGCGCCTTCGGCGAGGACCCCAAGGCCTACATGGACGCTTCTGGGCGCAAGCGTCGCGAGCCTGGCCGAGACGCCCCGCTGCACGACCCGCATCACCCTAGCTCGGACGAGGACCATGAGAGCGACCTCGACCGGGATGACCAGGGGGACTCGAGCTCAGACGACTTAGGCATCCAGGACGCAGACAACATGGACGGCGCCGCCTCTAGCTCCGCCGGTGGCCGCAAGTCGACCTCGGGCGAGACGGCAACCACGGAAGGCACCACAGGAACAGGCAACACGTCTTCTTCCGGTTACACTCAGGACAGCAGTGGCAGCGGTCTGTCAAACAAAGACATCAACAAGCAGAACAAGCGCACCGAGGCGCGCAAGCAGCGCGGCATGATGCAATGGAAGCCCGCGCGTAACGCCAAATTTGCCAAAGACGAGGGCATCATTGGCATGAGGAGGCTGAAGAATAGGATCACGGGCAAGATGGAGGGGAGGAAGCCCGGTGTTGAGACTGAGACGGGAACTTGATGCAACTACTCGGTTCTTTGTCTTGCGCTTTTTCGAGCATGCTGATTACGTTCATGGTTATGACGTTGGTCTTCTTCCTTTGATGTTTTTTTTTTCAAGGCTTTTTTCTCTGATTTATTACCCGCTCCAGGACGGAGCATGTATAAAGTATATGCAGGACGGGGTTAATCATTCATGACTTAATGCAACAATAACTTTTAACTTTATGGTTGTTTTTTTTTTTTTTTTTTTTAGAAAAGATACTGCGTGAGCTAATTTTAAACATAAAGAGGGCCCCAGAACACAATTCACGTTAGCCTTTTGGAAGAATCAGATTTCTATACATGAGATCTTCATTCTGCTTTTCTTTGCGAAACACCGCTCTATTCTGAAACGCCTACCAATGTCTCATATCTGGCTTATTGAACACTCAACCAAACTCGCCCAACAAAGCAAGGGACACATCACATCACGACTCGCAAATTGCAGAACGAAAACGAAGCTGGAGAAGTGTATAACGCGCAGAAAGAAGAATAAAAACACCCTCTGCTATGCATTGTCCAAAAACAAAAAATGCAGATAAATGAGCTAGCCATAAGCCCGTTTATCACTAAACCTACCTAAGGGGACAAGGGGGAGACCAAGTGGGGAAGAAGAGCAAAGGACTCCACCTCCCCGCGACCCTAGTAAGGAAGCAAAAGCAGGAAATCCAAATCCATTTGTCCCAAGAAAAAGACCCAGTAACTCCATCAGGATATTGTCCTTCTTTCCTTCTTCCCTCCGCCAATTTCCTCCCCCTCGTTCCGCTACTGCTTCTGTAATGGAAAGTTTTCATGTGTGTCGCTGCTGTATACAGGGAAAGAGGACAAACCCCGCCAACCTCCAATTCCGCTTCGTAGAGAGAAAATACCAAAAAAAGGGTTGATGATGGGTCGTCGTGGCGTCAATGAGTGGAAGAGGCTGGGAATATTAAGAAGAAAGGAAATGTTGTGTGGTCGGTCCGGGTCGTGATGGTGATGATTTTTCTTTGAAAATGTGGCTAGTGCAGAGAAGTTTGTTGATGCTGGTGAAGAACAGGAGGGTTGAAGAGCAGCTTTCCTAAATTCAAGAAGTCGCGTGTGGCCAATATCCTCCACGTTCCTGATCGAACTTCCGTCGAGGGGAAAGAGGCTGCAGCTCAGGTGAATAAGAAGAGATTCATCCTGCTTCTCCGTAGCATTTGCTTGGGAAAAGAGCTTGCTCGAGCGGGAACTCTAGGGAAAGTCTCGATCATTGGTTTCCTTGCGCTGCTTCAAACCTAAAACTTTACCCGGAAAGTTGATGCGAGAATAGCGATCTTCAGCGTAACCAGGTCGGAGACGTTCACCAGCTGGTAGAGAGAACTGTGGAGAGCGATTACGAGTTGAGCATGTTTTGCACATTGCTCCACTTTTGCCGAAGTGCTTCGTGATCAGCGTTAATCTGAACGGGGGATCCTAGACGTCAGTGATCTAACTTCCTCTTTCCACGGCGACATAGAGTTGGTACTGACCTGAGCCCACTGAAGCTTCGTCTCGACAAGCTCCTTCTCCGCCTCTGCCAATTGCTCTTCAAGCGCCCTGTTCGCAGTCTGGACCTCGCTGTTCCGGCGCATAGCGACATGAAGCTGCTCATTCATACGTTCCTCGACCTCTTGACCTTGGAGATCCACCAATTTCCTCAACTCTTCAACTTGGCCCTTCAGACTCTCGTTCTCGTCTGTCAGCCGTTCATTTTCCACCTTCGTGCGAACGAGCTCGGAAGCCAGTGCGACATGCTCGGTGTCGGATTTCTCCGTCCGCTCCTCAAGAGTGCGGACCTTTGCAGTCAATGAGTGAACCGTCGCCTTCAGGCCCTCCACTTCTGCCTCACGTTCCTTCTCAATGCGCTGCTTTTCCCTCCACTCATTGGCGTAGGCTTGGAGAATCTCTGGGGTGATTTTCACGGAACATGCATCCTGAACCATCATATCAGCCCTGTAAACTTCCTTATCCACGCCACTGGTACTGCCAAAGAAGCCGGATTCCAGAAGGGAAGACTGAGTTGGGGCCTTGTCGATGTAAACGTCAAACAAGCGCTCCTTGAGGAAGGTGGTAAGTTGCGACATGTCTTTCATTCCCAGAAGAGTGTCGGCATTCTTCTGCATCAGAACGATACCGAATTTCATGATCGCGCTCTCCAAACCCTCACTTAAGATAAGGTCGTAAATGCGCAGGACAAGCTGCAGAGGGAAGCGGTAGGCGAAAAGGGTAAGGAACCACTGAGTGGCGTAGAGCTGGGGAGAGACACCGCGGCGGTGTAGATGACAGTAAAGCGCAGGTTCGAAATCCTCGAGCAAACGCTCAAACTGATACAGGTGCAGGTGGAGGCCAGGCATGTCGTGGATGAACAACTCGCGGAGACCGTACTTATTCATTAGGCGAACAAGCAAACAGAAAGCTTCTTCTTCAGGCATCTGTACCAAGGTTAGTACGTAGACATCTCGGGCCACGGAATTTCAGGCTTACGTTAAAAAGAAGGGGCATCGCAATGAAATTGACGCCCTGTGGGTATCCCACTTCCGCATCAAACAGCGCATAAGCCTTGCAAAGGTTGAAAAGTCCGTCTTGCAGGCCAGCAGCCATCAGGTACTTCGAATAACTGGTCCTGGCGCCCAAGTCACGCTTAATTTGCTTTTCCAGCCTCTGCAACGCCGCGGCATCCTCCTTTTGCTTCTTCTTTTTCTCCTCCAGCCTCTTTGCGGATACCTGAGGGTCGTGGGTGCCGTTCTGTGTCGGTGAACCCATGCCGTTCGTTCCGTTCGCGGTTCCCCCGGTCGCCGTTGTGGCAGGCGTTGAGCAATCTGAATGCTGCGATGATGCGGATGACGTGACGGATTCCTTTTTCTTGTGAACATCTTCGCTGCTGTCATTACGGGGGAGCTGCGGGACATTCGAAAGCACCTTCTCCTTGTCCGTACCACGAGCGCACAGCTCCTTATAAACAACTTCCAAGTCCTCATTCTTGCTCTGCGCAAGTACCTGCCAGACGACGCCTCTGATTGGTTGAGGAATGCCGACAGTTATAGCATGATTCAGCTCCTCCGCACTTGTTCTGGCCACAGCGGCAGGACCCTCGTATACCACGGATTGCCAAAGGTCCCAATCAACAGGCGGTGCATCTTCAACTTCTGGGCCGATGGCTGTGCCCGCGGCGGTACCGGGTGCAAGGTTGGGGTTGACAGTCGGTTGGTGCGTGGTCGAGCCAGGGCTGGAAGAGACGCGAGTCATCGGTGGAGCCTCTTCTTCCTTCTCGCCCGGGGTACTGACGCTCAAGGATCGGCCAGCCGCAACGCTATTCTTGGGGGGCACGAGGTCGACCTCGCCCTCCTCGTCAATAGCAATGCCGGCCTCTTCGCGCATGCGAGCGAACTTGAAGCGGTCCTTGAGGCTGTGGCGGCTAGATCTTGCGCTGCCACTTCCATTGCTACCATCGTGTCCGTTCTCCATGGCATCGTGATTACTGCCCACTGTTGCGACGGATGCGTTTGTTCCTCTTCGGCTTGTTTCCTTCGAGGACGGAGGTGACTTCTTCTCGCTGCTTCCTCTCGAAAGCCATGCAAATGGACTTGTGAGTGAACGCTTCGGAGGGGGAGGCGGAGCGGCAAGCTCTTGCTTCTCGGGCGGAGGTGGGGGTGGAGGGAATTGGACGGTGGGGATCTGCCCCGACAAGCCTTGCATTGAGCCGTTGGAATCGCGATCGACGATAGGCTTGGAGGGCAGCTCTGCGAGCGTCGAGTTGCGTGAATGATTTGCGGACTTCTTGCCCTCTATGTCTTTGTTAGTGAGACATTTCGTGACGTGGGTCGATCCTTCCAAAGGCCCGCGCGACTGCCTAAAGAGGGTTCTGCTGCCATTTTTGCAGCAGGTCTGAGGCCCACCCCGAAGTGGCCAACACGGCTCTGCAGCAGGATTGGAGCGGTGGCTGTTGCTTACCTTCGTCGAGGTTCACCTCGTCCATCGACTCGCTCGAAAGCACGCTGTTGGCCTTGAGGGGCGGGGACTTTGTGATGCTGGCATAGTCTTCTTTATCGCTGGTTTTGTCATCGACTTTGTTGTCGTCGGAAGCGGAGTCTTGGCCGTTGGCCTCAATGTGCGCAGCGGGCACGGCGGGCACAGGGGGGACGTCGGGCACGTCCGAGTCCCTCTTGTCGAGCGTGGTTTTCGAGTCGGTCGACGAGCGCCGACCAGTCAGCGAGCGTTCGCCGGAGAGGGAGCGCGCCATGCTTGCAGCGTCCTCGAAGTTGTCCTGGGCAAAGGAGTTGGCATCAGTGTCGAGCCCCTCCTCCCTTGCATTTTCCACGCGAGCACCTACATTCTCGTGGTCAGAGCTCCCGGTCTGGGGCCGCGATCTGTCCTCCTCCATATCTGGCTGCGCGGACGCGATTGCGGATGTGTTCCGTGGCCGGCGGGCGAGCTCCGGTGAGATATTCGTGTAGCCGAGGATTGCAGTCAAGTACGAGTAGGGCGTCCAGGGTGTGGGCTGAGGGACGGAAGCGGGTCAATGGCGAGGAAAGCACAAGGTGCGGGTCGTGAAAGGTCGTGATGACAAGTGGACGGAGGTTGAGAGAGCGGACCAGCGGCGGACGGCTGGTGTTGTCGATGTTGAGGTGGTGTCGAGGCGGCGCGCAGCTTGTTTAACCACGAAGATCCACCGTCGCCGAACGGAAGGGGAAAGCCACTTCGAGGAGCCACGGCAGCGCGGCGATCAGCGCCAAAGCGCGCGCTCTTCCAGCCTCCGCCGATCCTACTGGCGGGCCTGTTTCTTAAGGAGAGGGGGCAAACGGCACAGGAGCTGTGGACTTTTTTCCGCGCGTCCTTGCAGCTGGCAGCGCCTCCGCTCGAGCGATGCGGTCACAGCATATGTCGGCGTACCGTTGCTTTCGCGGCAGCTTCCTCGATGGCGCGAACCTTCAACATGAAACACGCACATGTGGGGAGACCCTGGCTGGCTGGCCCCCGCCGCCAAGCAGGCTCATCATTGTCACTGTCATAGAGCCTGATCGCCGGAACGACGTTGACGCGCGCGCCCACCAGTGCTTTTTTTTCTCAACGGCAGTGGGCTGCATTGCGGCACGGTTACCGGGCGCGCGCCTCGGACACCTGGCAACGCTAGTCGCCTTCCTTTCCCAGCCGCACTCGTACCATGTTTCAAAACTTGAAGAATGCATTAGTATTTTTAGCACTGCCGAGACGATAACCTGACCTATCGATTGCGAGCGTTCGACACAGCCACATGCACCTCTGACTTTCCGACCCGCCACAACTGGCACTGGCTGACCGCTACATTTCGTCAACTTAAGCAAAATAAACAAAAACAAACAATATTGTCCATCACATGAAAGCCAAAACGGTTGCCCGACTTACACGTCATAGGTTAAACCCCAGACCATGGGAGCACAGAGGGGTATTGCAGTCGCAGGCTAGCGCGAAGAACAACAGGACCGCAGAACATGGGTAGTTGAAGCTATCGTCCGGACGAGAATGTCGAATTAAAGATCATACATTCGCCGCGTCCGGATGATAGCTTCAGCTACCCACTTCTGTAGGATTATAGAGGGATATTGCAGCCGAAGGCTAGGGCGGAGAATAGCATGACCCTGGAACAGGGAATAACTACGCCCCCCTCCCCCGGGATAGATAGGTTTTCACGATATTTTTGAGGGCGTATGTGGGTAGCTGAAGCTGTCGTCGGTAGTAAATGTCGAATTACTAATTATACATTCACATCCGGACGATAGCTTCAGCTACCCATGACATGAGCAAAAGTTAAATTGACGTCAGCCTTCGGCTGCAATACCCCTCTATGTCTTGAATAGAATTCGAGCGTCAATTCTTTTGTCGCCTCAAAGAATCTACATCTTGGCAGATGTTTCAAATGCGGGCAGAGGAAGAACAATGAACAGAACAAAAAGTCTTGTTTTCTATTCTACTGCTTTTATCCGCACACCCCGCCTAAACAAAAGCGTCAACCGCCTACCCGTCCCGCAATCCCGGGTTTAGACTGAAAGAATATATTAGCCTCGTCGATCGATAACCGTCACGCGGACAGGGAACACTTACATCTCAAATCCCAGCCAATCTGGGGGCCGAGCTTGGGCAGCTCCTCGGCGACGCTCTGAACGTCCTTGTCGCCACGGCCGCTAAGGCAGATAACGATATCCTGGTCCTTCTCCATAGTCTTGGCCAGCTCGATGGCTCCGTAGATAGCGTGTGCGCTCTCCAAAGCAGGGATGATACCCTCGAGCTGCGAAATGAGGCGGAAGCCAATGAAGGCCTCGGCATCCGTAGCCGCGATGAACTTGGCTCTCTCGGAGTCCTTCCAAGACGAAAGCTCGGGTCCAACACCAGGGTAGTCGAGACCCGCGGACACGGAGTGAGTTTCGTTGATCTGACCGTGCTCATCCTGCAGAATGTACGTGCGGACACCATGCAGGACACCCTTCGTACCACCGGTCAGGGTGGCACTGTGCCTCGCAGTATCCACACCATCTCCGCCAGCCTCAACACCCAAAAGCTTAACACTGGGGTCGTTGGCGAAGGGGTAGAACATGCCGACGGCATTGCTGCCACCACCGACACAGGCAACAACCGCATCGGGGAGCTTACCGCGCTTCTCAAGCATCTGTTCCTTAGTCTCGTTGCCGATCACAGACTGGAACGTACGGACGATGGTAGGGAAGGGGTGAGGACCAATGGCAGAGCCAATGATGTAATGCGTGGAAGAGAGGTTGACCACCCAGGCGCGCAGAGCTTCGTTGACGGCATCCCGAAGAGTTCTCGAACCGGCCTCAACGGCAACAACCGAAGCACCAAGGAGCTTGATACGGAAGACATTCAGGGCTTGACGCCTGACATCCTCGGCTCCCATGTAGATGGTACACTTCATGCCAAACTTGGCGCAGACAGTCGCGGTGGCAACACCGTGCTGGCCGGCACCAGTCTCAGCAATAATCTCAGTCTTACCCAGTCTGCGGGCTACCAGGATCTGGCCGAGTGCGTTGTTGATCTTGTGGCTTCCGGTATGATTGAGATCCTCTCGCTTTAGCCAGATGTTGGCGCCTCCAGCATGTTCGGTCAAGCGCTCGGCCAAATGGAGGTGGCCTGGACGGCCCATGTAGTCGTAGTAGGACCTATATTCTTCCCAGAACTTCGGGTCGTTCTTTGCCTGGTTGAAGCCCCTCTCCAATTCCGAAAGGCAATCCATGAGCGATTCGGGTACGTACTGGCCACCGAATTCGCCGAATCTTGCCGGCAGTGCATCGGGGTTCGAGGCAGCCTCGACGTTGAGAGCCTCGATCTGGTCAGCAAGACCAGGTCCGTCAGGGACATCACTGTCCTTGATAACCTTGTCGACCTGGACACCTTCCGGCTCCCTTGCCTCACCAAGAGCCTCAACAATGCCAACCTCACGAGTAGTGCCATTCTGACCGGGCGAGCGACCGGTGATAGAGCTGCAGTATTCTTGGACCTTCTTTGCGCCCTCTCCGGGAGCAGCAGCGGCCAGGACGTTGACGATTTGGGAACCAATGACAACACCCTCGGAGAGCTTTCCGACGCTCTCGAAGTGATCCCTTGTGCTGACGCCAAAACCGACGGCGGCAGGAACGTTTCCAGAGTATTTGTGGACGCGGGCCAGGAGTTCGGGGAGAGCAGCGTTCAAGGTGCCCGTAGCGCCAGTGACGCCCATGCGAGAGACGACATAGATGAAAGAATCGGCGATCTTGCACAGCACGCGCATGCGGGCGTCCGAGGTGGCGGGAGCGATGAGAGGAATGTAGGAGAGGCTAGTTTGCAAATGAGTCAGCACAATGAACACTCTGCCGGCGAAGCATTCGCATACCCGTAGCTGGAGCAGAAGTTGCGGAAGCGAACGGCTTCCTCGGGGGGAAGATCAACAATGATGAAGCCGTTCACGCCAGCCTCCTTCGCATCCTGAAGCATCCTCTCCTCGCCATAGCTGAGAAGCGGGTTGTAGTAGCCCATGAGCATGACGGGGGCACGCAGACCGCGAGCCCTAGCATCCCGGACCATCTGGAGAACCTGCGTGGTATTGACTCCATGCTTAAGAGCAACCTGTGTGCTCCCATCAGTGACTGTTCCGTGATTTTCGAGACGGCGAGCGGCAACGTACGGTGTTGGCCTTCTGGATAGTAGGGCCATCGGCGATAGGGTCGGTGAAGGGCATGCCGAGTTCAATCACATCTGGCCAGTCGTCAGCTCGCTGTTCTTGCCGCTTGCGCCGCCGTTGACTTACCAGCACCACCAGCCTCCATAGCCAGCAGGACATCAGGAGTCTCCTGCGGCGTGGGGTAACCAGCAGTCACATAGGTGACAAGAGCGGACTGCGCAACAGTCAGACCATGCTGTTCGATACGTCAACAGAGAGAGCAGCGTACCCTCTTCTCCTTCTTGCATTGTTGGAAAGTCTTGCGGATGTGGTCGGCCATGGCGGATGGGTTCTTGCCTCAATTGGCGTACGGATCGATGTGTGAGGTCGTGAGGGGAATGCGATCCGAGGGAGAGCGAATATATAGAGGGTCGAGAGAGAGGTGGATGTCAGTGGAGTCACAGCGTCATGAGTCAACCCGCAAATGAATTTCTCGGGCGCCAGCGTGGAGGGGCGAAGAAAGCCGAACGCGGGCGCTCCGGTACCACGGTAGGCCGACCCCCGCCGGACTGCACATCGCCTGGGGATCCAGCCCTGCATCAGCTAGATTGTGTGCTTGTTATTGGACCTGCCTTCATCATCCGAAGCCACATTGAGAATTTTTCCGTAAATTTTCTTACGGGGAGTGTTGCAGCACGGCTATCGTGAATTTGTTTTTCTTGCCATGGGTAGTTGAAGCTATCATCCGGATGTAAATGTCGAATTAATTACATTCACGTCCGGATGATAGCTTCAACTACCCATACATGTTCTTTTTTCATTGTGGGATAATAGAAGAAAGAAGTGAGATATACCTACACCATGTTCTTTGCGCTAGCCATCGGCTGCAGCGCGCCTCTGTACTATGTGGCGACTCCTATACCTTCTTGACCTCGGCATAGCACATTAGGGTACGCGTAGACGTCATTGCTCTGTATACCTGGCATGGCAGCGTGCGGCTTGATGAGATAACGTGCAAAGTGTGGATAATCAATGAATTCCCCTCAGTGCCGTTGGGCCCGATCCGTCTCCTACAGGAACAGACCCTGGAGAGGTGCACTACCTTGTCGTTTGACTCATATCAGCATGTATCATTTCGTAGTTGATTAGTCTACAACGGATTCCCCTCTTCGGAAATCTACCAGACCCATGACCGCGTCGCTAACCCGAAAGCAGAGTGCTGATATGCACAAACGCCATGTGTCAAGTCGCTCACAAGTTGGTCAGGTAGTCCTCAACCTCCTGCGGGCTCAGCTTCCGGAACCTGGGGCCTTTAGCACCCTCCACACCCTCGTACCCAAGCAGACGGTCCTCGGGGGGTCCAACGATACCTGTACACGGTTAACTAATTGGTCTCCCTTGAACAGATTCGTACTTACCAATCTCCACGGTGTCGCCGTTCATCTCTCCCTCTATGGTCTCCTTCAGCGTGAGCAGGGCGATGTGAATCGCATCCTCGAGCTCCAGGCCCTCGGTGTAACGCTTCTCCAAGAACGTCTTGGCGCTAGTTGCGCTCTTGCCGATAGCAGTAGCCTTCCACGGGAAATAGCTGCCGCTGGGGTCGACCTGGTACAGACTGGGACCGCCCTTCAAAATGCCTCCAGTCTTACCAGCCACCTTCTTCTTCTCGTCCGCAGTTTCTTCCGACTCAGGCTCAATACCCTCATCCCAGCCTGCAATGAGCAGGCTGACACCGTACGGCCGCACACCACCAGACTGGGTAGCTTCCTGCATGACACGGGCGACGTCCTGCACCAATATCCTTGTCGGAGGGTACTCGTTGTAGATGCGCTTGTAGCCAGTGTGAGAGACCTTGCGCGCCTTGTCCACGAGGATGCGGTAGTCGGGGCCCATGCCCGAGTAGACCATGCCGATGTCAGGCGTTATGAGGCTGATTTTCGATGAAGACTGGGCGTCGATGAGCGGGGAGGAGGACTTCTTCTCGGTAGCGAGCACGATGCCGTTCGTCGCTGAGGATTAGATTAGCCGCCCTGCTTCAATCAAGCCATCCTGATGGATAGTTGTACCCTTAATGCCTAGCGACGTAACACCTTGGTTGACGGCGTTGAGGGCGTACTCTGGAATTACAGTCAGCTACTGCAATGTCTCGACAAATAGTCCCGCCCGGCGGTGGCAGACTAACCAATCTGCACCAGCTTTCCGCTAGAGAGCGCGTTAGCATGAGTTGTAGCCTCGACTCGGACTGCTTGTATTTACCTGGGCGAGAAGGTGGTGAGCGAGAACGAGTACCGGTCAGCCATGTTGGACTCGCTGTGAAGATCGGATGACGAAGGCGAAGAAGGATGGGAAGAGCACCGGCTGTCGGCGGTGTGGGGATGCGGAGAGATGGGCGGCGGCGATGTGCGAAGCTGGTGTTGGAGCTCGGAGCTGTAGGCAAGCTCGCATTACGCGGTTGGTCGCTCGCGCCGCCGCGGACGCCAAGGCGCATCACGTGCGCGGCGGACATTCGGCAAGCGCCACAAAATTGAAGAGGCCACGCCTGGCTTCTGAGCCTTTTTCTGTTGCCTTCTCTGCCCTCCTCACACAAACCCCGCGCGCGCATTTAAGGGGCTCAGCCGCCCGTGATGAGCTCGGCGATGCAGCAGCGCCTAGCTGTCCGCCCTTCACATGCGTTACCGCTGTCATTGTTGATAACTTAACCCATTCTTCTCACAGGCACGACCCTCAATTCCTACTTACCCGCCCAATTCGACTCTCCAAACAAATCATCATCCGTCGCCAGGCTTATTCAGGTTGATTTTCTAAAGCCCTGCCTCCCCGATCATGGCGTCCAGCGGTTTCCAGGCAGCGCCAGGCTGGAGCTGGCCGGATGAAGCTCCGCATTCAGCCGCAGGCTCAACGCCAGCTAGCGATTCTCAGGCTCGCCAACGCCCCAACCCCAGCACTCAATACAGCATGCCTGGATGGTTTGAGCCTGACGAGGAAACTCACCGGCCCGAGCCGAATTCCCAGCCTGCCGGAGGAGCCGAGGGTCGACGCAAGCCGAGGCGTTCCTATGGACCAAGGACCTGTCGCATCTGTCTGGAAACCGTTCTCCCGACTTTCAATCAGCCTTCCGAGAACCTGCCATCGATGTTTCAGTCCGAACCCAACGTGACGTATGAGTCGGAAGAAGGCCGTCTTATCAGTCCGTGCAAATGCAAAGGATCCTCTCGTTATGTCCACGAAGGGTGCCTCCAGTCTTGGCGTCACGCCGATCCGTCCTATGGCAGGCGGAACTATTGGCAATGTCCAACTTGCAGCTTTCGCTATCGCCTTGAACGCATGGCTTGGGGTCGATGGATCAGTAGCACCGCAGCCCAAATCTTTCTGACCCTCGGCATCTTTCTTCTAGCAACATTTCTCCTCGGCTTCATCGCCGATCCCATCATCAACCTCTACCTTGATCCGGTTGGTACCGTGGTCCCGTTAGGAGATAGTTCGTCCAGCTACGAACACCTAGTCCGCGATGAGGATGAGCCCGATGGATGGGCTTATCATTTCGTCAAGGGTTTCGCATCTTTGGGTATCCTTGGATTTGTCAAGTATATCTTTGTCAGCCCAGTCAGGATCTTCCGCGTAGGTGGCGGAAGCTGGGGTGGGTCGGCACGGGGCAATACTGGTCGCGACAGACTGGCAAACATCAGCTGGATGGTCGTCCTGATCGGTATTGCCACCGTCATCTACGTAAGTGTACGCCTTTACACATGCTGATACGTATGACTAATCTCCACTAGGGCGTATGGAAGGCAGTTCGTGCGTGGGCGCGTAGGACGCTAGAAAAAGCTGGTGAGCGTGTCATGGACGTACCTAGCGATGACGAGGATGAAGATGATACCTCTGACCCATCTACCACCGGTCGAAGCGATGACGGCGGCCAATCGTCCACCTAAGATGATTCCCATGCCTGACTGCGTCGAAGTTACGACCTTCGGACCGCACACCTTTGAGTTGACACGTCGCCTTTCTGCAGCCATGCTGCTGAAGGCTTCAATGTCGTGCCGATCGAGTCTGTGTGCGAAGAGAAACCGTCTCTCGTGTTTACGCCCATGTCTTTGACGTCTTGTCTTAGCTTGGGTTCCCGAAAGGCTTCGTCACTCCTCCGCTTCCAATCCCGTCCTTTTGCTTCATAGGTGGATTGCTTGAGGTCAAGTGGCACATTTGGTTTTCGAAGGTGTTTTCTGTATAGCATGTCAATCGTAATTCTTATTCATCGCGTGTCTGTTGACCTTTCTGCATTCTGTGACTTACAGAGGGATACTACAACCGATGGCCAGCGCGAAGAATGGCAGTGGATACGTTAGCGACTCTCTTCGCGAGAAACAACACATGTGGGCAGTGGAAGCTATCGTCCGGACGTGAATGTATAATTATTAATTCGACACTTACATCCGGACAACAGCTTCAACTGCCCATGAAATGAGCGAATCCACGCTAGCCTTCAGCTGTAATACTCTGCATACTTTCGTTCTCACTATGCATGGATTGTTCTTGGGCGGGAAGGTGGTTGCTCTTTGCGACCCTTCGCGCATTCACTCACTTACGCACAGACCATCGAGATATTCTGACAGCATTTATTCTGCTTCTCTTCACTTCCTCACCGTTACCTTTCCTTCCTCGTCACGCGTTCACCGCTTGTGCCAGCTCACACCGAGCCCACTCACCTTGCGCTAAATGGACTTTGCCTTTGCGACCGTCGCCTTCAACGGCGGAACCTCTCAAGACCATTCAAGCCACAACTCGTCTACAAACTCCAGCGAACAACCCACACGATCCTCCGAAAACGCGGCGGACGTCATGGAGCGACGAGAGCCCCGCAGAGTTGCGTCGTCCGTGTACTCGCGCTCTTTCAACCATGAGACCGCATCGACGTACTGGTCTGCGGAAGGGCCACCTGCCATCAATCAGAGACTCACTCAGCGACAGCAGTCAGCGGCGGAGCTAACCTCACCACGTGTCGCTCCGAGGATGATCAACCCTGCTACGCATCCGGCTCCTGGCGGTGACTTTCGCGAGGAGCAAGCGCAGATTGATGATATGATCCAATCGCTTGCGCACGACGACGACCATGAGGGCGATGTCAACGCCTTTCTTCAAGAACATCACGATCATGAGCACGACCAAAGCGCTGACCTTCACAGCCCCATGATCTCCACTCCAGAGACCGCCACGCAGGGTCGCCGCGATTTCAGCGACCGCTCACTCAAGTCGCTCGTCTCCGCAAAGGCAACCCTTGAATTACTCGAGAACATTGTTCGTGTCACATGGAATGGCAACCTGCAAGAGAAGCTATGCGAAGTGGCTCTCGCCATCCACAAAGATCTTCGTGGCTGCTTTCACAAGAATCCAGTCACCTACGAGACTGCGACCCGTGTCACTCACCTCGTAACGGAAATCAACAAGATTATAGAGTCTTGGAGGGTGCAGATGAGAGCGCTCGAGCACGCCATTGGGCTGATAGATGTAAAACGCGACACACCTAACTTCATGGAACTCCACAAAGATCTTCATGGCACCGAGATCAAGAAGTTCCGATTGATGCTCTCGTACGTTCCATAGCGCCCCTTCCTTCTCGAGAAGCCATTGATGCTACATACAGGCCTATCCCGACTCAAATGGGAGCAGAATACAATTTGAAAATTGCGAGTCTCACGTACAAGCTTTTTGTTGACGAAGTTCGAGCGCCATTCCAGCAGGCCATGGACGGCAACAGAAACCCATCTCCTGCCGAAAAGATCATAACGAGCTATTTCAACCAGCTGGAAAGACAGTTCATTGAAGCCCGGGAGACGGCTGAGCGGCTGCAGTCGTCGACCCTCGCCTGTTGGGAGCAGTGGACCGAGATGAGTCAAGAGATTGCTCGGCAAGCGGCGCTGATGCAGTCCAACAGCCCGGCCGCCGTAGCTCTGCGTGCAAAGGGTGCAGTGTCCCGTGTATTCCACCAAGGCATGCATCGCTCGCAGACAAAGAAGACATCTCATACTCCTCGCAGTGCTAGCGGTCGTGTCCAGATATCGCAACCGCTCGCACGTATTGAGCCTCGTCCGGGCGCGGTTCGCGATACAGTAGTCATCATTCCGGTTCACCCATTGGATGCCTGCCGTGAGCTCGACGCTGCCGAACTGCGTCGCATCCGCCAGAAAATTGCGTCGGACCCGTCTACGCCTCGCACTCCGCGTGAGCGCACCCACGAGCTTGCTGAGACTTCCAACCACCCAAGTCCGGCCTCACCTCGCGTCCAGGACGACCTTAGCACTAAGCTCACCCGTTCTACACACAATCAACCAGAGTACGGTCATCCTGCATATAGCCGCTGCGATGATGGAGAAATGGAATACGACGACCCGTTCGTGCACTTCGACGAGGTGGCCGACCGCCAGGCAGCCCATGAGACGCTAGAGTATTACCATCACCAGCCAGATGCTCCCTCGCTCAGTGACCAGTTCACCTACCATTCCAACCCCTTCACCCGTTCCCGCACCAGCTCTTTCTCCGATGAGTCTCGCGAGAACCCCTACGTCGAGAATGACGACCGCAACAAGAACCCCAATGCAAAGTTCTTCGCCAACTTCTCCCAGTTCGCCGCGGACCACCAGAGCCGCATCGCCGCCGCCGATGAAGACAAGAATCTCCACGATGACGGCTTCCGCTCCCGCCACCACCACCACCGTCGCCGCGCCTCGTCGCAGCCGGCCCGTCCGCTCATCGAAGGCGCGCCGTACTTTGACATCCTGACGGCCTTCTACAAGATGGACCCGGAGAAGCCGGACGCGGAGCTCGACCCGGAGCTGAACGAGGTGTGGCACCGGGCCATGGCGCTGCGGCGCCTCGAGGGCGGCCCGCCCGCCGAGCGGTACGGCTTCTTCAAGCCGACGCCGGCGATGCGCGCGGTGCAGAAGAACTACGAGCGCAAGGCCGAGCGCGACATCCAGGAGCACGAAAAGGCGAGGCGCGACATGGAGGCGCTGCGCCACGAGGAGAACGTGCTGAAGAAGGAGATCGATGATATCCATAGATTGAGGGCGCAGAAGGAGCAGATGCTGAGGGGCTTCGGCGGCGGCGGTGGTGGTGGTGGTGCTGCTGCCGTCACTGAACAGGTTCACGAAAAGGTGGCGCTCCGGAAGAGCGCGAGCGTTGCTGGATCCTCTGGCACCTCGGGCCACACGAAATTGCTAAGAAAGAGCGTGAGCGTCAGCGGCCATTCTGGGCCGTCCAGGGGCGTCTCGCGTCAGTCTGACAACAATGCCTTCGTTGGCGCCGCTGGAGGTGGTGGCGTGTACGGCCAATCTCAGCCTTACAGCAGTGAGCATGTTCGTTCCGAGCAGTATCAGCAGCAACAGCTGCTGCTACAACCGCAGCAAGCGCCGCTGGAGAGGTTCAGTGGCGTCTTCCGCGACTCGGAGGGTCTCCTAGTCGAGGGTAATATGCGCGACGGATACCGCTATGTTGAAAGCTACGGAACCGGAGAAGAAAGCCTCTTCAACCATTACGCACGCCTTGACAGCATCGGCTACCATGATGACGAGCACGACCAGAATGGCAATGATGGATACGGAAACGAGTACGCCTATGGTGGCAACGAGGGAGGCGGTTACGGATACAGAGAGTCTCTCGACCCTCTGTTTCAGCCTAGGACGTTCCAGGATTTCGACGACTCCGACTTGTTTGTCGACAGTGATCCGGAGATGTACGGTTCGGATGAAGAAGAACCTTGGCGTAGGATCTAGACGATGGGGATGTCAAGCAGTGCTTTGCCCATGCCTGTGCATGTGTTTTGCTGCCTAGGCAGGGGCTACTATGAAAGGTAAAAAGAAAACAAAAAGAAAAGGTGAGCGTTGGCATACATACTCGCCCAGTGTTAAACCCTCCATTGGCTGCGGAAGAAACAGTATCACTTATTGTCTTGGCAGGTCTTTTACAGGATTTGAGTGGTTCGAAGCGGTGCTTTACCCGTGCCTGTGCAGGCGCCATGCTGCCAAAGGAGGGACCGCAAAAAAGGATATGGATTAAGTGTGAGCGATGAAAATCTTTTCCTCTGTTCATCCTTTTTGTGAAAGGGGCAGTGCCACTAATTTTTATTCACAGGTTCTAAAAAGCTCGGGGGTGAATAAAGGGTGCTTTGCCTGCGCCTATGCATAAGAGGCCGTGAGGAAGGATTCGAAGAGCTGTCGGTGAGCACCAGAACCCATTAATCCTCATATCCAACCCTGCGGAATAGGACATATTGCTACTCATTTAGCTTAGCAGGATCCTATTGGCAACACTCTTTAAGGCCGGCTTCTATCTCCCATCAGCTTTTGATTGAATCCTTGAACTTGGAGGCGATTGGTTCAAGCTCGAGACAGTCTGGATATCGAAGCTGATAGGGTAGCGTTGTTAGTAGATAGCAACCGGTAGTCAGACATGATCAGTCCAATACAGAGAACACATTTCCTTCATGCTGGGTTCCTTGAGTGCGAAGGATACTAAACGCTCCCTCTCCAGCCACTTTTGCCAGTACCCAGACAAATCCAGATTTGAAGAATACGCAACGATATTGTGACGTAGACTTGAATACGGACGTAAAGAGCGTGCTTTCCCTGGCAAGACAGGTTTGGAAAGGGACAGTCTTTTTGCGGCCCACTATGGTGCTTGATGGTAGTGGATACCCTCATCGGAAAAGCCGACCGTTGAAAGTGCCACGTGCGTTTTCTCCCCAGAATTAGCTAAAAGACGTTAATATTGCGACGGAAGATGGGCAGTTGAAGCGCCCATCCGGACGCAAATGCACGAAATATAAGTGGACAAATGCATCCGGACAAGAGCTTCAAGTAGGCCGACTTGTTGAAATACCAAGCAAACTCGATGACGCACGTTGGCAGCTGCGGATGACGGAGTTGCTGCGGGGGTGGGTGGTCAGCTCTCGTACGAGGTCTAGTTCGCTTATTAGTGTACAGCTCGACCGGGGAGAGTGGTTGAGGCCTGTGTCCGGGCGGTGGCTGTCCGGCGCTTTATCGAAGGCCAGCATCGTCAGTGCTTTGCATTTCCCCCTCGTCAGCCCTGGCGTCGTTCTACAGACCGGTTCTGTCGTGACAGACGGGCTCTTCCGCATTTAGCGTTGACGAATCGAGATCCTCACGTTGCTACGACAAATGCAGCTACGCCACTATCGCGATCCCGCAGCACGAAGACGTTGGAAAAACGCCCAATGGTGCCCGTTGGGAAAGCGCGCGCGGCCAGCAGGATAGAGAGACGAGAATGCGTTGCTGGTTCTGGGTTTCGGTTATTCTCTTCTCACAATCTGTCCCTTGGCGATGGCAAGGGGAACGGATTTAGAATTGTGGAAATAACGGGTATGCAACGGGGCTGATCTAGTCCGAGGTGAAGCCGCGCGTGGCAGGTTTGAGATATTGCTGGAGGGACCTAGACTTTATTGTTTAATTGTCAGCGACTCATCCAGGCCAATACACGAAATCTCCGGGTCAGGCCGAGACGCAGCGATTCAGTAGGGGTCAGACCTAGAGATTATGATGTCGTCAGGGCCACGCTAGGCAGCTAGCGGCGGTCGGGTGAAGGGGTGGTTGGCAGGACGTCAGTTGCTGGGCTCTTTCTTGGGCACGCAAAGCGGTGGTGGTAACAGCGCAAACAATACCGAAAAGTCAAACGCCCATGTTTGGCCGGACCGACAATGTGGCGGTAGGTGGTGTGGTGTGGCAGCAGCAGCAGGAGCACTGTTCGCATCGGCCAGCGTGCTCGAAGCGTTCGGTGCTGCACCAGCAGCCTTGCTTTGTGGTGAGGCTGAAAAGCGGCCGGTGGTGGCGATCTCGGCGGAATGCAGGGTGCAAGGAATTCCTGGAATTGGGTCGTGGGTGGCGGCGTCGCGAACGGACGTGGGCAGACCGGTTGCGCACAACAGCAGGTTCGCAGTCACGCGGCTGGCCGTCACGCCGTCAGCCAGCGCTTCGGGCGCAGGCGAGAGCGCAGCAGTCAGGCTGCGACATCTGGCCAGCTCACCGCCTGCACGGTCCGCAGCGGAGACGGGATGCGCTGCGCCCACACCTGGGTGCCTGGGGCTCGTGGTGGGGCCAGATCTCCAGCATCGACGTCATAAGGCTTGAGCTCAGCCCGATTCGCGCCTGCAGGGTCCTGAAAGGCGAGCCTCAACAGACGCCTCTGCCGTCCCACGGCTACATAGACCGCGCCCTCGCCGCCACTGCGCGTTCCGGAGGGGAAAAAAATCTGCCAGGCGCCGTTGCAAAATTTAGCCCGCCTCCTAGCCTGCATCCTTCTCTGCCCACCATCATGTGCGCAAGCGAACATCCACCCAATCCAGGTACGTCTGCCGCTCCCGCGATGCGAGGCCAGGGTCTATGCAGATATGACCTGTCTTGTCTACAAAAGACGGCCAGCCCCGCCCCCCCGCCTCGAGATCCTCCTCCCGCCTTTTCTTGGCACCCTGTCCTGACGAGCAAACTTTAGCCCTCGTACCTCGCATCGGCTACGTCCGCAAGCAAACAACCCCTCTCAAACCTGCCACGCCTTTTTACTGGTCCTACCCGTCGTCCTTCAACCACGGCATCAGACACTTCCACTATCCGAGCCCGTCAACCACCGCCCGCTTCTCCTCCTTCGCCGCCCAACAGCGCCAAGCCGCCATCGTGAACGAGGAGCACCAAATGGCCGCCTCACGCTTCCGCTCCGGCCTCGAGGGCATTGCTCAGGCCACCGCACAGCGCCCGTCTTCACCATCTGCATCCTCGTCAACCACCAGCAGAACATCAGTCTCCGCTGCATCCATCGCCTCGACATCAACCTCCGTCTCCATACCCGCAGCAACCGTAACCTCATCCGAAAAGCCAAGCGAACACTCGCCATCAACACCATCAACGACAGAACTCACCCCTCCTGCCGTCGCCCAGCAGGACTCCTCATCGTCGTCAGCAACAATCACTGCCCACGAACCTCGCCGCGTCGACGACCTCGAGGCCGCACTTGCTACCGCCCGCGCTCAGCAACATCGCTTAGCCATGGAGCTCGAGAAAATGCGGATGCAGCAAACCAATGAGCACAGCCACCGCCTCCACCATCATCATCATCACCACGACGGATCGATCCGTCGGCCCTCCGCTCCCGCCCCGGCTGTGCCATCTATTTTCTCTGCATCATCATCTCATTCACCTTCCAAACGGAACAGCGCTTTCGCTGCCATGCCCATGTCGTCGAGTCCACCGCGGTCGATGACCCTGTATGGTTATGGCGGCGGCAGTTCGGTGGGAGTAGAATCCGACGACGGGTGCAATTGCTGCTGCGGCGAGAGCGGTAGCGGCAACAGCAACAGCGGCAGCAGTAATGATGACGACAACTTGGTGACTGAACTGATGGCCGACGCAGCGCGCAACTGTGAGCGCATGGAGGACCGCGTCGCCTTCCAGCGCCAGATGGCCGCCCTGCGCGACCGCATTTACTCGCAGGCCGAGGAGCTGAGCGAGCGGCGGAAGGATAGGAAGAAGTGGGATGAAGAGAAAGAGGAGTTGATGAAGGAGTTGCAGGAGAGGGAAGACAGAATTAAAGGACTGTTGGAAGGCAAAAGGGATAGTGTGCAGGGCTAATTGGGTGTGTTTTTGGCTGTTCATTGAAACACGGCATTGGCGTTATCGGTAGGCATGGCTCTGAGGTTATGATCTTGCAAGGGCATTTAGCGTTACGCATATTTGAGATACCACACGCATGTTTTGACTGCGAGCATCTAAAACATATTTCTGACGGATTCAAATCTTTGAGGCATAAGTGACTAGTGACTAATAAGAGTCTGGCTCTTCTATTTCTTTTAGGATACTACATGGGCAGTTCGAATTGGAACACAGTCAACTACCAGATCGGTTCACGTGGTATTGCAACAAAACTGGGGAGCTGAAGCTCTTGTCCAGATGCATTTGTTCCACATATCATACATCCACGTCCGGATAGACGCTTAAACTACCCATATACTGCAATACTAATAGAACAATCGTATGGAAGAAAACAGGAAGCTCTCGTCTCGGTTTGAGTCAAGCCCAGAACCAGACTGCTCAAACTATCGGATGGGAAAATGATGAGATTCAAGTAGCTATTGACGGTCGGTGACAATCTGCACGGTCTTTTTCTTTTTAGCAAATTACATCCAATAAATCTACAATTGGAGACTATCAAGGCGCTCTGTCGTTGACTATTCAATTGAATACCCTCAAACCAACCACAGGGCCGTGCGCGACCCCGGGCGTTGTCCAGACCATCGTTAGTCAGCCTTATCCGCAAAGGCCACCAGAACTCACGGGCTTAGACGTATTTAGGATAGTGCCTATGCTGGAGCTGTCTTTAACTCACGGCCGCGGACGTCTTTCTCAACTACATGCAGACTAAGTGGCGGGAAGAAAAATTACCTGCTATCCGATTTCATTGCTGGGCGTGATCATCATAGGTAGCTGAAGCTATCGTCCGGACATGAATGTATAATCAACCATTCCAATGCTATTATGTACTTATAATTACTAGTATATTTATGAATTGGTGTGGTAGGTTTGCTTTAGAACACGGTTTGGGCTGTGGTAACAAGATTATGACACGTGCCCTTCGCATATAAGAGGCATTCTCCAGAAGTTACAGCTGTGTGCACATGCAAAAAATTAGAAAATGGCATTTAAGTTGGCGGTACTTATATTCGAACTGAGAATCTGCAAAAAAGACTGTGGGGGCAGATTGAGGTTAACTCGACACAGACCTAGCAGCCAACATGCTTAGGAACCTCGCATGTTCTGAAAGACAGGACTTGCTGGATCTGTTATATGTTAAACTTAAATCGCATGAGATGGCTGAGGAGTAGCATCATCCATGTCCGAATCGTCCCCAATCACAGCACCAGCAACAACCTGATCGACTTCTTCACTCTCTTCGCTCTTCACTTCATCTCCATCACCATTTCCACCTTCGATCTCGTCGCCACTCGCACCCTCCCACCTCTCCATCCCCCTCCAACTTCGCCCTTGCGCCACCAAGGTCAACACCGCCCGATCCGCCGCCTCCGTTTCTGCACCGTGCCTAGTCTCCCCGTCAACCCAGTCACCAACCCATGTCTCCCCAAGGCCGACTCTACACCTAAACCTCTTCCCCTTCATTCCTCCCTCCGGCGACTCCGCCTCGCCAGCGTCCAAGTCCCCTTCGTCCCACTCCCAAACCACCTTATCGCTACCCGCCAACCGCCCCAGCTGCGTCTTTGGGTGCAAACAGTCGACCTCGTCCCTCATGAACCTATCCAGCACGTCCATCAATCCGATCTTCTCCAGAAACCGCTCGCAGGCTTCAAGTTCCTCCTCTTCCTCCAGCACAACCTTTCCATTTTTCTCCTGTCCCTCTGCCCCGTCAACCATCTCATTATCACCAACAGACAAAGAACTGTTTGTCGTCGAATCGATAAAGACAGCACCCAGCACCGCCTCGACGATGTCCGAAAAGAACTTCTCCGCCCCAACCTTGGCGAACAGCCGCCAGGGGTACCGGCGATGCTGCCGCAGCGCGCGCCAGATGTCTTCGCTATAGCGCTCGTGCCGGGCGGTAGCGGCCGTGGCGGAGGCGAGCAGCGTCGGCGACGAGTGTCGCAGGAAGTGCCACAGCGCCTTGCGGGAGGGCGTGCCGGGGACGGTGTACGGTTGCTCGTTTGCCAGTGCTGTCGAAAGGGGAAGGGGAGCGGCTGTCGTGGTGGATGAAGGAGCGAAAACGACGTCGGTTCGCGGCTCGAAGATGGTGGCCTCCATGCAGAGGAAGGCGAGGAAAGACGCGTTGACGAGGGCGGCCCGGATGGAGTGCATCGTCCAGTGCGGCAGCTCGTCGGCGGCGTGGCCGCGGGGTGGGATCGTGCTACCGCCGTCGTTGCTGGCGTTGGCGTTGGCTGCTGGCTTTCTGCGGTGCGCGTACAGCCGGCCGGAGATGATGTAGTCGAGGACGGCGTCGCCGAGATACTCGAGACGTTGGTAGGATGAGGAGGCGGCTTCCCGGGGCGCGGTGAAGGACGCGTGTGTCAGGGCTTCGAGGAGGAGGTACTTGTTCTTGAACGTGTATCCGATGAGCTCCTCAACGCGCTCGAGGTGGAGCACTGGCGCTGACGCGTGTTCCTCCGCCGCGTGGTCCTGCAGGATCGTGCGGCAGTGGTGCAGCGACTTCCATTCGAGGCTGGTGAGGAAGGTGGATGTGCAGAGGTGCGCTTTATGTATGCCGCCCTCAACGAAGGCGGCACCGATGAGCGACTCGACCACATCAGCCAGGGTCTTGGTAGATAGCGTTTGACTCTCTTGTAGAGCAGCTTGAGATGTGGCTAGGATATCTTGCACATAGCGTGGCCGCCATTTGGAGCCCGTGAAGGCCTTAGTGATGATGAATTTGTCGAGGCCGGTGCGGCGTGAGGCTTTAGCGAGTGCACCGTTGGAAACAATGCGATCTTTACGTTCAGTGAGATAGCTCTCGGGCCAGTGGAGGAAGTCTGCCATGAGCTGGACCGCGGTGCTGTATTTCAATATGCAATCCCCCAAAAATTCCAGTCTCTGGTAGTCATTTTCGTTCGTCGACGATGCGGTGATGGCGCGCAGTACCAGTTCATGATTAGTAAAACCAACGGAGCGTACTGCAGTGTCGCAAAGCTCTTGAACGATCATGAAAAGCTCGTAGCGGTGCAAAATCGATGGCAGGAAAGCCGCGAACATGGAATAAGCTACTGGTAGCCTGCTCATGAGGAAACCTTCGGCTGGTAGTATGGTTTCCTTCGTATACATGCCATATTGGGCCGAATCTCTGATATAATGCAGGAAGTCACGCCTTTTGGGAAATGCTGAGCAGACAACTTGGACAGTCGCCTCTTCTTCTTGCTGGAGATTCTCGTCTTCGGTCATGCTGATATCAGGAATTTGGAAGCGGCGGAACATCAAAGGGGCGCCTACAACTCCTTTCGGATGTAGAAGACCTATCGTGGGGCTGAGGCCAGCCTGAAGCTCGGCGTAGACCTCAAGTGCAGGTCTGCTTTCACCGCCAAACTCTAGAAACTGGCGTTCGCCTTCGCCATAGGCACCCGGCTGAGCAATTAAGAAAGGGAAATCGTATCTTTCTTCAACCATACGTGTCTGGAAGATCTCGTATAGAAGAGTCCGCGTTGAATGTTGGAGTGATGTCACTTCGTCTTTGCTGAGAGTTATGGCATCCATTGGTTCGCTGCTTAGTGTGTAACGAATAGTCTCGTTCCAATGAAGTAAGAAGTCAGGGACATGCAGCATCGGCTGGGGTAGAAGGATGACCAATGTGACTGGTTGTGGTTCCATAGATATTGTCATCTTCGTCCTATACCATGGATCTAATGGTGTCGATAAGCTGATGAGCTGAGCCAGTGGTATCCATGGATCCAGACGGGGGTGGACCTCGATCATAGCTGGCCTCTTGTCGACAACACCAAAATCCGGCTGGTCTTCTGGATCACTCGGTAAAGGCAATAGGTTGTCGTTCACCAAGCCCGCTTTATGTAAGGCAACATAGGCTTGGAAGGCAGCATCCTTTCTAGCCGCCCTTTCCGTCAACCATGATCCTGTGCCTCGATGCTGGCGGACCATTTTGCTCACTGAGCTCGGCAAGGTGACGGTAGCAGTCGTGCGATCATTTTGATCTACCGTGAAGAAGAACCGAGGCCGTAGATCCACGTGTTGTCCGTCGCCGAGAATGGCGCAGAAATGGTACAGATGTTGCATTGCGTTATCGAGCGTGAGAAGCGCCCTGCTTCTTTTTAGTAAACGATTAGGTTGAAAGGAATGAACGGCTTACCCCGTGGATTCGCAGCGGTAGGTGTCGTCTCCATCCTCTTCGAGTTCTTCGCGTTGTTCTGCTGCTTGGACTACCCGTTGATCATTCAAATACGCCTCCTTCATTTGCTCTTCCAGGTCCAACCACATTTCTGGAGACTTGACAAAGGTGGAGTCGTCAGGGAACATGATGACAAACTTTGAGTCCTTCTTCCTCGCACGGCCGCGGCGCTGAATGAAAGACTTGAGGTTCTTGGGGGGTTCGAAGCAAATGACAATATGGCAGTTGGATACATCAATACCTTCTTCCAGAACGGCGGTTGCGACAATAAGGTTTTTCTTGCCAGCGCGGAATTCTTCAAGAGTCTGCTGCTGGTGTTTGATTTCTACCAGGTCGCCGATGCCGAGATGGGATTTCCTGTGAACGGTCATGGAGGTGCCGACAAAGGTGCCGACACTGAACAAGTCCCGAAGCCGAGGGTGGTTCGACAGAACATGGTCCATTGCAGCAACGGTAGCGCGCTGCTCGACGAAGATGATGCCGGTAAAGTCAGCATTCCATTCAGACAGAAGAAGATCGACGAGAGTATTCATCTTTGGTGATAGACTGTCATGTATTCCCGTATGCTGGCTCACAGGCGGGGCTGCGGCCACGGTCGCGAGCATGTCGTGGAGATGCTTGCCTTCGGCTGATGACCAGTCAAGTAGCAAGTGGCTTGAGTTGGTTAAGAAGGCATCAAACTTGGCGATGCAACTCCGGATGTAGAACTCTGTTGGAGGTCCACCAAGCTCATTATAGATACCGAGCGCTCGCGAGTAGAGCTTCTTCAGCTGCTCGTGGATATATGTCTTTCTATTGTGTAGCAGCTTCTCCAGCTCTCTTAAGACTTGGTCCCGGGTCTCATCCGTGGTCTCTGATGCTTTTTTACGCAGACTAAGGATGTATGGATCCTCCAAGATGTCGTACGCGTGATAGACGTTAGCCAGAGCAGCAAGGACTGGTGGCCCGGCAGAGGGGTCTAAATATTGACCAGGGTAATTTAACTGCACAAGCTCAGGCCTGTGTGTGAAGCGAAGGAGGTCTGTTCGATGAATCTTGGGAGTTTTGGCGATTGCATTGAGGCTGCGTTCGATAATCTCCAGGCCGCTTGCGTTTGCACTGACGACCGGACTCGCTGTCAAGCCGAGGATCTTGGGCAGGCTGTCGCGATCGCCATTTGCAAGCAGTGGGTGGTAGAATCTCTGCATGATGGCACTGGCAGGATGGTTGCCTCGACACATGTGGGCCTCGTCGAATATCAGAAGCGCAAGTCGGGGGAGCTTCACAAAGGCATGGGTCAGAGCATCCAGCAGCACAGCCGGGGTCGACACGACGATGCGGACATTTCTGAGAACGGCATCCCAAATGTTCTGATCCGTCCAGCGGTCGACGTTATCATTGCCGCTGAGAAAGCGGATCTCATATGCGGGGAGATGCTTCTCAAAGAGACAGAACTGCTGGTGGCAGAGGGTGACAGTAGGCGCAATAAACCAGACCAGCTACCGAAAGGTCAGAACAAACGAGGGGCATGGCGATAGGGATGGTGTACCTGGTCTGGGTTGCAGCTTTCGAGCTCGGCAGCAGTACGGGATATTGCGCTGCGGTGGTCAGTGATCTGGGTGGTAAAACAGATGGATAGTCATACACGTGGGTCTTCCCGCTGCCCGTGTCCATCTACAGGCAAATCAGTCGCTATTGAGGAGCACCGGATCATCCATTTGGACGCACAGCAACAATGATGTTTTGCTTCAAGCTCTCCTCGACCATTTCAGCCTGGTAGGACCGCAGGCAGAAAAAGGTAGGCTCTCCGTTCGGCGACTCCATGGTTGTAGGCGACGTGAACTGGACGCCGTGCGAGAGTCTGGAGTTCAGCTGTTCGCGGTGGGGTATTCAAGGCATGGCGACAGATGGCGGTGATGAAGTTGTTTGCGGCGTCGGACGTGGGCGAGACGGCGCCGGGCAAACTGCAGGCGACAGCAAGGCTGGCGACCTGCAGCCACCCATCACCTGTGCCATGCATTCTCCAGAAGCGCAGCAACAGCGCCCCAGGGTCCTTACACGACACCTACGGGAAGATGATAGCCGCCAGGCACGCAAAAAAGACCCTGCGCACACGGGCAGCCACAGATCTCCGCATGCTTAGCCACACAGCCACGACGCCCTCCACCGCACGGGCCCCCAGCCACCTGCGCTCCTAACCCCGATCGCGCCTCGGCCCTGAACTTTGTGAGATGAATGCAAGGCCAGCCGCCCACGAGTCGGCACAGCACTAGCTCTGAGACCGCCCGAGTTTCGCGCCATGGACCGCGTTTCCGGCTTGGCGCTGGCCGTGCCTCAGGATGACGACGCCCATCCCTGCCGCCTTCCCGAATGCGCCACAATTTAACTGCGCAACCCCCAAGCCCGGCGACGAAGCCACGCGGCCAACGTCATGTCCTGCCACCTGTGAGCCAGGAAACCTTTCCGTCTGCCTACCGTGTGACTCGTGCAAAATTCGCAACCAGCCCACTATCGCATAAAGAGCCTGGTACCGCCCTGCCATGGACGTCATCCATCAATCCCTCCCTAACCGGGCCCCTCACGCGACAAACCCACATATAAACACTCGCTACTCCGAGCTTGGCGATTCCAAGCCATCAGTACTACAACCTTCAACTACTCCTACTACCCCACACTCGAAAATAAGTCCTCAATCACCCTCATACCCCTCGCCCTCACCGCCGCCGCTCCCCCCTCGTCCAGACCGACACCAACAACGGCAATCATGGACGGCAACAACGGCGACCGCGGCCTCTCCTTCCTCGGCGGCGGCGGACACAACAAGCCGCACAAGAAAGAGAGTCTCCTGGAGAAGCTCGAGCACAAAGTCGAACAGAAGCTCATGGGCGGCAAGCACGGACACAGCGGCAGCAACCAGTACGGCTACGGAGGCGGCGGCCCGTCACCGTCGGCGCAGCAGGGCGGCTTCTATGGCGGCGGCCCTGGCGGATACGGCGGAGGCCCTGCGCACCAAGGCGGCGGATGGAATAGCCAACCTCAGCAGCACCAGCAGGGAGGACCTGGGGGTGGCCACGGCCCTCATGGGCATCACCAGGGAGGCGGCAGCTTCGGCGGTCAGTCTGGAGGCCTGCTCGGCATGGGAGCGGGCAGCGGCCACCACAACCAGCCCCATTTCGGCGGCGGCGGCGGCAACAACCACAGCTACTACGGCGGAGGAGGTGGGGGACCGGGCGGGCACCACGGCGGAGGACACCACGGCGGGCCGGGCGGCGGTTTCGGGGGCGGCTTCGGGGGACACCATGGCGGCGGAGGGCCAGGCGGCTTTGGGGGAGGACCAGGTGGTCACGGCGGCCCCGGCGGCGGCGGTCCTGGAGGCTATGGTGGTGGTGATTTCGGCGGTGGGCCCGGCGGTGGTGGCTTTGGTCACCATGGCGGTCCGGGTGGCGGTCCTGGTGGGCCGGGCGGCCCTGGCCGTTGGTGAGCGCGCTGAGCGGTCGTTGGCCGAGAGAGTTATGGATAAGGAGGACCTGAAGTTAATGGAGGGGAGGATGGAGCGTTTCTGGAGTGATGATGACGAGAAAGAGAAGGAAGAGTTGAACAGTGGAGATAGGATACCCGGATGATACCTAAACTACCACTAAAACGAAAGTTCTTTGGTTTTGTAAATTATTTTAACAGAGCATGCTTCACCCATTGATCTGGTATTTGTGCTCCGGTGACATTGGACATGCTGTGTACCGCAATTCTCTGATTATGCTTTATTGTCTTTCCCAGGAGCAAAAAATAACTATACATCATCAGTGTTCCTTCAAAGAAATAACAGATATGAATAGTGGGAGCTATTGTACGTGACTGTATAATTGTTAATTCGGCACGCACGTCCGAACAATTGCTTCGATTACCCATGTCATGAGCGGAAAATAAATTCGCGCTAGCTCTGCATGTGTGATGCAGTTCTCGAATAACAGCTGAGCAGCAGAACACGAGGGTCGGGCTTTGGTCCGCGAATCGGCGACTGTCATGCAGTTGCCGAACCTCGTTCGTTCCGAGTGTAACAGTGACCGAAAACACTTTTCATTACGTCAAGAGGAATCAACGAACAGTATAGGTGAATATTACATTGCTTTTCTATCTCGATGCAGCACAAGGCGCTGCGGATATACTCTTTAAAACCACCGCGCAGTATTCACCCTGCGCACAACGGTCATCAACTTCGTCACTCATGAGCAGCTGTACGTCTATGCGCGCTTGCCGAAGATCTTGTCGTAGCCGACGAGGGTGAAGCGGTAGCGGACGTTGTCGCCCTTGTAGACGCGCTCGACGGCCTGCTTGCAGCCCTCCTCGGAGATGTCGATGGTCTCGACCCAGCTCTTGATCTCCTGCTTGGCGGCGAGCTCGAGCATCTCGATCATCTCGGGGCGGTTGCCGATGTGCGAGGCGCCCATGAAGCAGCCGTTGGGGGCGAAGGCCTGGGCCTGGATCTGCGGCAGCGGGTTGTCCGGGAAGCCGACCATGTGGAAGGTGCCGTTGACCTTGAGGGTGCTGAAGTAGTCGGGCAGGTTGAACTTGTCGGTGGCGTCGGCCGTGCTGATGATGAAGTCGAAGGTGAACTTCCACGGCTCCGCCCAGTTCTTCTCCTTGGTCACGATGAAGTCGGTGGCGCCCAGCTTGAGCGCGTCCTCCTTCTTGTTCGGGCTGTGCGAGATGGCGTAGACATCGGCGCCCAGCGCCTTTGCGAACAGAATACCAAAGTGGCCGAGACCGCCGCTGGAGGATGTCAGCTTCCACGTGGTTTTGGCTCAAGACAATTGAGTACTTACATTCCAACAATGCCAATCTTCTTACCGGGACCAGCTCCTAACCGCTTCAGAGGGCTGAAAACGGTCAGACCAGCGCAGAGCATGGGGGCGGCCAAGCTCGTCTCAAGAGCGTCGGGTATCTTGAATGTGAAGTATTCGTGTGCACGGACGTGGCTGGAGTAGCCACCCATGGAGATGGTGCCGTCGGGGTAGGGAGCGCCATAGGTGTCAACCGAGTTGGGGCAGTAGTTCTCCTGGTCAGCCTTGCAGTTGCCGCAGGTCAGGTCGGCGGAGATCTGGGCGCCGACACCGACACGGTCGCCGACTTTGACCGTGGTCACATCCTTGCCGGTCTTGACGACCTTGCCGATGATCTCGTGGCCAACGCACAGCGGGAGCGGGATATCAGCGCCCCAGCCGCCGCTGATGGTGTGGACATCGCTTGCGCAGACACCGCAGGCGTCAATGGCAATGTCGACGTCGCGGTCGCCGAAGGGCTTGAGCTTGAACTGTCGGAGCGCGGGGTTGTTAGCAATGGTGGGGCAGCGGCGCGGGGCAGACTGCGAGAACGGCGCACCTCTTGCTTGGTGAAAGTGCTCCACTTCTTGATGTCGGTGACACAGAAGCCCTCAGCGGTCTCGGGGTAAGGCATGATGGCGGCTGGTGGGTGGCAGTTGACTGGTGATGGAGTGGGAGAAGAAAAAAAGTGATGGTGCAGCGGGTTAAATGGAGGGGGAGGGGCTTTAATATTGCCGGGACTCGACAGGCGTCCGTGATATCATCCCGGACGCGCCAATTGAGCCGACGCATAGGAGCGGTACCGTCCCAATCGCTATCGTCGAGAATCCACTTTCCTTCAGATATGCATCATCGATCGGTTGGCGGCTGGGAACCGGCTGCAGTAGCCCGCGACGACCCGTCTCGCCAACTTCGACCCACAGATGCTAGATTTTACTGTTTACAGAACCTCGCTGAAGCGCTGGTACTTTTGTTGCGGTGGTGGAGCTCTGGCAGGTGTCGCGAGCTCAGTAAAGCGTCAAGAAGATTTACCACCAATCAGAAGGGCGCATACCCCGCGCTCGACGGTGGAAACGCATCCCCCGCGCGCCGCTCAGGCAGGCTGTCGGATGGTCTCGCCCACGCGGCTCGTCTGGGCACGCCGGCATCGGTGCGCCAGAAATGCACACAGCGCTCGGGATAGATTCACCTGAATTTTGGGAAGGCAAAGCTGGCGATGACGCGCACAATCTCTGGCCGCATTTGACCCGCATCGCGCTGCAAGATGCCCCGCGTTCGGCACACTTTCCGCCGCCGTTGCACCGCCCAGGCCTAGGCCTTTCGCATCTGGCAACGCTGGCGCGCCAATCAGACTGCGAGCGCGCAGTGCCCCCAAAAAGAACGTCACCGCGACGCGTGCTGTCTGAGCGCGAGAGCTCGTGATAGCGGCGGCTTGTCAACGCTCGCCGTCCCCTGTCTTCCCCAGATCCTCACCCCCAAATCGGCAAACCGACGGAATGCGGGGAGATCCGCCCACCCCCTCCCTTTGGGCATCCCGCCCCGCCATCGCAGCCTTACCAGAACCATCCTTCCGGCAACCGTGCTGACGTTCCAGTGCACAAACGCGGGGAACGCTATTGAGGATGCGAGCAGTATAAAAAGGCATGCGCGCCATGGCTTGTGTGGTGGCATTGTCTGCTCATTCGCCAGGCCGAGACAATGCTGGACGCCATCAAAAAATTCACCTCGAAAATGGGCTCGACCGCCGACGCCAGAACCATGAAGGCCGTGCGCTTCCACGGCCAGCGCGACCTGAGGCTGGAGGACATTCCAGAACCCCCGGTGGGCCAGGGCCAGGTCAAGGTAAGCAAGGCTCAGCATTGCTGCTGTTCGCATTCCGCCGCGAGGCTGTGCGCTCACACTCAACCATAGCTGAAGCCGGCCTGGGTCGGCATCTGCGGGAGCGGTACGACAGCCTCGTGTGCTGCCCAGAATAGCACCGCCACACATTTTTTACTTTCCCATGCTGACGGTAGACAGATCTGCACGAATACATGGGAGGAGCAAACATCTGCCCCACCACCCCTCATCCAATCACTGGCGAGACCGTCCCCGTCACCTTCGGCCACGAGTTCAGCGCCATTGTCGAGGAAGTCGGCGAGGGCGTCGTCAACTACAAGCCCGGGGACCGCGTATGCGTACAGCCTATCATTTATGACGGAGACTGCGGCGCCTGCAAGGACGGCCTGATCAACTGCTGCTACAAGAATGGCTTCATTGGCCTGAGTGGCTGGGGCGGCGGGCTTGCAGAACACATTGTCACCCCGCAGTCATGCTTGTACAAGTTGCCTGAAAACGTGTCACTGGAGATCGGCGGTATGTGACCCCCTTGCGCACATCGCTGCTGAAGCCTAACTTAACGCTACTTTTTTTGCACAGCCCTCGTCGAACCGCTGGCCGTGGGCTGGCACGCCGTCAACATCTCACCATTCACCCCTACCAGCTCCGTCCTCGTCCTCGGCGGCGGGCCCATCGGCCTCGCCGTCATCCAAGCTCTGCGCGCTCGCGGCGCCTCCAACATCATCGTCTCCGAGGTCTCGCCCCGCCGCAAGCAGTTCGCCAAGCAGTTCGGCGCCAACCATGTCCTCGACCCAACCCAGGACGACGTGCCCGCCCGCTGCCGCGAGCTCTGCGACAACCAGGGCGTGCACATCGTGTACGATTGCGCCGGTGTTCAGGCTGGCTTGGACGCCGCCGTCCAGGCGGTACGTGCTCGGGGTACCATCGTGAACATTGCCATCTGGGAGAAGCGCTGCACGATTTTCCCCAACGACTTTTGCTTCAAGGAGAGGTCGTACATCGGCGTCGCGACGTATCAAGCCGGGGACTTCCAGGACGTGCTGGATGCGATAAGCGAGGGAAGGCTGAAGCCGGACGAGATGATCACGAAGAAGATCGAGCTGGATCAAGTGGAGGCGGAGGGATTCAAGACGTTGATCGAGGACAAGGATAATCAGGTGAAAGTGCTGGTGCGGGCGAACCACGTGGACGGGATGTGAAGATGAGGCAAGGGGTCGATGAGGTGGAGTGAGTGAGCGTGACTGCCTTCGATTCTGTCATCGACTGTATGATTTACAACCTGTATCGTCATTTCTGCCCCCTTGCACCATTCATGCTCAAGTGATCGTCTCTTTCCTGCAAGAAACTGTAACACTGTGCTTCGTCATCAACCTCCACTTCACATGTATGACAATATTTTGAATCCGAATCTTCATTTCGGAAGCTACTGGAGGTAATGAACCCATTGTTGGTATACTGAAAGACATGCCGGCCGGCAAAAGAGACGAGAGGCGTCCAGCGCATGCAAAAGAGGAGAAGGAAGGTGGAGAAAAAATGAGGTAACAACGCCGCAACTGCCCCAATATGCTCGATGCAAGAGAGAGAAAGAATAGGATAAAGATGTTGAGAAGACGCTAAAGGGGTTCGTGAGGTATCAAGGGGATAGGGAGTGACATACATGGTGAAGGGTGAAAAAGATAAAATGAAGGAAAGGTCGGAAAGTGGAATCAAGAGAGCGCTGATCAAACCACCTCCCCCACGATTCACAATTTAGCCCCAAACTCCATCGCTCCAAACCTCCTCCTCTTCCAAACACTTCGCAACTGAAGCTTTCCCCTTTACCCCGCCGCCCTCACGATCCCACCGTCGACGCACCGCGTCCCCTTGGCCACTTTCCCCATCCCCACCCATCCCCCGTGATCACACATCTCGAACTCGCCACCTCCCTCGGTACACCTGATGACCCCCTCCTCGCTGCAATCCCCGTTCGGACGCGCCCGCACGTAGCGGTCATCCCTGACGCCCCAAGTACCGCCGTTGGCGTTCGGCGGCTCCGTCGCGTTGGCGACGCGCTCGAAGGGCAGGCACATCATGCCGTCGGCGACGGGGCGCAGCCAGCCCCAGGCCCAGCCGTTGGGGGCGAGCGACTTGGGGACTGACGGCGGCGCGGGCTGGTTGCACGTGTAGAAGGACGTTGCGGAGCCGCAGAGGAAGGCGCCGGGCGTGCAGGGGAGGTAGCGCGCCGTGTTGGGGTCCGTGGTAACGTAGCCGGGGCGGTCTGAGGGAGATGGGGAGTATGTTGGGGGAGGAGGGGAAGGGGAGTAGTAGGAGGCGGAAGCGGTGGTATTGACGGATGGGGTGGCTGGGTTGATGCTGTGGTTAGTTTTGATTGCCAAAAAAAAATTCGGATTGATGGGAAACCGCTTTCCAGGGGGGTTAAGACTTACTGCTGCTTACGACTGTCCTCCACGTCGAACTCCCCGTCGCACTTCCAACACACATTGTCGTGCAGTCGTTCACCGGTGCGCAGTAGTCTCCGGGCATCTCGCAGTCGCATTCCAGGACTGGCGCAGTGCAACTAGCTGGAGGCGGCGGAGCCGTCGAGTACTGGGTCACGACGGGTCTAGGCGGGCAGCTCGTAGTAGTGGGCATCACAGCACCATCCTGAGGGCGTCGCTGCGCGGTCTGCTCGCCAAACATATTGAACAGAAGCGACCCCGGACGGGGAAATGATGGCGAAGACTCGTTCTCTGGGGGTGATGGTAGCGTTGGATTAGAGTCGTTGGGTCTATTTGGAGGGGTGGGCGCAGGGGTCAGGAGGGATTCGATGTATGAGTTGATGAGCGACGCTTCTGTGGAGTCTGGAGTCGGCGTGATGACTCCGGTCGAAGTAACTCTGCTCGTCACTTGGAGTGTTCTCATCGGGTAAGCGTTTGGAGTTGCGGCGTCTGAGACTTGCGCTGGGGCTGCCGCGCTGCTCCTACCGCGCAAGACGGTGCTGACGTAGCCTTGAATCTGCGATGAGAGAGCCGCACCCTCAGCCCCCGTTGCCGCCGCGGCGCTGGCCGTCATGGCTGAGGCCATGTATTCTTCAACCGCGCTGGTGCGCCCCGGGCTACCTGACGCAGCGGAGATCTCGAAGCCGGCGATGCCAGTGCCATGAGAACCAGCGCGATGGCGGCTGGCGCGGGCAGGACCATGGGGACCTTTTGCGGCGCGGGGAGTGGATACATGTTCGGGTCGCCAGGACCGCGATTGCGCGACGCGGAAAGCGGATGCTGGGTTGAATGGTGGGAACTGCGATGGTGAGTGCCGCGTTGGCGGGTACTGCGCTTGCGAGGGCTGCACTTGTGGAGGCTGCATTTGCGGAGGCCGCGCTTGTGATGGCTGCATTTGCGGAGGCCGCGCTTGTGAGGGCCGCTCTTGTACGGGTCGCTCTTGTGAGGGCCGCTCTTGCGGGGACTGCATTGGCGGGTACCGCGGGGGCGAGGACTGCGGCGGCGAGAACTGCGCTGGTGAAGGCTCCGGTGGTGAGGACTCGGCCGGCGAGGACTCGACCGGTGATGGCTCTACTGGTGAGGGCTCTGCTGGTGAGGGCTCTGCTGGTGAGGGCTCTGCTGGTGAGGACTGTGGCGGTGAGAACGGTGGTGGTGAAGACGGCGGTCCTTCGTTTACAGGAGAATCCGAGTTACCACAGGCAGGCGCCGGGATCTCGCAGGCGTCGCTTCCGGTGGCAGGGGATGAGCCGCTCATGCCGTTGTTGTAGAGGACATCGGTGCCGGGGTGAGGGTACATTGTGTCTATTCCTTCGGGAGAGACGCAGCTGTTGATACCTTTGAGGTTGGCGACGTAGAGATTGGGCAGCATGCACAAGTCACCGCCGCTCTGGCCGTCGATGTCGACCACTGCGCAGTTCATGTAGAATTCGCGGTTACCGGTGTGGTTGATCCATGTCCAGGCAAACAACGCCGTACCAGACGGCGCTGTCATGGGGATGGTGAAGTCCCAAGTGCCGCCGCCCTGCCCGGGGCAGCCACCGATCATGCTCTTGATAACCTTCCAGGTCTTTCCGTTGTCGTAAGAGAGTGAAATCTGACAAGATCCACCGTTGTGGTTTGCATAGCCCTCGACCGTCATGTTGTATGTCTGACCAGCCTGGTAAGTAGCGCTGGCGCTCAGTTTCGCGCTTGCCTGGTCCAGTCCTTTGCATGGGAAGTCGGACCCGTCTGATTGGAGGGGAGACTTGATGTTGTAGTCCCTATCCGCGGCATTGGCAGAATTGGGACTATCCCAGGGCTGCGGCGTTTCCAGTTCCATGTGCGCATGGACGAAAGAGAGCAGTGTGCTTGTACATAGTGTTGTCAGTAGTAGAGAGCGTAGACCAGATCGAGTCGTGTCAGTCGTGAGGATCATAATGGCGACTTGCGAACAAAACAAACAGGACCACAGAAAGAATGTGATGGAGGTGCCCTTGGACGAACAGTGGCTTGCCGGCAAAGATGCAGCTCTTAAGAGAGAAGCAGCAAGGGAAGTCCCGCAGCTGCCCCCTCCTGCACGGAGGCACCTGCACGTAACGGAATTCACGCGCAGGAAACATTATGGTCAGTTGCATCGAAAGAGAGTAGGACGAAAACGCCAAGTGCAGGCCTAGCCACTGTGGCCATGGACTTCTTCTGGCCAGAGGATCGCATTTTTGGCACGACTGGTCAGGACATGTCGACCATTTGCAGTTGTCTTAGGTGGCGGTGGTACGGTCCCTGCAGGTGATGGGGCGAAAGGGATACATTCCTTGCTCTTTTGATCCAGGAATGCTCTCCCTGCCTCCACCTCGAAGACAGCAGAACGGCCACGATGCGGCTCTACGATATACAGGGTGGCTGGGGGATGACAATGACGGCCCTGATGGGGATGAAGATAAGGTTTCGCACTACTTACGGTGGACACGCGGCATCCAAGTCCTGTTTGCAGCTCTGTCCACCGTTGAACGCCACAACCCAACGGACAATAAAAATGTATTGCCTGCCACCAGCAACGTTCCTGCTGTGCCATATCGGGGACGCCGCTTGAATGCAAAGTGAAAATAAACGGCGCAGAGCCCGACATCAGTCGATCAGAAACTCCTCTATCTCTTTGTCGCTATCGGCCTCGGCTTCCTCGCGCAGTTTCTGCTCGTGGGCTTCGAGCATCTGGCGGACGAACTTGCGCTGGCGAAGCCTGGCCGCGCGGCCCCAGTCATCCTTGTCTTCGTCCTCGCTGTCGCTGTCGCTGTCGACGCCTGGTATCGCGATCTTGGGCTGCTTTTTCCTTCCGCGCAGGTCGTTCGCCGATAAAGTTGCGCTAGCTTCGATTTGGTCTGATTGCGAGTCGGCTTGGTGTTGCTTTTTCTGAAGATGCGCTCCCAGCTTCATCAAGTAAGGTCTCAGCAGGCAATACGCGCCGATGATGGTGACGAGGCGGATGTAGTCGTAAACGCGTAGCTCGCTGAACTACAGTGGTATCGTTAGCATGTGGGCCGAAAGCTTAGCTAGAGTGGGGAATGCGCACGGCCTTTGTGGTCTGAGTGGTGAAGTTGCTGCTCCAAACGGATAGTAGCGAGAGGATGTCCGTAGCGCCTCCGTCGTGCTGCTGCGCGGCCATTGTGTCGCAGTTTGATAATTCTTCGCAAGCCGCCTTCGATCTGGTGCGAAAATCTCACCCTTTCAAAGTACTGTCGTGAAGAAGCGCGGTGTGTTGTAGGTGAGCTCGAGGGTTTGAGTTTGAGCCAGTCTAGAATCCCACAAGCTAGGTCCCCGCTTGAAGAAGCAATGACGCACCCCTGCCAATGATCGCTCCGCGCATTCCACGGGAAGGACGCGTCCCCGTCGCGTCTCCCCCGACCAAACAACGTCGCCCGTTCCTAACCGCCCAGCCACCACCACACACTATGGCCGAGCACGATGACGAAGAGGCGGCAGCTCAGAAGGAAGAGGTGAGTCTGCAGCAGCAAATCACAAACACCGACGTCGAGCTAATTCTTCCCTTCTAGCGCCTCAAATCCGCCCTCTGGTATAGCATCGGCCAGTTCGTCGACAACCAATGCCAACTCAAAGACCACAATGCGACGCCTCAGTTTATCGGCGCGCTGACCGAGCTGGTCTGGACGCAGATTGGTAAAGCCAAACTCCTCGAATCCACGAGAAACTCAACCATCCAAAAAGAAAAAACGAAGCCTTTCATCTCACCGCCATCCTAATATAATTACACTATCGATAAGGCGCGTCCGTAACTAATAAGAAAGCGCCATGGTCATAGAATCCGCCTCTCGCGACCTATCCACATTCGCCCGCCACGCCGGCCGCGCCCAGGTCAACACATCTGACGTCCTGCTTCTCGCGCGGCGAAACGAGGGTCTGGAGGCGCTGCTGCGCCAGTTCGTCGACGAGTACCGCGCCGAGAGGAGTAACGATACTGAAACCGCGAATCGTCGGAGTAATAGTAACACCGCTGGCCGAGGTAGAGGTAGAGGCAGAGGTGGTGCTACCGCTGCTGCTGCGAGAGGAGGGGCCCGAGGGAGAGGTCGAGGGAGGGGAAGGCGTGGCGCTGCTGGTGCTGGGTGAAAACCATCAGGATATCACAGGTAGTGAGGAACAAGGAATACGGGGTGCGGGGATACAGGCAGCCTGCAGCTGGCTCGAAATGGAAAGAGGAAGAATATCACGGGTACGCTGGACAGTGGAGGGTTGAGTTAAGTGGACACGATCATGAGATGCTTGTGCACATGCATTGGCACCTGGCATCTCACAGCTGGCACACCTTATCGGAGAGGAGGGGTGAAAGGAAGAAAAGAAGAAAAGTCATGATCGGTGGCGGTGCATCTCTACACGGTGGGAACCCCGAGCTTGGGTGCACGCTGAAACATGTGACGGGCCAATACAGGTGGAGGCTCAGTGGGTTGTTGAGAAACGATCGTCACACTCCGTGCACAGAGCTGGAACTGCAGGAAAGAGCTCACCGCAACAGCGCGCCTGATTTGTCACGTGTGGTGGAGACTTTATCGGTTGTTGCGGAGACTACACAAGAAAAACTGGGTATCAGGGGAAGAGCCCTTGTCTTCACACCACGAGATTCGTGTGGTTAACATTATCCATTCAAGTTCAAGGATCAGCTGCAGCGCCTGTGATAGGTGTGAAAACCTATTTCTCGAACCAATTCGTTGTCATTAATTATCCCCACGATGATCATCCGCCTCATAGAAATGTCATTAACAGCTATCCCTTCATCGTCTGCCGCAAGGAACTATCTTATCTTCATAAAGCCCGCTCTCTTCGATCGTAAAAACAAAAACTCAGCGCCGTTGCTGTGGTATCCAGTGTTTGCTTTTCATAACACAATTAAGAATTGAAGCGACGCCTGCATCCGGAAAACAAAGGACGCATCAGCGCGCAAGTTTCACGTGAGGTAAAGGAATCCGAGGCTCCGGGGAAACGGAGTTGAGACACGGCAATGCTTCCGTCGCGTTCCGACGCAATCAATACGTTTTGAATGGAAGTCGCGAGCAGGAGCCAACGCGTTAGTAGTGTGCGTTGGTCTTCTCGTAGCCGTAAGGGTTGGAAGTGGGACCGGTGCCGGGAGCAGCGTAGCTGCCGGTGTAGCCGGCGTCAGGTTTGTAGGTCTGGTAGGTGTGCGAGTTGCCGCCTCCAACGGTGGAGCCGGTGTAGGCAGTCTCGCCGCTGGGCCTAGTGTCGACGTTGGGGCCACCGACGGCGCTGGCGGCGGGCGCACCCGCGCCGTAGGCACCCAGCTCGGAGTCGCCGTTGTCACCAGGGGTCCTCTTCTTGCTGCGCCTCCAGAAAGCAGCGCCCTTGCCGCTGCCAGAGGTGTAGTTGTTGGCAGGGGACGGGCCGTAGCGCTTCTCCTTCTGGTGGCGGCGAGCGAACCAGAATTGGCAGACGGCTGCAAAGAGGAACAGGAATCTAAAAAAAATAAGTATGGTGTGGAACAATAAGAACATGTTTTGAGTACTTACGCTCCGATGATAGAGACTGCGAAACATGCCTTGTTGAAACGGCAGGCAGTGCCATAGCTGGCCTGGTAAGTGAACTGGTCGCCATCACCGGTTCCAAAGCCATTTTTGCCAAAGCCCTCGCCAGTTTCAGCGTTGCCGCGACCGAGAGGAGTGTCGACAATGCCGGTGCAGCTGTTGACGCCATCACGAGTGAGGACGGCAATGGCAATGAAAGCGCCGCAGAAGGCAACATCGAGAACCATGCCCAGGAAGGCAAGGATGCGGACGCCACCGAGGCATGGAGTGAGGACGATGGCCAGGATGGTGTATACGACGCCTACACCTGAGATACCCTCAACGGCCTTTAGCCAGTTGGCGATGGGTCGGTCCCGGTCGGCCAAGACGGCCATGAAGTAGGAGTAGAAACCGAGGATGATGGCTGAGCAGCAGAAGCACAGCATGTACGGGAAAGTCCCGAGGAGGCGACCGAAGAAACCCATCGCGGCGGAACTGGGCGCAATGGGCCGGTGTCGAGATGCGAAGGAAAGAAGGTCGAAAGCACTGGCGTGTGCGCCGGGAAGTTGGTGGGCTAGATGCCGGAATGCGTGGCAGGTGATGGCCAAGCCAGGAGGAGAAGCGGAGAGACTTTGGATTAAATGTGTGACGGGCCAGAAAATGACGCAGCGATCAAGCACAGGCACGACTGGGCAGCCCACATTTTGTGTTGCTTCGTTCTCCAGACTGGTGTGGTGATCGACGCCTGCCTGTCGTCATGTGGAGCAGCGCTTTGCAGGGGCCGCTCACGCGCGAGCTGCTTGCGGCCTAGCGGCGCCGGCGCACACGCACTTCTGTGGCTGTGGAGAAGCGACGCCACAGATTCGCCATCCAGGCTGTGAGAAGACGGCCGGCCCAAGACACCAGTGGCAGCCAAGCACCTATCAGCTTGCTCTCGCTGCGCCCTCCGCCAGCCTTGCTTTCCCCTGGCGCACACTTTCAGCCGTGCCTGGATCCCGAAAGCGAGCTCGCTCAATCAACGCCCGACGTCACAGCACCACTTGCTGCGAGACTGTGACGTCTCCGCATCTCTGCCTCTGGTTGCGCTATCTCCGGTGAACCAGACATCACTTATCAGTTCCTTGAACTACACCATCACCCGGTCACTCTCCTGCATCTCTCGATGACGCTGTTGTACAACAAGCTCTGCGACAGCCCATGCCGCTGCAGAGTTTCCCTGTTTTGATGAGCGAGATGGCCAGGGCAGCACGTGCGCATCGTCCCGCTGAATGCCTCATCTCGCTTCAGTCTCGCCTGGCCCTGGAACCGAGCACCATCTCTCTGTGGAATGCATCAGCTGCGAAGTCTAATCTTTGGAGCTGGAAACGGGAATCCAACTTCATACAAAGATGAAACCGTTGTCCTTGCTGGGCGGTTCACTTTGTCTTTCCTCATCAGTCATGCATATTTCACCACACACCTGCTCGTTGATAACGTCATAGGCTCATTTATCCATTACCATCGCCATATTATCTGCGGATCCCGGCTAGCTCAAGCTCACCTTGCTTCGGCTCGAGCCAAGAATCGCCCTAGCGCGTAGTCGAGGGTCCAGATCTGGCCCACCACGCCTTCTAGAAGGATTCCCACGAGCTACGGAAAAGTCGGCCCGCACGGCACGCCACATCTCCGCTACCGTTATTAGCTCTGGCTCAAACCAGACGGCCTACGGCCAGCAAATATGTATCCACGAGCCCTACAGACAAGACTCGCCCTGAGTACCATCAAAGAGTCATGCGACGAGGTACCACAATTCTACACGAGCATGGCGAAAGTAGTGCTGTCAAAGACACCGCAACCCAGCTGCTCTCGACGCCAACGGCTTCTCCACCCAATCAGTGTTTCACTGGTTTTGGTCCCAGGGATAAGTCAGCAGCATGATTGGAAATTGGCGCTGTCGTCTCTAAGCTGGACTAAATATCAGTCAACTAAATCATCACTTCTAACAACATCACAACAAACCCATACCCGCTCCTTAGTACCATAATAAATAATCTTCTCCATATACCAGCTTGCTAAAAGCTCATCACTCAGATTACCTCCCCCGTATGCAGACCTCTACATAGAACAATGGCTACGGGCTCGAGTTGCCCTTTCACTAATCCGACCAGCCTGCCAGAGACAGGGATGAGGATTCGCTATTCAGTGCTAGATGGTAGCGTTAATCTTGAGCTCTGGAAGGACTATCCGAAAAGATTTCTATTCCAGTCATAGAAATAACATGATAAAACAGGAGACTACTCAATTAATTAGTAGGTAGGGCTTAGTAGCGGATAATAAGAGTTCAACCTTCCTAAACTTTTACGAAAATACTAACTATCGGTTGAGTTCAAGAACCGGAACCAGAGCAGAAGCCGAAGCAAGGACAAGAACCCTAAAGATAGAAAGCCGACGTTAGCGTATCGAAGTGCGGCAGTCTATCTAATTCGGAATAAGAACCCATTAAGAGCGAAGATATACGCAGCCCGAGCGAGGGCAGCGAGCAATCCACCTTCGCCGGTTCATTCAATATAAATGTATTTTGCAGCCGAAGGCTAGTGTGAACTTGTTTCTCATTTATGTTATAAGTATCTAAAGCGATTAACCAAGTATTAATGTAAAATCAGTAATTATACATTTACGTCTAGAAAATAGTTTCTACCGTCTATAGATGCTACTTCTCGTAGAAGATTGCCGGGATAGATTTACACTCTATTATAGACCCTACTATTATTTTTACTAGCCTTTGGTAGTAATGTCTTTCCGTGTATAAATTATATCTTTGTCGGAGCAAACGGTAGTTTTAAACCAAGCCATGCACAAGTAGGCAGACTTTTAAGAGAATAAGCAAACAACGGAAAGGTCTATAAAGACTACTAGGTAGCCCCTATATAGCAATTTCAGCGATCGCTTTCATTATATCCTATGTTTCAGCAATTGGACGGTAAATTAGTATATACGGCTATGTCAGATCAGACTCCAGCCCCGGAGTATATTCAACCCATAGTTCCTATTCTGGATGCGGCCCACAAAATTATTGAGACAGAGGCTGTTCTAGAACTGTATTTCATTGAGTCCAGCAATATCCGCTAGGAGAAGTGTTACAATCATGGTTGCTATCATACAGCTTCGCAATCGGCTGCCACCTCTCCGGGGCGTTAGTGGAAGTCACCTGGAAGTTAACACAGCACAACAACTCCGCCCCAGCAATACTTTCTCATTCACATGCCACCCCAGAGGGGCCCGTGCATGTCTGCCTGGCCCTGTTGTCACATTCTACTTCCCACTACAACCGTTTCTTCTTCTCCACCCTCCTACACTACTTTACCTCCTTCTTCTTCCTCGACGCCATTCTGACACCGCTGAACACCCACGAACCATCTCCGTGTAGCCACCGTGCTACCAGTGCAACGAAAACCACGGCATCATGACGAATGCGAAGCGGAAGCGAAACAGCGAAGATGACTACGGCCAGAATGAGGCGCCGAGCCGCAAACGCGCCTCAACCGTCAATCCTTACAGCACACTCCGACCGTCCTACCACAGTAAGAGCATACCGGAATCGAGCATGACAACTCCGCACAAGCGTAGCCACCGGGGAGCTGCACATGGTGCACCGAGGCCAGGAGTGCAGCAGCGCAAGAAGAGGCTACCGGCGCATCAGACACCCACTTGCAGGTTGAACACCACCTCCAGCACACATACCCAAGCCAGTCTGTCCACCAATGCAACGAGTGCAAGCACGGCAACCGAGTCAAACCTTTTGTTACGCACTGGCTTGGTTGGCACGAGACGCCACCCAAGCTTTTCAAGATTGCAGAATGGCCCAAAAAAGCGTAAGCGTCCGTCTGAAGAGGAGGCAAACGCGCCGAGTCGACCGATGAAGATTTCACGTCCGGACGTCACAGTACTATCGCATCCGAAGACAGCGCCACGTCCGCGAGTGTCGTGTCCGAGAGTGCCGCGTCTGAAGAACACGGGACTGCATGGCACTATCAGCTATCCACAGCACATGCGCAAGCTTCCCACCGAGATTGCTCTTCAAGTGTTTTCTTATATGGAGGACAAAGATGTGGCCAAGGTGCGTTCCACATCCAAGTGGTTCCGTGTCAACATGTCCGACCGCTTCGCCGAGTATTGTACTCAGACGCTCGAGAAGAAGACGGAGTTCAAAGACAAGAGATGGGACTTCTCCCTCACAAGATCGGCCATGAATCAGCTATTGCTCATCTGCCGCATCCCGCGCCTCGCGCGTCTCATCACAAGTGTCAACATCAATTTCGACTGTCCCAACCAGGCTGGCGTCAGGCTATTCGACAAAATCGAGCGTGCGTACCAAAATGCCGCAGCGGCGGACAGGATGCTGGTCCTCCTGGGATTCAATACGCTCAAATCGCTCCCTGCCGACAAGTTGTTCCGCCGCTTCCAGCAAGAGAAACGCCTATACGAATGCGATTACAGAGAGCACGCGGCGGAAATTGCCACGGGAGATGACCTATCGATGCTGGTCGAAGTCTTCAACGAGTTCACGCACCTTGAGAATATTCGGATTGGAGGCTGGAACAAGGACATGCGGGTCGATCACAATGACCTGATGTCTACCAAGGACCGCCATCGCCAGAAATACTTTTATATGCTTCCTATTATGACGCTCTACAACGCAGATGAGCAGCTCTTATTGGAAACGCATGACGAATGTATGCAGCATGTATTCAAGAGGACCATGGCGGCGCTTAGCTCATCCAAGCTGATGCTCGACAGCCTCACAGTCGACCCCATCATACACGGGCGCAACTCCAGCTCAACGCTGCTAGCATCTAACAACATGATCAATAGCGATTGCCTTAGGAGCCTGGAAGGAAGATTCTCCTCCTTGAAGAAGCTGGAGCTTCGTCTGTGGTGTCGAAGTACCAGGAACGACTTTGACGAAGTGCCATACTGGAAATTATTGCAGTTTGCACCTAACTTCGAGAGCATTGACATTACATGGGACAAACCTGACTATATGCCCTGCCGGAGGTTCGGCGAGACTCTTGCGTGTTACCGTTCGCCTCGGCTGCGCAGCATCAAGCTGAGTGAGGTGAAGATCAGCGGCGAGGCGCTGTTCAAATTCCTCCAAGGACACAAAGACTCTCTGCGCCGACTAAGCTTGCGGGATATGACTCTATTTGGCGGGGCATGGGCGCGCATTTGGGCGTTGCTAAAACATGAAGTCCAGCTCGAAAATGCTTTCTTTGGATCGTTGCACGAAGACCAGCCGCTTGGTTCTATTGCTTTTCCATGGAAATCGGATCCCGATCCCTCGTCTGTCTACAGGAAGAGAGCTCTTCAACTAGGACCGGACGACAGTGAATTTGTTGACGACATGGCGATAGTGGAAAGGGAGGTAGCCGACGGCCTTGACAAATTGGTCAGGCTGTCCGTTGTTGGGCCCTTCTGGTGGGTCGAATGACACAAGCGAGAGGATAATAAAGGGCATTGATTGTACAGGTGATTAAGGACAGGAGAACAAAGGTTTCCACGGTACTAGCTGTTTGGGTTGGCGGATGCTTGCAGGACAGGAGGGCACGAGACCGCAAGACCTTTTCAAAAGTCATAGAGTAAACGGGTTAGCTGGCGCGACTTGATAAATTAGTGTGAATGCAAATAAAGTTAAACTTTTGGATATAGGCTTTTGTGAAAGCCTGAGGACTCCCCTTGGCAGTCATGATAAATGTAGGTACATGGCGGCGGCAGCTCGGGCCGCGAAACCGCCAATAGATTCCAATAGACGCTGGCGCAGCTTCTGGAAGCAGTATCGAAGCGACCCGACACGATGGTAACTCTATTTTCAACTCTTATTATTGCTGCCTGCAGCGCGCCCTCTCTCCTTCGCCCTCGCGCAGACCATCTCGCACAGCTCGATGGGCGGTGGCCAGACGCTCGACGCCCCCCGGTCGACGATTACGTAGCGACGCGCACAGGGTGACGGAGTGTCTGATTTCGATTTGCCTTTTCAACACGTACGCTGGAGCCAGCGAAATGACCGAGGCCCCGGCGGGTATAAGCCGCGGCCGCAAACTCCGACTGCCGAGCAGGTACGGAGTTGGGCCCGTGACGCGTCCTTGGCTTCGATCACACAGCTCAGTTCCGCTGACGGGACACATTTCGCTAAAGGGCGGGTGTGATTTGCTGCGGTTGCACCATGATGAGGATGCCCGCGGGCTAGCATTGTTTGCAAGAAAAGGGAAAGAGAAGGGCCCGAAACGAGTCACACCATCGTTCTAGAAGGACTCCACATGGGTGGCCTGCCTCCCCTACCCGCTCCCTGTCGATTTGGCCCTGGCGCGCCCCCGGCCACGCGCGCGCCCCAACGCCGTGCCCGCAAACTCTTTCTGTCGATTGCGCTTCTTCGTCCTTCTGGTGGAGCGTTACCGCTGCCAAACCATCCCCACCGCTTCACCCGCGCTTTTTGCCTCTTCCTTGTCTGTTTGCCGACGCGTCTGCCCACCCCGCGCACGTCCGCACACCGACATGCGAATCGCATCTCGTCAGCACACCGAGCAGAAAAATAGACCGTCGCTCCCCAAAGCTTGGTCATGATTAGTGATAACAAGGAAATGAGCACTTTATTCCCGCCGTGCACTGCGCCAGCCAATCACCCCTCCATTTACGTACGAGTGCATGCGATAGCAGCCCGGCTAAGAAAAATCCAAATACCCTAAGTGACTAGTCGCAGCCCTCCGTCCTAGTCTCTCTACTACTACCCACATCGCTGTCGCCTACCTATGCACCGGGGTGCGCGAGCCAACGAGCTTAATCCATAAAATAATAATAATAATAATGCTCCGGGGAGGGCTTTACATGTACGACTAGAGCCAGATTAAAATTAGCAATACACGCGCTCGCGTATACGCTTCTCAAACATTTCCCGAATGGTATAGTAGCCGGCGACGGGACCCGCCGACGGTCGCTCGGCCACTGCTATTTAGCGTCGCGTCGCATTCGTGGCGTGGTTTCGGGCAGAGCACGTATCACGCTGCCCTCCCTCTTTTTTTTTTTCTCGAAAAAACGCCTCCGCGCCACTCGTGGATGGCGGTAGAACGATGGCAAACGGCATCCGAGAAAAATGAGCTTGTGCGCCCACCACTTGCCGTGCCCCGCCGGCCGCCGCCGCTCGGCCTGTTACGGCAATACAAAGGATTTCTAATAATAAAATCCAATAGACGGTGGGGACACTTATCGTGGGGAAAAAAAGACGACGACGATGGAGAAGGATTGAGCAACATACTAAAAAGACTTTCGGTAAATTCGGCAAAGCAGTTGGGCGGGGTGCGGGCTGGGTTTTGGAGAGAAGAGTTGGGCTTGCATCATGACTTAAGGTTCTTGAGTAAGGGGTGGACGAGCGTTAAGTTAGTAGGTGGGGGTCAGAAGGATGGATGATGTTCGGCAGAACCCAACGTCGCATTGCTCTCTTATCCGTATCTCACTGCTAGTTGGTCGCCCGAATAGGGCATCCCGGACGAGGGTCAAACACACGGTCCAAGCGCCGGCTCTTTTTGCCCATGCCCTATCGCTGCATGGTACGAAAAAAAGAGTCACTCGTCGCTGCTGCTGCGCCCACTCACGTAACCCGAGGTGGCCAAGGAATGTGCAAGCGTGTTTGATGAGATAGAACACGACCATTTAGCCTAGCACGGAATGCACTGCGACTCTATTTTAGGCAAGCGAGAGGCTCAGGTAGAAACAAAGACGTCGAGTCAGTGTTGGCGCAAAGCGTCGATTCGCGCGCGTCATTCCCGCCCCTCATTCCCGGCGTTTTGCTTTGACAGAGTGGAGTCGCGAACGGAATCCTGCGGACGGGCAGGGCAGGCAAACGAGCGGGCATGTGGCGCGGGCCAATAATGTAGGCAGCCCAGGCAATGATTACGCCGCAGCCAACGCACACGCTTCCGTTTCCAGCTCCAATGGGCAAATCGTATCTGCGCAGGATCGTGTACACGGTTAGCGGATGACGATTCGATGATCAAAATTCGATAGACATTATCCACTTCGCTCTCGCGGGTCATGTGGTTGGGGTGTGATGTGGCGAAGCCACTAAACGAGAAGGATTTTAGACAGGATTGTGGAAGGTGTAGGAAGCGCGCGGCTTGCCAATGCATGAACTGTTTGTGTGATGCGATCCCCCAATCCGGCCAGCCCAGCCGACAGGGGCGCCCGCTGCTCCGGCTCCCGGCATGCGGCACCCGGGTCGCTGTAAAATACAACTTCATTCGCCTTTTTGCGCACTCTGCAAAATCACCCTCAGCTATTGGTTGAGGCCCACCGCCCAATGAGAGAGGCAGCCAAGCCGGCCATCCCCCCTGGAGCTATTGTGAGGCATGGGTCTGCGGGCGAACTTTGCAAGCCCGAACTGGTGGCCGGATTTGCCGATCACTGCCCGCCAAAGTAGCATCCGCGACGGCCACCACTTTTCACGGCACATTTCACTTTCTCGTGTGGGCTGATTTGTTCATCGCCATCAATCATTCGTCTTTTCATGTACAAGATGGCGCAAGGGCCGGGCTTCGCCAGCCTTGTGGAAATTGCCTCCCCCATGATCGTCGATTTTGCTATCATACAAGTCATGCAACCAGAAAGCCCAGATCAGAAAAGAAAAAGTGAATGGCAGTGCGCCGGCCTCTGCCGTCCGCACGCCGATGCCGTCCAGTAAGATGTCACGGCGCCTCTTCAGCCAGCCAAAGCCGCCTTGCTCTTGGTCCACCAGTCGATCCGGTCCTGGTCCATGGTGCCGCCAATGCACTGCGTGACGTAGCTCTCAAAACCGTCCTGGGATCCGGACTGAAGAGCGGTGCGCTGGGCTTCAGTGCACTTGTTCTTGAGGAACCACGCCGCCGAAGCAAAGCTGTACTCGTCGGGGCTGACCAGCTGGAGAATGGCGTCGGCACCGTTGACCTTGGCATTGTCGACCTCGTCCGAAGAGAAGAGAGTGCGAGCGTACTCCTCATTGTACGTGGCTGACTGCATGTTGCGCGTGCCCTTGCCCGGAACGTGCTCGTCCTGGCCGTTCATGAAGTGGCCCCAGTTGTACTTGAACTGGCCGCTCTCGTAGAGCATGAGTGAGATGACGGCCGCCTGCTCGTTGACGTTGGTGATCTGGTACTTGTTGAAGGAGCAGAGGATGGGACCCGCGGCCTGCTCGTTGGTGCGGCACTCATTGCCGTACTTGGCAGTCGTGTCGCAGGTCGCGGTAGTGGGAGCGATAATCTTCAGATCGGCAGCAAGGCTGCTGTTGGTGAGGTCGCGCGTGGCCATGTTATTGGCCAGCGGCATGGCATGGCCAACAGCGGCCAAAGCGGCAGACAGCAGCGTGAGGGCGTGCATGTTGACGGTTGTCGAGAGATTGGAGAAGAAGTGAAAATAGAAGAGAGAGTTGGTGTTGGTGAAGAGAAGAATTGTCGGTTCCAGACCGGGGTATCTTTTAAGAAAGAAAGTAAGGGTGGTAGAAGGAATGGAGGCAGGCGCAGCAGCAGAAGGATTTATAGAAGGACCACAAATAGCACCTGCTGTAGTGAGCACTAGGCATGCAACAATAGCAAGATGAAGTGAGCGCGGCTTGGAAGGAGCGACTGGCAAAAACGAAGTGCTTTTCTTCTCAGCTTGCGGACACCTGCATCCCTTGCGGAACACGAGCTTATAGACAAAAGCCCAGGGGGCTGACAACCCGCAAACATGACCGCGTCCTGAGCCGCCGTCGCGCCAATCGCTGCAGCCGGCGACGCCGCGCGCGTGGCGGCTGGAACAGGAGGAGGTGTTGACTGCAGAGCTGGCGCTTGAAACAGCCAGGCACCGCACGTGATGGTTGCGTCGATTGGCCATCGGAGCGCGCGGTGTTTTGCGCGCGGGCCGGCCTGTTTCAGAGGCTGTTTCGTCGCTGGCGATCCCCAATTTAAGTTGGGCCAGCGTGAGCGAGTCAATCGGCACACAAGCTTTTCCCACGCGCGTGAGAGCAGGCATCCGCCGCGACTCCCATCACTATTGCGCCGGCGATCTGGCACGCTTCCGTTATCCTATGTGTAGCTACACTTTCACCCCGGCTGCGTTTACCGATTCTGCCAGCCTCGGGCAACAGTTGCCCGGAATGCCGGTTGCGTGCAAGTCGACGACGCCATCTCCACGACTCGGCCCATCTTTCTCAACGGAACATTCCAAATCCCAACCAGTGCCTCCTGGCGTCCCCGGCAGACGCACCCGCTTACGCGAAGCCGAGGGTCGTATCCGTGTAGGAGGGCCATCCACCGGCCCTGAACAACTGTCACTAGCTCTCGGACCCCCTCACCCTGGTCGGAGCGCTCGCGTGCCGTCATCTATTACCTACCCTCTCCCTACCGGCTTTTTATAGCTTGCCCGATGCATGCGGATTGATCCTGAGCCGCACAAAAGCGGTCAATCCCGCCGCCGCCAACGCCATCGAGCCCGCGTAAAAGATTGCCGGCCGGTATGCTTCGAAGCCTGCCTTCTCACCGCCGTAGGCGTTGAGCAAGAATCCTGCAATAGGCGCTCCCTATCTCGCGATCAGCATCCGTGCCCCCAGATAGGCACGTCGACGTCATGCGACCCGGGCACCTACCAGCAAGTATCCGCCAGTCCAGCCCGTGACAATCATGGCCATTGCGACTGCCACGCGGGCCGATCCAAATACGTTGCCCACAACTGTCGGCATGGTCGAGAAGAAGCCGCCGTTTGCTGCCCCGTTGATCACCACAAACACCGCAAGCGGCGCCACCTTGGTCGATTCAGGCCACAGCGCCAGCATGCTTAAGGCCGTCAGCATGAACGACATGAAGAGCGTGTTCAGTGGGCCCACGACGTCACTGAGGAACCCGCATCCGATGCGCCCGAAAGCGCTCGCAAAGTTGAAGCCCGCCAGCAGGCCGGCGCCCGTGCTGGCCGACATGCCCAGCGAGTTGCTGTACAGCGGCAGAAAGAAGGGCGGAACGAACAGGGGGAAGGTTCCTATGGCCCCGGCAAGGAAGATGGTGACGAAGCGATAATCTTTGGCCAGGCGCCTGCGATTGGTGTGAGCATCGTCTGCTGTGAAAGGGGAGGATGATCCCACCAATCAATGAACTTCTTTGATTGGATAGACGTGCGCTCCTTGAGCAACCAGGCGGCCGGCAAGCATGTACCAAGGGTCAGCAGCCCGATGACTCGAAACGTCCACGCCGGTCCGACCTCCTCGATCAACCGCTCCATGGCCAGAGACGTGACGGCACCGCCGAGCCCCCCGCCGGCGTAGATGATGCCGTTGGCGATGCCGCGCTTTTTGCTGAAGTACTGGGCGGTGATGGTCGAGACGGTCATATAGCAGTGGCTGTGAGAATAAGCGTTAGCATGCTCCCTGTCTCTCCGCGTATTGGAGGCACGGTGCACGAAGCGACAGTGCCCACTAATGGCAGCATCCTCCAGCCAGCCAAGTTCATGCGACGGGCGATCACGCCGGACATAGAAGTCGAGGGCTATGTCCGAAGTAGCAACGTGCATGAAGTAAGCGGGTATATGCGCGCACTTATAGCGCTATAAATCTTCTTACCTGATGCCCACGCCTGTGATCAGACCGGCAGTGATGAAAAGGCCGGCGACGCTATGCGTGCAGAAGCCGGCAAACACGTAGCCCAGGCCCAGCAGGGAGGCGCCCAAGAGGCCGGTGGAGCGCGAGCCCAGCTTGCGCAGGACCTGCGCCGCGGCGGCCGCGAAGACGGCGTTGCACGCGACCGTCACGGAGCCGACGAAGGCGAGCGTCGACGCTGACGAAACGCCCTGCTGGACTAGGGCGTTCTGGATGACGCCCCAGCAGTACGAGGTTCCGATGAACCACCACGACAGCAGCGCACCGGAGGCGACAATGACCCAGCCGTAGCCGCCGTCGGGGACGCTGGCATCGGCTATGCGCGACGCCTCGACGACGTTGTCGGGGTCGGTGGGCGCGGTGGCCTGGGCCCAGGCGGGCGCATCGCGGGAAACTGGCTCCAGCTCAACGGCGGTGGTGGTGGTCGTTGCTGTAGCTGACATGGCTGGAAGGGGCTTGGCGTGCAGCTAGAAGAAAGGACAGATGCCGTTCATGGCTACGTGCATAGAGCATTTCACCTTTTAGGCGTTCGCAGGTGCGCGCGCCCTAGCATTGACAGAATGCGGGACCGTTGCAATCGCTCTGGCTATTGCAAGCACGCTTGCTGCATCCGGCGGCGCACACGCCATTGGCCGGCAGGCAGATGCGAACATGGCTGACGTAAGGAGCACGTCGGCGATGTTTCGTGCGACCTGGAACCTGCCGGCCGTGGCACGCCCAGGGATGTGTCGCAAAAAGTTTGCAGGTGGCGGGTTTTAAGGTTGCGACGCGCTTGTGCTTTCTTGTGGCCCTGCTCGGCGCGGATATATCGGATCTGCTGCTACTTGCTCACCTACTAGAGTGGCACACCACTCGCGCCCCGCTATAGCTGCTGTATCACGACCGTCACTCCACGCCCTGCTCTGCGTGCGACGGGCCCTGAAACAAGGGCGCGCGAGCTTAAGCAGCCCGGTGCTTGTGCCACTGCCCGCGCCTGGGGCAAATACAACAGCCCCTGATGGAGCGCGTCGCCGACTGCTTCGCGGCCGTTTGCGTCGCCTGGTTCGTCGGATTTTTTTTTTCTTTGCGCCGCTGATTGGGCGGCGGCCGGATCAGGAGAGGCAAGGCCGCGGTGCTTATCATCATGCACCGTGATCCTTTGGTCGACTAGGCTCGGCCAAGTTACCGTTGCACGTTGGCTGTGGCTGCACCTATTCTATGAATAATCGATTTGTCGTACCGGCTGCGGCGGAAGGGCACGTAACCCTGCCGCTATTAGGCTGTAGGCGTGAGTAGAAGCACGCAAGCACTGGAGGGGAGGAACACGATGCGCGAGGCCGATCCTGCTCGCAGCAGATCCAGGCGATATTTGTAGACTCACGCTTCACCACCTGCCCCGAGCGCCCCACCACCGCGCTGCCATTGCTGCGCTCACCGGTGCCCGCGGCGCCCACGATCTGCGAGTGCTGCGACGAGGCCTGCGTTGACTGCCAGCGGCGCGCCGGGCGAGGTTGCGGCGTGGCCGCGGGCGCGCGGTGTAAGCGATCTCGTATCAGCAGAGGTGGACGTGGAGGAGCCAGCGCCGCCAGGGGACGTGTTGCGCAGTTGGCTCATCGCGGGCAGCGAACGCTCGTACTGCCTGGAGCCTCCGCTGCCCGGCCAATTTCAAGCGCAGCGCCACACAACGGCTGCCTCCCCCTGCACGGACGGCCCTAAAGGTTAATCGCCCTTGGTGCCCTCGGGGCGGTCAATTGCGCGCTAATCTGCTTTATACCTTCGAGCTATATTGGCCGCAATGTTTTACTTTATTAAAGAAGCCATGCGGGCCCACACTAGGTGCGCGCTTGCATATACATAGACACTCCTCCTCGCCTGCCACCCGCTGCCCAGGCTCCCGAGACAAAGGCGCTCGTCTGGTGCGTGGCGCCCGTCCCTGCCCGCTTCGTCGTGTGGCATGCGGCCCTTTATTTGCAAGCACTGCTGACATGTGTCATCGCATAGGCTCCGGGAATTTTGCAATTGCCAAGAATGGAACTGCGATGCGATCAGACTAATAAGAAAGCGCCGCCCATTCTCGACACCACCCCTTCGCAAGACGAGCCGTCTACCACCATGATGGACCTCGACCAGCGCCCGCCCGAGGCCGATCTCCGCCTCACTCACAGCCATCCCTCCCCGGCGCCCGCCCACTCCTCCACCGCGCCCCCTTCTGCTCACCACTCTCCCGTACCGGCGCCGCACCAAAAACCCACCCTCCCTCCAATCAGCGGCCGGCCCTCGCCGCCCGCCTCGTCCAGGTCGCGCGAGTACAGTCTGCCCGCCCAAACACCCACCACCAACGGCCACCGGACCAATGGCCACCAGGTCGCCTATCCCAGCCCCAGTCCGCAGGATGTGTCCATGGACGCCCTCTCGCGCCTGCAGACCCAGGTGCAGTTCAACACCGCCGGTCTCAGCACCCACCGCCGGGATTTTGAAGCTCTCTCTCAAGGCGTCAACCGCCTCTCCGAAGATATGCTCCGCATAGAGAGCCTGGTTATGAGTTTGAGAAAAGAGATCATTGCCCGTCCAATTGCGCCAGCACCTCCGGCCCAGCCCGCCAGCAGCATCGATGATGCAATGCTCGAGAGCTTCGCCACCAACCTGACCAACGTCGCGAACAAGGTCAACGAGGTCGACGGGCTGAAAATGCAGCTCGAGATTGTCAAGCGCCGCGTAAAGATGATGGAAGAAGCCGTTGCCGCAGCAGCGCCTCCGAACAGCGCACCACCGGCGCCTTCTGTAGCCCCCTACGCCTCTCCTCGGGAAGGAAGCCAAATACAACCTCCGCATCCTATGCAGCATGCTCCTCTCCCGGCACATGCGCCCGCTCCGCCGCACGCCCAAGCACCTCCTTTCCACACGTCTCCGCCGGTACCCCGTCTGGGCACTCCGAGTCACGCAGAGCTGCGCCCTGATATTCGGCCAGCGCCTCCAGTTCAACCTTACCATCCTGCGTCTCAGGAGATGCAAGGTGTCGTTCCCGGAGGCCAGCCGGGCCAGAACAGCGGCTGGGTCTCGGTGAACCCCACTGCGAAGAGACAGCATCCCAACGGAGTAGATAGTCCTATGGACGGACGGTCGGAGACGATGGGATCACCGAAGCGGCCGAAGCTTGCTCCTATCGAGCCACGCGTAGGCCCTGAGTCGGCGCCAGCGTCGGCGCCAATGAGATATGACCCCGTCGAGAGGGACGGAAGAGACTACCACGCAGAAACCATGCGAGAGCAGCAACAGTATCCCGCTGCCACGCCGACAACCTTCGTTCCGTACACCTCCACCGAGCAACCCCATGCCGAAGACAACTGGCACTCTGATGCGCATCGTGGACCCTCTTCCGCTGGCAAGGAGTCAAGACGCGGAAGAGGAGGTGGTCGTGGTCGCGGCCGTCGGAGCTTGCCTGCCGACGCTCGCGAACTTGGAACTCCAGAATGGGATAAACCCAACTATCCGCCCGGACCGGAGGGCTACTATCACATGGACGTCGGTCCGAACGGTACCAAGGTTCCTCGTGGGAACATTGTGCGCCGTGGCTCGGGTGGCAACGGTCCCATCGCCATGCGGCCTATTGAGATGACGCGGCCTACTACTAGTGGTGACCCGTATGCTCACACGAAGAAAACTAGAACGAAGCCTGTCCGTAATGCGGATGGCGTCCTCATCCGCAAGGACGGCAGGCCCGACATGCGTTCACAAAGCAGTGCTGCGAACTTGCGCAAGGTCCATGCTCGCAAAGAGCAGGAGCGTATCCTGGAACAGCGTGCCAACACGCCAACCTCAAGTCTTGCCACCGCTCCTATGAGCAACGACAGCCAGAATGGCAGCCAGACAGCCGAAAGCACGCCAGACAAGGAAAATGCGCCGGCCAATGACAAGGATCGCCACGAAGCCATCATGAAACAGATGTTTCCCAACGGCGTCGATGACCAGGTTAACCGCCGCAACTTCCACGACCAATTCTTCCCGGGTGGAACGTCACCTACTGTGGCCAAGGTCAAACCCGAAGTCACCAGTCCCTCGGAGCGTTCGGTGTCTGAGGTTGACGAGCCCGCGGAAAGGAGATCTCAGGTCAACGGTCACACTCGGTCGCCCACAGCCGACGTCCATGAGGCGGACAAGATGGACGTCTCCCAAGACCACGCGCCTCAGCCTGTTTCTCAGGCAGCATAATTCACGATACGTACGAGAGATTGGAAAGGTGTGATGATGGTATTTCCTTTGGACAATTACATATCGGTTTGACTTTTCGTTTGTGTAACATCAGGAGGCAAGGACAGGTTGCCACATTTCCTTTAGTTTCTTGGGGACAGACACCGCATGCTGGGCGGGCGGTTGGTTTCTTTGCGTTTACTGGGAGATTTGGTTGATGTGCAAACTGGTAGATACCCGCAAGCATCTTTTTATTGTCGTAGATTCAGGGGCGATCATTCAACACATAGCGAGGAAGGTTGAAGGGTGCGGGCTTAGTCGCGAAGGATTGGATCATGGAATATTTTTTAATACCCTTGCATTATTTCAGAAACAATCCTGACAGTTGTAACATGTAATTACCCTAAGCTGCTGAGTGACAGGATGGTGGGGAAGCATGGTGACGTCGGCTGCACGCGGTTCGAGTCATGGCTCGAATTTCTCCAGCGATTTCGCAGTGCCATTCATCAACCACCGCCAACATCAACATCCACAGCGCCACGTCCCCGACGTCCCATCTTAGCGATACGATGCGTGCAGCCACACCGCAGACTCTCAGTTGGCTCCGCGCCATTGTGCGCCGTGAGCTCAACGCCCCTACGCTTTCACCCATCGCCTCCCGGCCCTCCCACCTCCGCCTCCGCACCTCCGCCGCTCTCTCTGTTCCAGTATCGCATGCCAGCGCATTCAGCACGACGTCCATACGATCGCAGGACTCGGAGCCTTCATCATCATCTTCAACTGCTCCAGCTTCGGCTGCGGCGCAAAGTCACACGCACTATACCTTCTTCCCAAAGACGCTTCCGCAAGGACCGCCGCCATCGGGACCATTCGCAATCGACCTTCGCGCGCTACGCAACGAGTTCATACAGCTACAAGCAGCAGCACACCCGGACCGACAACCTGGGGGTTCGGATAAGCGACGGGCAGAGGCGCTGTCGGCGCGCATCAACGAGGCCTACCGCACGCTGCAGAGCCCGCTGCTGCGGGCGCAGCACCTACTACACCTGCGCGGCATCGACGTAGCCGAGGATGAGCGGTTGAAGGTGGAGGACCCTGAATTGCTCATGGAGGTGCTGGAGGCGCGCGAGGCAATCGAAGAAGCGGAGACTGAGGAGGAAGTGTTAGCAATGAAAGAGAGCAATGAGGAAAAGATCAACCAAAGCGTGGCGGTGCTGGATAAGGCATTCAAGGAAGATGATGTCGAGACGGCGAAGAGCGAGGCGGTGAAGCTGAGATATTGGGTCAACATCAAAGACAGTTTGGATTCGTGGGAGCCGGGGAAGCCAGTGGTTCTGCAGCATTAGATTGGAATAACGTCATTGCGGAGATGTATCAATTTCTTCTGCTTTGTAAATTTGTACTGGGCTTACGAGTTGCGAACTGGATGGTCTACTGGTGGTCCTCACAATCCTGTGTTTGTAGGTTGTCGTCCCACTCGTTCTTAGACATTTGTCGGCATGCGCACTAGATACCTAATAGACACGCTCTATCGACGTTAGTTCGTATACGTGCTCGTATTGTCAAGACCAGAGGGAACACAGCCTTCTCGCGTTCGGACCCTACCGACACTTGCAAAGATTCCGCGCTCGTGTCCAGCCACACAATTTCGTCGCACCAAGTAGCGCGCCTGAAGGTTCCCGATGTCCTTTCAGCTTGTCCAACGGGTGGTTGCGGGCATTGTCCTCGAGGCATTCCAAAACCGCTATCTTTCTGGTGCCCTTCATTTCTTCTGCACAATGTTCGGGAGCGTCGGACGTCCCTCGCCTCGAAGAGCTGCACATGATGTCGCGCAGCAGATAAGCTGCGGTGGCACGGATCAAAGGCTTAATTGGATTCTGGCCTTCCCTTGCATAGCCGGGTGGTATTGAGAACAAAGAACGCTGCATACTCGGCTGAATTTATGCTTCGGGGCTACGATTAAGTTTGGCGGGTGATTGGCCGGCGGCGAGGCATATTATTCCACACCGCTCCACGGCATGTTGCACACATCCTTCTTCTTTCAGCAGTGCTTAACGGACGGCGTGTGGTGGCACCGCAGATTCCATTGCTCCATGCGCATGAATCACGCCTGGCCATCTCGTGACGGACTTGTTTTCCGCAGACCCCTGAAGCAAGGTCGTATTCGCGGGAGATAGAGAGCGGCGTCTATAGTTATGCTTTCGCACATCGACCGGGGTACGACGAAAATGCGAAAACAGCTCCTGCCGAAGCCACGGAAAAAGTAAGCTGACACAAGGGATGAAACGTCTGGGCAAAGGCAGCAGACAAGAAGATTAGAGTGTAAATCTTTCTCGTTGCATGCGTGCGACAGGGCGGGCAAACTCGCTGCTACCCCAACGCGTCGCTCGGGATAATTCTTTCTGGCTGATCTGTTTCATCTAGCTTGCGTGATCACGGCTGAGACACGCGGTTAATGGATGGGTAAATCTACACTTCGATGCCCGTACTCGCTCTGGCCGTTTCGAGAAAAGTGATTTGTTGACGTCATCGACTCACACTCGAAAACCAAGCCCTCGGGACCACCAATAGGCTAACGCCCGTCAGCTGGCAGCTGGAATTCGTCCTAGAGTGGACCCGAGACCCTTGTGTCACGGAAAAAGAGCGCATCCAAAGACCATGTCGAAGAAACGGACCCTGGACAGCTTTTTTAAGCCCTTGTCGCAACACAACATCGCACCCTCACTTGTCACTGGTCCAGCATCATCGTCCACGATATCCACCAAGAAACAACGTGTCAACGTCAGCTTCGACCATCCTGCCGATCGCTCGCATGAGCTGCCCTCCACTCACCCAACCTACCCTTTCCCCATTCCTCTCCTCCCCGCCTCTGTCCTCTCCGCTCTTGGCCCGCCCAGCTCCGCCCAGACCGAACTGGCAGCGAGTAAAGACAATGGCAAAAACACCGAACCATCTCCTGATCCCTCTTCATCTGCCCTGACCAACTCCAACGCCACCTGCCCCGCCTCTATCGGCCACCCCATCAACGACCAACCCTATCTAGACCTTGTCTACTATGAACCATTCCTACCCCGCTCCGCCGCCAACGCTCTCTTCTCCTTTCTGCGCACCTCCCTCCCCTTCTACCGCGTGCGCTACCGCATCCAACGAGGCGGCATCGACACGCAGATCAACACGCCGCGGTACACGACCGTCTTCGGCGTCGACGAGTCGTCCCGCTTCGACGCCCTCTCCGGCCTCGTGACCGAACGGGAGTCGGGCAGGCCGGTGGCGAGGGACCGGTACGGATGCCGACCCCGCCCGATGCCCGATTGCTTGGACCGGCTGCGGGTCGCTGTGGAGAGGGAGACGGGCGAGCGCTTCAACTTCTGTCTGGTAAATTACTACGCCAGCGGCGAGGACAGCATTTCGTATCACAGCGATGACGAGAGGTTTCTGGGCAAGGATCCGGCCATTGCCTCGTTGTCGCTGGGGGCGAGGAGGGATTTTTGTATGAAGAGGAAGCCACAACCAAAGGGCACGGTTGAAGGCGAGGATGGGAAGAGTGGGAAAGCGGAGAAGCCGTTGAAGCTGGCGCTTGGTAGCGGAGACATGGTTCTCATGCGCGGGACAACGCAGGCGAACTGGTTACATAGCATTCCGAAAAGAAAGGGTGGGGAGAGCGGGAGGGGTAGGATCAACATTACGTTCAGAAGAGCGATGGTCAGAGGGGGCACGGAGAATTACTATCAGTACAATGTGGGAGATGGGCCAGTGTATAGGTGGGATGAGGCGAAGGAGGAAATGAGAGTTTGGGAGCCGGCCAAGGAGGACTCTTGATTTCAAGATGAAGACTACAATTGGGAGAACATAATGAATTATCGTAAAGAATTCAAAAATTCATTGCGGCCCAAAGGACGAGACCATGCCTGGTCCAGACATAAGGCCCTCTGCGTATATTCAGTGACATACTCCTAACGTATGCAAGCGTTATATCTGACTTCATCTTTGCGGGCCGTTTGGGGAAGTTTAGATAAAAATTTTAAACACATTATCTGACAAACCTTCGGGCTAACTACTGCACAAGACAAGTGTCTCCCAGTCGAAGCGAAACAAGGGTACATGAGACCTAGCAGCGCAATTTCTGAGTAGACGCTGCCATCCTCTTTGTAAACAAGCTAGCGGCTGTAAACTATTGAAGACAAAGTTGTGCTGAAGCAAAGTCCTGAACTGGCGTTGCTGGCAGCGCCAGCGCTAAGAGTGTGGGTGCTGATGCTGAGTCTGTTTGATCGGTTTACGTCATGCGACTCACTGTTTCTCAACAGATGTCCTACTTCCCAACGCAGAGATGGCAGCAGGAATCGGTGATGCATTGCCATAAGCGGAAGGAGAATTTATCCGGGCAACGCTATCAAGGTCGCCTACATATGCATGGGTATTCGAATGTAGACATGGATGATTGCCAGTGAAGGACAGGGTGCGGATTAGGGGTGTTGGGAAATGGCCTAAATCATTTAATGTGGCGTCTCAAATATGCGCCCTGTTGGTACTGGGATGTGACCGCCAGAAGGATTCAGCCGGAAAAGAGGTTTCAGCTTTCCGAGACGCATTTGTGATTTCAGATCAGCAATAATCTCGGTGGAATGCGGGCTTTGAGCTTCAATCGGGATGCCTATTCGGACACCTTTGGAATAGGCTACTCCAAATATGGTCGAAAGGAATAGCTGTGCCAAGGGTATGCCGGTGCTCAAGACCAGTCCACATCGCACGATGGATGTACGTCAAGAAAAAGCAAATCTGTCGTATTTGTTCGTATTGTCGGCGCGATCCGAAGAGAACCAGGACTCCTGTGTGCCAGCGGTCCAACAAGTATTGCAGATACCGCTGATCCTGGCTCTGAAGTACCATGACATAGGTTTCTTGTGCTGACTGTGCTTGGTAGTAGCGGAACACGTGATGCATCGAGGCGTTTTCTGAAACGGGTGAGGGGAAGCATGATATCATCAAGTCATTGCCGGCGCAAGCGTCGGAGATGGACAAGAATAGCGGCTACGACTTGCTCAGAGGATTGGCCGTCGCATCCTTCATCAAGAAGGATTATATTTCTCCGGACATGCTGCAAGCTGCGCCGCTCAGCCCAGTATGATCAACAGCGAATGTGGATGACGATGGCCTCTCCTTTAAAGTGTGGTATGACGATATGGTGGCAGGGCTCGAATGAGGGGTGCGGTCGAATTGGGTCGAGCGAGCAGCGGTTGGGCGGTCAGGCGTCTCTGTCAGCACGCTAAGCAGCTGAGTCAGGGCGAGGCTCAGAGAGGCTCTCGGTCGATGATGGGGGATGTCGAAGGCGTGGGCGCGAGAACGAGGGTTGCGAGCTGGAGTTGAGGCTCAGGTGGTGACGGAGGGGCTCAGGGCGATGACATGATGCGAAAAGCTCATCGCGGAGTTAGGAGTTTAGCACATGAAGAGTCGAGGGAGCACTCGAGGGCTGTGCGTGTGCAGCGCATGCCAGTAGGGGCCTGTGAGTCACATATGCGCAAAGATAGCGAGCATTTTGGCCTGGAAGGAGCAGGGTAGACGACTGACCTAGTCTTGGCGCGGCCGCTTGTTGTGAAGATAGCAGACGGCACACTGGAGAGCCTGGATCCATCTCCCTCTCCACCTCACCTCGCGACGGCGCCCAAGTCCAACCCCGCCAGTCGCCCTTTCCATCGCGCCCAGTCGGCTGCTGCATCCGCCGTGACGACTTGCTGCGCACCCATCTTCTTCCCACCTTATCGGAGCGTTGTCGAGGTGAGCGCAACCGCGTGCGGAGCGATTGTCTGCCCAGAGCGAGGGCGCAGCACTATTTCAACCCGCCTCCCCCTCTTGCCCCGATCCTCCGAGTCGCAAAGGCTGACCCATTGCTCCTGGAGCTGGACAGACGGCAAGCCCCGCTCCCTTCGTCCCGCGTGCGCCCTCACGCCCACCTGGAGTTACTGCGGCGTTAAGCCCTCGCTCGACCGACGCTCTACAGCCGCCCTCTGCGACATCATTCTGCCTCGACGGGCGGTCAGCAGCGCTCCAAACCTTATCCTCTGGACAGAACATACCGTTGCGACCCTGGCTCGCACCACCACGTGCCCGAAAACGACGTTGCCGTGCTGGGACACCGTGGGGAAGCTCGCTGTCGAGGGGCTGAGTGCATATTAGGCAGCGTCCCTGACGCGTCCCCTCCCGCGATCGTTTACTTAAGAAAGCTGGAGTTAAGCCATCTCCGCGCTCAACTCCGCTTTTGCGCGACCAATCGCCTCGCCAACCCCGGCCGCCGCCCGCCCAGGCTCCTGCTTCAGCATCAAGCTCACTCCAGCCGGGCATTGGATTCCTCATATTCAAATTTGTCACGCCTTGCGAGCAGTCTGAGCTCTTAGTGCGCCCGAGCATCCTCCAAGGCCGCAGAGCACTTTGCTTGGGTTGCTGACTGAATCGTCGCCCCACCCCTCCGATCACACCTCTCTCTCCTCGGACTTTGCAAGCCCGGCAGTTCCGTTGCCTCCGTTTGTACATCATTCGCCATGACGCCGACCCCTCCCTCTGCCACCTCGTCCAATTCTGGACAATCTCCAGATGGCCAGTTCCGCGTTGTTCGTAAGAGGAATAGGGTGCCCCTCTCATGTGCACCCTGCAGGCACAGAAAGTGAGTCTCCACCGCGGTCACCAGCTGGAATCATCGCTGATTGTTGTCGTTAGGCTCAAATGCAATCGCGGGCACCCTTGCGACAACTGCACGAAACGAGGTGACAATGCCTCCTGCACATATGCAACTCCTGGGAGTCGCAAGAAGAACTCATCCACTCACAGCGCCATGACCTCTCCCGACGACATGCAAAATCGCATCGACCGCCTGGAAGGGCTGGTTCTGTCCCTCATGACCAATGGCTCGCAGTCGGCTGGCCCCGCTGCCGCTGCCGCCGCCATTGCGAGCATGAACACGCCTTCTAATCCGCAGAGCCATCAAGGCAGCATCAGCGGCAGCAGCACCACCATGGACCAATCCATCGAGGTGGATGCGCCCGAGACGATCAAAGAAGAGCAAGGGGGTACAGCTCACGAAGACAGCGACGTTGAACAGGTAGCTAAGTCCATTGGAGTCATGAAGGTGGACAACAACAAGACCATATTTGCATCCGAAGCACATTGGTACGCTATCTTGGGCGAGGTATGTCGCGACCAAGCCTCGGCCACCGTGATCCTGCAGCTTACAATGCCTGCAGATCGCCGAGGTGAAGACCTATTTCAACGAGCACAAAAAGCAGTACGAGGAGCAATTGCGTAGGCACCAGACTGCTTACACAGATGAAATAAGCCCTGGCACTGCATTCTTGTTTGGTTCGGTACAGCCCGCAGAAAGGGCAGAGTTGATGGCAGCATTCCCCACAAAAGTAGTTGCGGATTTGCTAATCACCCGCTATTTCAACGTGTATGATCCTGGCTTTCGTAAGTCCCGCCGTACCGCGTTTGACTAACGAGCTCAGCGCTGACTTTTTAAAGATATCATTCATGGACCCACCTTCCAAAAACAGGTCAGTTTTCCAGAACCGTCTGACTGCGCCTGTACTCTTGCTGACAGTTGAACAAGTACGATCAACACTGGTTAGCTCCTGATGAGACTCCGGTCATCTGGCTCGGCATGGCTTATGCAATGATGTGCATTGCCCTTCAGTCTTACCATCGCGCAGGAGATGAACCTCCTGAGTATCGCGGAAAGACATGGGACATGTCTAGTGAGTACAGGAGACGTTGTGCACAATGTCTTCTGCGAGCCGACATCACGGCTCCCGTGGCGAATATGCTGGAAACGCTTATTCTCCACGTACAGGCCGAGTATGCCCGCAGCAGAGATGCTGAGGTTGGCGTGCTGGTCAGCTGGACAATCATCGTCCGTTTGGCTATGCGAATGGGCTACCACAGAGACCCTGCGCCTTATCGAGCGCTGTCTCCCTTCAACGGCGAGATGCGCCGTCGTGTCTGGTGTGTTGTGAGGAAAATGGATCTTCTTTTCTCCCACCAAATGGGACAGCCGCCTATGATTAGGGCTACCGACACCAGTACCGAACTTCCACGGAATATCTACGACGACGAGCTGTACGAGGAGATGAAGACACTCCCGGCGTCTAGGCCGATGACCGAAGCAACCCCCTGCTCATACATGATTGCGAAATCCCGTCTAGTCTATGGTTTTTCGGAGGTGGTGGAAAAATCTCAAGTGCTGAGCTGCACCTCCTACGATGGAATAACCAAGCTCGATCAACGACTGCGTGAGCTTCACGCGGAGACGCCCCCTCATCTCCAACTGCGATCGATGGACGAATCCGCAAGGGACCCGGCAACATTGATCATGCAGCGATTTAGCCTTGAGCTTCTCTACTTGAAGTCGCAGATTGTGCTTCACAAGAAATTCCTGGGTCCCTCTCGCGAGAACGCCAGATACGCTTACTCCCGCCGTACCTGCATCGATGCATCAATGGCGATGCTGAGGCATCAGGCTACAATCCATGCCGAATCACAACCGAACGGTCGCCTGCGGACTGTAAAGTGGTTCATTACGTCCCTGACAATGAACGATTTCCTGGTGGCAGCAATGGTCGTTGCTCTTGACCTCTACCATATATCGGAGGCCGAGCGTGCGGGTCGTTCCCCGGGCGGTGATGTTTACGGCTGGCGCCAAAACCGCAAGGAAGAAATGTTAGCAGCAGTCGAGCGTGCAATCCCTATTTGGGGGGAGCTTCAAAATGGCTCCATGGAGGCGTACAAAGCCCACACTGCTCTTAGCGTTATGGTGAACACCTTGAAGTCGAACCAACCATTACGAGCAACGAACTTCGCTGCGGCAGCGGCAGCAGCGTACCCCACTACTGCCAACATCCAGGATGACGCCAACGTTGCACCCGAGCACTCGGCTGCAATGACTCTTGGGATGCTCAGCACAGGTGCACTGACTCCCAACAGCTCAAACATGTTTGATACCAGACCATCTTTTCCCGCCTCCATGGGTAACATCCTGAACGATCCCCTGCCTGCGGTCTCAACCGGTTCTGGGCTCACGCCCCAATACACTGGACCCTCTTCCAGCGGTGAGAATGCTGGTCCAATTTCCGCGGCTAGCCCCTTCTCACAAATGTTCGGTGCATCAAACATGTCGCTACAAGGCATGGACATACCTTCGACTAACCTTGACTGGGTAAGCACAATTTGAGCACCATGGCCTCTGACCTTATAAACTGATGATCTCATAGGACGCTTGGGATTCGTACGTCCAAGGAACTGCTATGGACCCCTCAAACCCTATGTGGCCAATGGGCATGCCGGATTTGATGTCCGATCCAAACGGATTGCCGCAGCCGCAGCAGCAGCAACAACAACAACAATCACCAACAAGTTCACAACCACAACAACAGCAACCGATTAACCCTGCATTCATGAGTGGCGGAAGCGTCTTCATGGGTAATGGTACACCTGAGAGAAATACGATGATGTAGATTTTGCGCAGGCTGGCGTTGCCTGGATTTTTTGGTTGCTCTCACTCGCTGGGCTTTTTATCGACGACACTTCATACCACAACGAGCATGCTATGTGAACAGTCGGGAGTAGTCACTCGTTGAGGTCGTGGGCGGAAACATCACCGTAGTACTCGGTTGTTTGTTATCGTGGTTCGTCACTGATTGCGCCTTTCCCAGTTTAAGGATTGCAATCTGCCGGTGTAGAATTGGCAGGCACCTTCCTATACCTGGTTATGTGTGGTATTAGTGGTTTTGCCTTTTCTCCGGCAACAAAAAAAGGGGTTTTTGTGGGGAATGAAGAAAGAAGAAAAGAGATACCTGGGAGTCATACATTTATCGTTTATTTTGAAAGTTGGAGTCATCTGTTATGTTCGTGGCGCCGGAAGGGTAGTTGCTACCCATGTGTCCGTATTAAGCAAACTTCGCTCAACCTCTTCGTATTCATCAATCGCTCTACCGTCTTTCATGAACAGACAATTGCTATTTGGTTGATGAGAATGGTGCCTGACCCGGATGATAGCTGGAGCCCATTACAAGGCTGATGAACTGAAGTGTCACAAGGGCTCATTCTTCGATATTTAAAAGGTGCTTCATTTTGTTCATTATCATTAAAACGCCAGTTCTATCCGCGTCTAATTCAACTCATCGTGCGCCCCTTACAAGACCAACTCCGGATTCTATTTTTGATTTTGTACGAGGCCGCTTACTCGGCGTGCTTCTCGTTGACCAGGACGTACCTGTACCTGGCCTTGCCGTCCTCCATGTCGACGATGGCCTGGTTGGCGTCCTTCATGGAGCGCTCCTGGATCCAAGGCTTGAGCTTCTTCTCGGCGGCGAGGTCGAGCATCTCCTTGATCTCGCCGGGGGCGCCGATGAGGGAGCCGCCGAGCTTGCAGCGCTTGGCGATGAGGGCGAAGGCGTTGATCTGGGGCAGGGCGTCCTCGGGGGCGCCGACCTGGATGAAGGTGCCCTTGTAGCGCAGCAGGCTGAGGTAGCCCATGAGGGGCATCTTGGGCGACGAGACGGTCGAGACGATGATGTCGAGCGAGTTGGCGTGGGTGGCGGCCCAGTCCGGGTCCTCGTCGGTGGCGATGAAGTCGTCGGCGCCCATCTCGACGGCGTCCTGCTTCTTGGCGGCGGTGCGCGAGATGACGACGACCTTGTCGGCGCCCAGGGCCTTGGCGAAGAGCACGCCGAAGTGGCCGAGGCCGCCCAGGCCGACGATGCCGACGCGCTTGCCCGGCCCGCAGCCCTCGCGCTTCAGCGGGCTGTACAGCGTGATGCCGGCGCACATCATGGGAGCGGCGTCCTTGGTGGGGATGCTGTCGGGGATCTTGAGCACGAAGTGGCCCGGCGTGCGGTTGTAGTCGGCGTAGCCGCCGTAGCTCTTGCTGCCGTCAGGGTACTTGGCGGCGTAGGTGCCGACCATGGACGGGCAGTGGTTCTCCTCGCCGTCGGCGCAGGCGGCGCAGTCGGGCTTCAGGCAGGACGAAGCCTGCGCGCCGACACCGACGCGGTCGCCCTCCTTGACGTGGGTGACGTTCTTGCCCACACGCACCGCGCGGCCAATGATCTCGTGGCCGACAACGCAAGGGTAGGGGGTGGCACCCCAGCCTGTGAAGAGAGTTAGGGTCGATGTGGCATTGGGGGAAGACGGGTCAAGTACCAGAGCGGAGAGTGTGGATGTCGGAGCCGCAGATACCGCAGGCCTGGATCTTGATGTCGACATCGTCGTCGGTGAAGGGCTTGGGCTCGTACTGCTGCCAGACCATCTTGCCGTCAACGGCCTCAGGGCTCAGGCCGCACCAGCCCTCAAACTTGTAGTCGGTGGACATTTTGATGAATAGGAATGGAATAGAGATGGAAATTGGGAGGGGTATCGAGCTAGAAAGCAGAGAGAATGGTTTGAATGGACGTGGCGGAAGTGCGGATAATGCATGGTTTATATGGCTTTATCAGTTCGGCGGTATTCCAGGCGTAAGGGGACCGCAGTTTGCGTAGCATTAGCAATGGCTACTACGTCGTCTCCGCCGTTAACTCCTAACAGCGGCGCTAGGACGGCAACTTGGAGCGGAAGTGGGCTCTGGAGATGCGCAGGTTCGACATGCGTCATGGGCTCAAGCTTTCGGGGCGCTAGGGTCCTGCCGCTACAGCCCCGATCCTGTGCCTCCGACCCGACACCAGATCGACTGACAGCAACAAGACCCCCACCGCTCGCCGTCCTTGCCGCGCCAGTTGATGCCGGGAAGCCGCTTTGTGGGCGGAGTCGAAGCTTCCGCGCTGTCGTCCCCTGCTGCAGAATAGCACCCCTCCCAAAGTTCCAATGGCAAAAGGAGCAAAATCTGTGATCGACACGAAAAGGTGCTGCAGGCAAGATCGTGTCTGTGCGGCCCTTTTCGTCACTAGGACGACATTATCTCCGCCGGCCATTGAGATTCGTATCGAATTTTCGACGGTGAAAAATATTGCTCGATTTGCATCAGCCAAGACGCGAAATGATAGGCGTGCCCTGGAACCCGGGTCGTAGGCGTCTTCCCGGCGTCGAGGTTCGCCGAAGCCAGAAGAACGAAAGATTCCGCGCGCCACTTGCAGGGTCTTCCCGTTTAGGTAGTCTCGGCCGTGGCATTTCTTCGGCAGTGGCTGGGACCCGCGGCATGCGCATACCTAGGTAGTATCTTAAGCTCTCCTTACAAAGATCATTAATCCGACCCGGAGATAGCACCTGAACTCCGCTTGCCCCGTCCATCGAGCAACTGTATCATGAACCTAACTCCTTGTCAACACGAATGAGAATGCAGACTGAAGATAGAATTCCGTCACGAACCGAAAGACCAGTCTGTGGGAAGCTTTATTGCATGTTTAGACCTTGGACTTGTGCAGTCATCTTTCCCCACTTTATTCGTGGGATATAGTCTGTTTCCGAAGCGCCGCCACGCTCTACTAGTCTTCTTCGCCCCGCGGGACACTGCATGTTTGATCCACGGTGCCGTTGCGGTCCGAGGGGCCGCACGGTAGATGTGGAGGGCGGTGGTGGCGCGTGCGGCCGTCTGTTTGCATAGGACGAGGCGAATTTAAGGTTCTGACGCCCTCACCTCCTCACATCATGACCAACAAGCCACGCGACATCGCTGGACCCGTCTCCCCACTCTTCTGCAGCCAGTGCAGATCCAGCAGATCCTGCCACACCCACATCGGCGTTATATTTAGCCTATTCGTCAGCTTCGCCTCCAACATAATCACCGCAAGCCCATGGCCCCCACCGGATCTGTCGCCCAGCATGTACTGTAATCAATTGACTTTCGAGCCCAAATCACGGCCTACTCGTCTTCTATCATCACCAACTCTATGCTAATCAACTGAAACCGTGTTACCAAGCGCACTGCAAGCCTCCCAGTCCTTGGGTATTGCGTGACCTGCACACCAAGGCTGTACCGTATGTAAGACGCCATCTCCGTCGTAGAAAATAGACAATAAAAAATAGAGAATGACGGTGTCTACTAGTGAGAGCAATGAAAAGGGTTTTGGCCAGCTCCCCAAACTGAAAATGACCATCAGTGTTTCCGAGAACGCCGCCCGTCCTGCATGCGGCCATGCTTTTGACATTATCTCCACACATTGCAACCCAGATTACCTCACCGCTGATGTATCCCGAGGAACGCCGGATTGTATCGTTGCGCGCCGCACAAACGCCAGATCTATGCAAATGCGAAAATATAAGTCCAACTCCTTCTCGTTGACGTTCGGGAGGCTCAATAGGACGATACCCTTCCGCCGTACGTCGCCGGACGAGGCTTCTTCTGTCCCGGCCGTAGGCTGATGACCGACTCCAGTTCCCGCAACATGCTGGTGTTCGCCTCGCGCTGTTCCCGCGCCGACGCCTGCCGAATCCGATCTTCCTGGATCTTGGCCATGCGCTCTTCGCGCGTCATCGACAACCGAGTGCGAGGCATGGCGATGGCTTCGAAAATCTCCTCGTCCGATCCGCTATTCGATGCAATAGAAGACCCGGAGTTTCGGTTGGAGAGTGGCATTTCACCGTTGAGCGCCCGTAGAGCGTCGCTAGGACTCCCCGTCTCGTCCACAACCGTAAGCCCTCCCAGGCTAGGCACAGGCGAGCGGAGTCCGCCGCTGGACGCCTGCGAGATGCGCCGCTCTTGTCTGTCGATGTTCAGGGCCAAGGACGCCTTACCTGCCTCCCAAGCTTGCACGAGGTTTTTGAGATCGGCCCCGATCGAGTCGTACTGTGCCATCAACGTCGACCCAAGCTCTGTCACTTCGGCTGATTCCTCCAAACTCTTGTTAGATTCTTCGCGGAGGATCTGCATCTTGGCCTGCAAGCCGCGGATACCCTGCGACAGAGCGCTCATCTGCCGGACCGAAGCGCGGATCTTTTCCTTTCCTGGCGTAGACGGAGCTTTCGGTTGCGGCGAAGGCAGCACGAATTCTACATCATCAGTCCACTGGCAATTTAAAGGGGATGTTATGAACTTACGTTCTTCTTCTCCGAGAATGCGCGTCAACTTCTCACACCACTTTCCGGATAGCTCGGTGAGGCGCTCCATGGCATCAATCGCCGTGCGCCAGCGTGGAAAGTCATCACTGTCACCGTCTGCTTCGAGGGCGAGAAGAGAGCACAGGAAAACCCTGCGCAGGGTGACAAGGCGGTACTGCCAGATGCGCAGGGCTTTAAGGCTTTCGCCGTCTTCAAACTCATCCTCGGAATATCCCAATGCAGCTTCCTGCAAGTCCTGGGAAGTGATGTCGTAGACATCGAGGTATCTTTCAAGATCATCGGGCTCCACTAGAATGCGCAAGGTGGCGCACACATCGGCGAAAGCAGGGAGGGTGGCGGCGAATGTGCTGCGCAGGCTGCGCCTTAAACGGGCACACCGCTTGATCTGGCTCTTGTCATCGAGCCTCGTGATGGGCGGCATAGGAGTGCTCCTGGATGGACATCAGCGTTGACTCAAAGGGAGGCAAACTGCACGGCTTACAGTCGGTAGCCCCGGGACACCAGCTCGACTTCCTGAACCAGCAGGACGGCCGAAGAAGCGGAGGTGTCGAAAGCTTGCAGATTGGACACCAGCGCAGAGGCTGCGGCGACGGCGCGATGTCTTAGATTCTGCAGCCACTGGCGCCTTGCATGTGCATATGCAACCGTCAGACCAACAGCAGTCGCCATAACCACGACTAGAAGCCTCCCCTTGTTGAAGCCACCCTGCTTTGATTCCCGAGCCCAGTGAAGCAACGAGACAACAACGAAGGCCCCCACGCCAGTAGCCGTGGCCCCCGTCACGTTGATGGAGCCGCCCTTATACTCGACCGCCTGTGCGGACCCATCTGCAGGCCCGGACGGGACTTTGAACGCTGTTTGGCCGGAGTGCTCGCTCAGCAGCTGCGAGGATACGATGGTGAAGCGGAAGTGCTCGAGGAAACGGGTATTGTCGGCGCTTCCTAAGCGGGAATTGACGGCGCGCTGGGCTTCATGTAAGCGTCCTGGGCGGGCGAGGGGCGGTGAGGGCGGCTTACAGAATAGGCATTCTGGAGGCGATAGACGGAGCCGCGCTGAGGCAGCTTCAGCGGGCGCGGAAGCTTCTTGCGCAGCTTGGACTGGAGGCTGGAGGGCCCGCGGGGGGCAAAGGAGGTTTCCTGGCTCTTGTCGCTCTTGCGGTCGTCGTCGTCGTCGACGGACGCAACCCAGTCAGGCTCACCGGTGCCCTCTCCTACGGCGAGCGTTAGCCTCGGCCGCTGTGATTCTCCTTCAGACATGACGCAAATCGCAGGCGTGGAAGCGCAGGCTGACGCACCCTCGAGGTACGCCGCTAGAGGCGAGTCTTCGTATATGATGTTTTCCATGGCGAACAGCCGCCGGGCATGCTTAGCGGAGCGGGCGGCAGTGGGGGGAATGCTGTTGGTGGATGGAGTGGTTGGTGTTGGGCGCGTGACGTCGTGCGGCGGGATGTTTGGATCAGATGCGGCGCATGCTGATTCAGACCATTGAGAGCGCAGCGGCTGCAGGTGTTGGCGCGGTGATGTTTCGAGAACGCATGCGGCGCGTCAGGGGAGGATGCTCAAGAGTGCGGCGGACGTCCTCATTCCACGCGGCGGGCGCGGGCCCCTTCGCGAGCCGATGAGCGTGCATCCGTTATGCAGCGCAATGCGGGCGAGCAGGCGAATGCGATGGCAGCACAGCCGCCCGAGTAAGAGCCAAGCGAAACAACCACAACCTAGCCAGCCCCAGGCCCAGGCCGCACCGCAGCAGGGGCCGCGCTCTTCCGCCCTGGTCTTCGTCAGCACTGCCTTTCCGCCCGAGCGCGCTCACCCCGAACTCGACCTTCTGCGCGGCCCGGTCTGACAAATTCCTGACTGGCCGCTGCCCTGCTCCTGACCGCAAGTCGCAGGGTGACTACCCAGGTGCCGTCGATGCCGGACCGGAATCCATGCTCAGCCGTCAAATCGGCAGCGCTGCCGCTGCCTTCCTCGCCAGCTCTTCCTCTCCGCCGTAGACGCCAACCCGTGTATACTGCTTACTCTGAAGCTTCTGGCGCGCTTTAGGCCTTCCGGGGGGGTTGCGTAAACTCGACATGGCCGACCTCACCCCCAGTGCCGCAGTGCCGGTGCCACCGGGTAGCCAGGACAGCATAGCCCCGACGAAACCGCGTCTACTCATGACCTGCTCCGCCTCGACTGCCAAAATTTCCGCCGTGGACCAGCTAACCTCGATGTGAGGGGAATTGTTCGCATAGCCGTATGACGGCGGCGGTCTTGGCACCTCCGCCAAGCATCGCAGGCTAGGCAGGACGGAGGCACGACGACGTGCTCATCAACGCCTTCTGCGCATCTTCTGGTATTGCCACGCGGGGCCGCCGATTGTCAGCCCTAAATTTCACGATGACGCCGTTGCCATCGCTCCGGAGTCTGCGGCTCGTAGTTGGCCCAAACGGTGGGTAGCTCCCGTGGGATATGCTTCCGCCGCGGCGCTCAACGGCAGACTGCCGCAGATCCTGGAACGCTATGCCAATTTCACCTGTGGAAACGAGCCCGGACAGCCCCACGACAAGGTCATCTGCTTGTCAATCAACACATGCCCAGCCCGTACGACTCTCATATACCATCCTGGACACGTCTCTCCGCCCTCTTTCTCCCATGCAGCTCGTCAGAATCCGCATCTTTCCTACACCATTCGCTCTCCTGCATCTTTCCATCACACACCCCCGAACTGCTTACTCTATTTGCCTCTTCCACTAAACAATCGCGTTTGCCGTTTCGGGAGACAGCGCCAGCTTTTATATCAAACCGCTGCCGGCCATGTCGTTCCAGTGTCTAAGTCCACCTTCGACTCCAGGGAGCACCAACTGTGAAGAAGACAAGCTCGACAGCATGAGTGACCCGCGTTTGGCTCAATGCAAGACGGCTGCGGCGCAGATTGAGGCTGCTCTCCAGTCTCATCCGCACGCTTGGCAGAACTACCTACAGTCGGCGAGGAGCATCGTTGCAGCAATCAGCTCCATGCAATCGCTACCGACAGGAGACTGGAGCTACGTTGTTTCCGTGTTGCAAGACCTTGGGTTTGCCGACGCAGACAATGGTAGCGTGACAGACATCACCAACTGGTGCCAGACGCAGTGGCTGGCCATACTGGAAAAACGACCGAACAGCACGGCGGCTCTTAAAGGTAAGCTCCAACTGGACCTCGCCCAGAGGACGATTGCTGATGGATTGCGCCAGGATTGGGTCAATACTGGCTCCAGCGTGCTCAGCCGTCGTTAGCAAAGATTCATGCAGACGAGCGTGGCTCGTCTGGGAGCAGTAGAGGCAGCTTCGGGGAGCAAATTTCTGAGGCACGCCTGCATACTGCCAACTACGTCGAGGCGCGAGGGGTGCTGTCGCCTGCATCGGATTACTTTGCACGGGCGGTACAGGCTGCCTATGCGGAAAGCTGTATGACGGGGGATCTGCTCGAAAAGGTTTGTGGGCCGCCAGCCAAACGGGCGTAACTTGGACTGACCCTGTATGTACAGGCTGCGGAAGCATATATGAGCCTCGGCAATGTTTCGTATAGTCGCAATAGTCAGCAATACTTTAGTCAGGCCTTGCAGTATCTGCAAATGACGGCCAGCATACCAGGCTACCAGCTACCGGAGCATTTACAACAGTAAGTTAGAAGTACGCGGACTAGCGACTTGATTGCTTACGATTCATAGGTACCTGGAAGAGTACGGTCCTTTGGCTGGCTGAGTGGCGTGAGAGTGAGAGTCATAGTCTTTGCATGAGAATACGGGGCACGAGATCATGGATAGTCTCCTAGTTTAGCCCTATCGGTAATATCTGGAGATTACGTAGGTAGAATTCTCCGACTGTCGTGGGCATTCGTACGAAATAAATTTAGCTCGCCACTCTACAATTAGCATGCGTTCGTACATAAAAGCAATGGGTGCAGCAGGCCTGCGCGCGCTTGCCGGTTTCGTGACGGTCGTATCATAGGTGCCCGCTTGCCGGGGTCGGGATTACGGCGGCAATCTGCCGACGTCAGTCGTAGCTAGAACCCGAGCAGGAGCTCATTCGCACCCAAAGCTCATCACGCAGGACACCTCAGCCTCTCCCGCTCTCGCCCATCCTCACGCCTACGCACTCGTAGCACCTGTTACAGCGGGTTCGGGCACAAACACCACCGTCGCACCGACCTCGGAGCTGCTCCGTCCCGCGCATACCCGCTGCGACCCCGGCCGAGGCACCGCACCCTTCGCACCCGCGGCCACCCGTCGGCTTGACAGAACAACCTCGTCTGCCACCGCCCCGCCTTGGCTTATCGTGCCTCGATACCGCTCCGGTCCGCCACTGCCCGGTCGCTCCACGTCATCATAACCCAGGCAGCAAGCATTCACCATGCATGACGAACGTGAGCTCGCAATTGCGCCAATCGTGCAGGACAGCGTCCAGCACAACGCCCGTGTACGCTTCATACTACCCTTCCTGTCACGCCCCGCTCCGCCACCGCCTTATACTTTGTGTTGAACCACGTGCTGACATATCCGCCACACCCGTCAGACCATCTCCACGATCCGCAATCTAACCGCATCGCTGTTCGGCGTTGCCGCTGGCACTCTAGGTTTGGAGTCGTACCCGGGCTTCCTATTCTACCTCGCCGGGAGCCTATTGGTGTCGCTGCTCATATTCGTGCTGAGGGCGGGCGCGCAGCCGAAGAGCTACTTTTACCGCCCCTTCGGAGATCTGTGGCTCGGGGAGGTGTTTGGCAGCCTAAGCAGCTTCGTGCTCACCTGGACTCTGTTCTATGGCCTGCTCCGCGCATAACCAGGGATGCCGATGCGGCTGTAGCGGGAAGGATTAATAAGCTTGCGCTAGATGGCTGAGGAGGAGCGTGGGGGGCATAGCCGAAGACTCGGTAGGAATGGAAATGCTGTATCCGGGGCGGCTTGGCGTGCGTGCCCATCATCACGGCGCGGGGCAGCTATGAAACAGAAGCCGGGGCGCAGCCAGCGCTTCACTGCCTGGCCTGCCGCGCGGCTTCGAGGCGGAGACAAGCGTGAGCTCAGCTGAGAGGCAGGGGGGGGCACAAGCTTGTTTCCACGGTTGCCAAGATGCGCGGCCAGCATGTCCAAGAAGTGGGGCGGTGAAGCTGTGGATGCTAGAATACCCACGGTTGCGGCTGCTGGGGTCAAAGCAGCTACAATATCCGTTCCACGAGGTAATGAAGGACACGAGTCAGACATCTATTGCTTTTCCCGCAGCAAGTGTGACTTTTAAGTTGCATGCTTGAATACCGCAAAGCTCCGACTTGTATAGAGAATTGCGGAGATCTGCACTGCTGGACCAACCCCAGATGCTTATTTCAACAACGGCGGCGGCAATGGGCTGGCGCCGCATGATTCCGTATCGGGGATTTGGAGCACGGTGCGGGATGATCCGCTGATATCTGCAGCCCGATGAATCATGCCCGCACTAAGAGCATGCTTCAAGTGGAGACGGACCAATGCGCAAGGCTTTGTGATGGGTGTGCGGGTCTGAATAGAGTTGGATTAGATGCGCGATAGTCTGCCTCCGCCGCGGGCCAGCCGCGGGCCATCCCCGGGCACCGGCACCCTGGCCAACCATTACTACTGGGCACCATCATCACTACTTCCTCCTCCATAAACACTAAACAAATCACAACCGCCTCACCATGACAACTCTACCTTGCCCTCTCCCGCAGGTGGAGGAGGCCCTGCGCCCCTACATCCATGCGCGCCAGGAGACTTTACGCATCCGGAAGAAGCTGGCCCAGCACCTGCAGTCGCAGATCTACAGGACGGTGCGGCAGCAAGGCGCCGAATCCACGTCGCCCATCACGCCGCTAACCCTGGCTTGCGCTCCACCCTCGCTGCTGCCCGAACATGATCAAACATCCTCGGCTTCCGCCCTTCCTCCTCCACCTCCGCCCGAGCTGACTGGACTGCGGAAGCAGTACTGGGAAGCCGTGCAGGCGCACGCCCTCGCCAAACGGCGCCGGGACGCGCTGCATAGCGAGCTCAACGAGCTGCAACGGGAAGCGCACGCCGCCCGAGCTGCCGCGGCTCAAGCCGGATCGGCTACGGACATGGCGCCCAACCCATTCTCACCGGTAGTCGGGAGCAGCAGCGCCGGCGGCGGCAGCGGAAATTCCGGCAGCTCTCACCATGATGTCGAAAACTACGTCGCTCTGCTGCGCCAGCGCCGGCGGCATGCCAGGCTACAGATCCTACTGGACGCCCTGGACCGGATCGCGGACGCGCAGCCCGACGATGACCCCTTGCGGAGGGACGATCTTCGCCAGTGGGTCAAAGACAAGCTGGGCGATGCACCTGTCCCGCCGCCGGAGATAGCGGGTGGCGGAAATACTGCTGCTGGCGACGCTTCCGCTTCCGCAGCCGCCGCCGCCGATCAAACGAAGGAGCATGTGCTGTGCTTGAAGAAGGAGCTGCTACTCGCCAAGCAGAGCCTCGACGCCGAGACGCTGCGCAGAGCCGTGGCGGCGGGGACTACCGCCTCGAGTCAGGGAATCGAGGCGCAGGTACGAGCATTGCGCGCCGCACGCGACGAGCTCATCACCTGGATCGAGGACGAGCTGGCCAAGATGCCTGAGGGCGACGAGAGCATGCTTAGCGGCGCCGCGACGCCGCAGAGGCAAGAAAAACGGGACGAGAAAGATGCCGCCGCCGACGATGACGATGTCGAGGCCATCCAGGAACAAGTCGACGTGCTGTACGACCGCTATGTGGCCGCCCGCACTTCGCTCATCGCGGCTGTGGACGCCGCGGCCACCGCTGCCAAGGAGCTCAGTGTTCCATCTACGCTTCCTGCTGGACCCACTCAGCAAGGTGATGATGGTGAAGCCGCGGGACAGAAGCAGCTTCGCCTCCCGCCGTCGGCAACCCTGCCCTTCATCCCCGCGCTCCTCCGCTCCGCCAATGACGAGCGCATCCTCGCGCAGCAGACGGCAACGTACCTGCGTCATCAGATCGCGGCCGCGCAGGAAGACGCACGCAATACGGCACAGCGCCTCGCGAGCGAGAGCCATTTGGTCGGGCCTGACGCGGAGAGCGGCGGAGCGTGGGCGCGTGCGGCAAGGGAGGCTACGAAGGAGACGGATGAGGCGGTCTTGGAGCGGGTGAGGGCGGGTGAGGCGAACGTGGAAGGGGCGAAGGCGATTGTGGCGGAGCTGGACAGGAGAAAGGAAGAGTTTCGGGCGCTGAAGGGAGAGGCGTGAGGTAGGCCGGTATGACATCAGACTGAACTTAACTTTCTGATGACTACTTACGCATCATTACGCTTCTATGCTGAATAAGGGTGCCTATGGGCGCAGATGAGTGACTGGGGTGGTAGAGTAGAAGACGGTAGAGGGTCGCAGCTGCTACGGCTGACAGGAAGACGATAGACCCGTAATTCAAGGGAGAGAGACTTTCTCCCTGTCATTCTGAAAGCGATGATACCTATGACAATAATTATAGAGCAAGTAACTTTGGAAGAAAGCAAACAAACTCCTGTGGTTGGACACAATAATGCATTATTCTGGTTAAAATGTACAAGCCACAGAAGCTGAAGAAGTAGATAAAAGGAGCAGTAGAAGAGGCAGCATCCTATATGAGAATCTAACGTGTTAGTCTTCATCGTATGGTCAAGATGTGTCTTGAGTATACCCATAGTCTCCTCACACGACCATTCCCGCTTTCACCTCAAAAGTCCACACCTTCAGATTAGTATCATCATTTGCAAGATATCAGATCGGAAATTATACATAATCTCACGTAGTAAGCCACGAGAAAAGTCAAGGCAAGGCAAAAAGACCTCGAGTTACTGTTCGTTAACGTCCTTCGCGTTCAGCGTGATGGACGAGTCGGCTGGCCCGCCCTGTATTCTTAGAATGAGAAGACATCAAAATCAAGAACAATCCATGATATTCGTGCAACCATCCCAGCTTTCAGGGCTCCTGAGCTTGAATTTACCCTACTCCGAGACCATAACTTTGTCACCATCTGTACTCATGCCTTCCCAACAGCGAAAGCAAGAAGGCGTAAAACAAGTATTCTAATTCAATCGCCACCGATGGGGGTATGCCGCCAGTGAAACCAGCCAGACCCAAGACTCCTGAAAGCCCCTTTGAAACGAGAAAGCCCAACAAGAACGAAGGAGAAGCTTGTCTCCCTATACAATTCCCTTTCCGCTTCCCCATCATCGCCATACAAGCGGCAGCGCATTAAAACTCGTCGTCACACATACATATATAGGTCCATTGATTCCCTTCCTCGTTTCATCGTCACGTTTATTTGCCAATTCCGTTCGTTACCACGCCACCTACCGTGTCCAGCCTCTGCACGAATTTCTTCACGCCAGTCCACTCCTCCTGCCTCAAGTTGTCTTGGCCACCCAGCTCAGCACCCACCTCGAAGACGGTTACGACGCCGTCAAGACCACCGGTAGCAAGGCGTTTGCCCTCGTTCTTCTCCCACGCGACCTTGTTCAGGCTCCGAGCCATGAAGTTGACGCCACGCTTGTCGCTCGGAGAGGTCTTAGCAACGGGCACCTCGACGTCGATGTTGACGTCCCAGATCTCGAGACTGCCGGCACCATCGACCAGAGCGAAGACACCCGGCTTGACGGGCGACCAGCGCGCGTCGTAGACGAGATCCTCGCGTACGAACTCGTACAATGGTGCCTGCGCCTGCGGGGCGCTACCTGGGCCGCTCGACGCCATGGTTGCGGTAGCTGCCGGTGGACGCACCTTCCAGAGCTTGACGGTCCAGTCCACACTGGACGACAGAACAAGATCACCCAAATCGATCGGGCCGCGGGCCGGGTGGAAGTCCAAGGACATGACGGGGGCGGCGTGACCACGGTAAGCCACACGGGTGTCGACACCTGCCTTTGCGCCTGCACGGTCGTAGCGGTGGCAGGGGTAGATGGAGCCTTCTTCGGTACCGGCAAGGAAATAGGTGGGATCGGCTTGCGGGAAGGCGATGCAGGTAGGCGCCATATCCTCCGTCTTCGCGGGAGGTGGCGAAATGAGCTCAAGGAACTCCTGCGGTTGGGAAAGCATGTCGACCGTCCAGCCGCAAACTACACCGTCCGTAGAACACGAGATGATGTTGTTGGCGTTTTGAGTTCCAACAATATCAATAGCGTAGACCGGGTGCGTATGGCCGGAACCGGTGAGAGGTGTCTTTTGCACGGGCTGTGACTTGGCGCGCGTGTCCCAAAGGAGGACTTGGCCACTGTAAGCACCGCCAATAATGAGGTTAGGATGGAAGGGCGAGAACTGAGCAGTCAGGATATCGGACTGGGCGTGGAAAATGTATTCGGGCCGGTCGTGCATATGCATATTCCAGACTTGGATGAGACCATCAGGGTCATGCGGTGCCGAAGGGTTCTTCGTGTAAGATGCCAGGACAAGTTCCGGGAACTGCAACTTTGTCAGTGGATTATTAGCGCAGTAGTGTAATGAGAGCTGAATACCTTTTGGGAGAAGCTGAGATCACTGATCATACGCTTCTTGCTCCACCTCTCGTCGTAAAATTGTGTGACCTCGCGTACCCGCCGTCCCTTCTTTCCCTTTGCCGTACCAAAGCCATCATCGTCATCATCCACCTCTTCAACGCCTGCCAATGCGTAGTCGACAAGCAGATCATATTCCTCATCCAGAGCTCTCTCAATAACCTTGCTAGAACGCTCAACGAAATCCAAGAATTCTTCCGAAGACGTCACGGCATTGAGTTCTTCGTCGTTCAATGCCCGTGCAGGGAATTTCGGCTCTGCGTCGTCGTCGGCGACAGCGCCCTCGTTCTGCAAAGCCTTCAGCTCCTCCTCGATTTCCTTTCGCAGATTTTGACGCAGCTCCTCGTCCCTCTGACGCTCCATTCTGCTCATCCGCTTGCTCGCTCTCTTCGCCTTTGACGGGGACCAGTCGGGACCATCCAGCTCTGCTTCGGATGTCGAGGCCACGGACTGCCGCCGCTGGGGAGGCGTCCATGGTTCGGTGGTCTGCACACCCTTGCTGTAGGTAATGATCTCCGGCTTCGGGGTCGAGGGTGACTCGTAGACGGTAGTGAGCGGGGCGATGGTCAAGGTTTGCGGCACGGTGGTTGTGGTCGGAGTGGAGGCCGGGGGCGAACTCGTGCTGTCGAAGGTCTCGCCGGCGATGCTAGACAGCTGACCGGCGCTGATGACTGAAGTAGGCCTGCTGCCCCTACCACCGGCAGGCGACGAGGGGTCTCTGGGGCCGCCCGAGCCAGGACGGCCCTCAACCAAGCTCTGGATCAGGTTGTCTAGCTCGCGTCTGCTGTCAGCTCGGCTTGGGGTGGGCGACACTAGCTGAGGAGACACATCAGCAGTGCAATAAATTGGGAGGGCAGGTGGAACGAACATCAGACGCGTCGGACATGCTCTGGCGGCTGGCGGTGAACTCCTTCTGGCGCATCTCGCGCTGGCGCTTGAGCTCGGCCAGCTTCGCCTTCTTGGCCAGGATCTCATCGCGGCGCTGCTGCATGGTGGACGAATGGTCGGACATGTTGACGGGGCCAGGAGGGCGGAGCGTGGGTTAAAAGACGGCGGTTGCGGGTGTTGCACGGGGGACGGGCGGGCGCAGGACGGCGACGCGCAGGAAGCTCCGTCCGGATCAGGGGCGCGGTCGCGCAACGGGATTCCGGGGTGTTTGGTCGTTTGTGCAGGGCGGGCGGTCTGGCGGCGTGGGTGGTGCTGGTGGCCGGCCGGGGACTTGTGGATGATTCAGCCAACCAGCAGCAGGCACGGCCGGCGCCTCGGAGCGAACCGCTTGACTTTGTCGCATCTGCTCGACGCTTCTGCCATCACATCACCGCTGAGAAAAGCCGCCCCGGAGCCCCAACGCTCGCGAATCCGCCATCGCCGCCTCTCTGCCACCATCAGCCCGCGACTCTCTGCATCGCGGCTCCGCCATTGACCTGCCCGCCCGCTCCACAGCTTATCGCTCACCATGGCATCGACGGGGGTTAACGTACGCCGCACCCTCCACCCTCCACGCATTGGCTCCAGCCATCGCTCTCAATCCCCCAAGCCCGCTGTGCTCCTGCCGCTGACGCGCTTCTGCAGGTCCTGAGGTGGTCTGCGCTCGGCCTCGGCCTGTTCTACGGCGTCTACCACCAGGCCAAGCTCTCCTCGCAGGACAAGGCCGCCGCCATCCACCGCGAGTACCAGCGGAAAGAGGAGCTCATCAAGAAGGCCAAGGAGGAGTGGACCAAGAAGACCGCGCCGCCCTCGCGCTCTGGACGTACGTACTCGACACTTGGGCCACGCGGACCAACGGGAAGTGCTAACGCCCACGCCTTTCGCAGTTGTCACGGACCCCGAAGACCCCAAGTTCGATCTGGAGGCATACCTGAAGGCGAAGGCCGAGGAGAAATAAGCAGCAGCCTATGGAGCGGGAACAACAGCACAAGAGCAGGGGAGACACGGGGAGGTAATAGGCGAAAAAAGACAGCGCTTTGCGGAACGAGCCAGTCTTCCGCGGCCTTTCACCGTTGTACTGGGAGGGCTCACGGATGTAACACCTGTACATTGTACAATATAGACTTCGTCGTCCGTCCGCCCGAGTCCTGCGGTTACTGGAAAGAATTGGGATTTTTTGTCATCTCCGGCCCCGGCCTGTCTAATGCAGGATCTCAAATGGCCAGCGGCCAACTATTTCTCACTGTTTGCACACCATTTTTCTTTCTGATCTTGCAGGGCCCATGAGAGTCTGCGACTATCGCATTTGATCTAGCATCCACGACTGGCCAATCTCTAGTGGGATAGTCAGCCGATTCGACCATCAAACGCCAGCAAACTTTGCTTGCTGTAATTGTGAAGTTGATCGCCGGCAAGGTAAGTAAGCGAAGACAATTTTCACTCAAGCGGGAGCGTGTGGTGGGTATCATTGTTGAGATTCTATGTCTTTTCTGACCGACAAAATAAATACCACAACACCGTAAAATATCAAACCCTCCCAAAACTCCGCACTCCATAATTCTACCGTCGGATTGCCGTGGCGGGGGTGCACGGTTCAGGCAGCGGTATCAAGACCATGGACTGACAGCCAAGGACAGTGCACTCCGCGCCGTTCTCATGTCCTACACCAAGCTAAACCTTTTCTGAACTCCCTGCGATAAAAGATGTCTAAGAAAACAAACCCCTTCCGATGAATTCCAATCTAGATCACGGCTTGCTTGCCGCCACAGTCTCCACAAGATTTGTGCTAGCTGGTGCACGATAGCCATACTGCGTGGCGTACGTCATTCTCTTGGGCACCGCACTCTTCGCCGATGCTGCACCGGCCTCGCGAGCATACATCGGAGGGCTGCATGTAGGAAAGGACCCCGCAGCGCGCTTCGGAATATACGATCTGTGTCTGGAAGCAACCGTGGATCGGTCGAGGTTCGCCGCGAGGGGAGAGACCGGTGAAGAATAGTCGTGCTGCGAAGAGGGTACCCCCTTATCAGGACTGCTGCCCTCGGAGAAGCAGGATGCGATTGACCATTTGGAGCTGTTGCGGCTCTGGCTGTGGGTGCTGCTCAAGCTGAGGCTGGCAAAGCCGCTGACGAGGGATGATCGGCGACGAGCTTGAGTGTTGGGTCCAGGGGAACTGAGAGACCTGGGGGCCATCATGGAGGAATCGGACGCAGAACCAGACATTTCGAAGTCAAAAGCTTCCGCTGGTGTTAACAAATAATGTTTCTGGATGGTGGTGTGACGAGGGACTCACTACAAGTAATAAGACCGCGAATTCAATGACCGACTGGGAGCGAGTGTGCTGAATACCCCAATGCCTCTGCCGCAAAGGGCTATTGGAGCCCCGAAAGCCCCGATAAATGAGAGACAATGAGGCGAAGGGGCTGCTGAGAAAATCCAATTCCAGAGGGGAGACTGTCGCCTTAAGAATTGAACCTGCTGCAGGCTAAAGCTTTCCATCTTGTCATCAAACACTAATCGAAGACAGTCTTCTCTGCTGCTAACCGTCGGAATAGTTCCTGGTTCCCCGCACTATTACTCATTAGCACTACGGCCACTCTAAGCGATTGGCTTCAGCCGCCGCTCTATTGAGGCGCAGCTGCTTTCAGCCATCGCGACCTTTCTCTAGTAAACGCCACCACACACCTACTTGGCGTATACCGAACTTTCCGTACCATACTTTATCTTCAAGGGGCTCAGTGTACTTTTTCATTATCCGTTCGTGAAAGTCGCGATCACAAACCCTGAAAGTAAATACTAAACCATCGTTCATGCATGGGTCTGTATTCTTGGAATCGGGGTGGCATCGGGTCGAATATTCTTTCGATTGATGAATCCCTCTCCAAGCTCGTAGCCACTTAGGCTGCGAGAATCTTAATGTAAGACCATTGACCAATTAATTATCTTCATGGTAGCGAAAGGCATTTGTCTTTCCCGCCGTCCGTTAGAACACCAGCCACGGAAGAATTCCTGTCAACCTTCTCCTCATAGGGAAGTCTACAAGACACTTATCATCCATCCAGACCTTCGTGCTACAAAAAAGCGCTCCCAAAGCAGGTAGCAACTAAGCATTGAACGTAAGCTACGCACATACTGTATGAATTCTCCGACGCTCCCCCATATTGAGTGGCTCCGTTGGAAAGTCACTACAATACGTGATTGGTATTGAGAGACTGTACATTTGCCTCATACGGTCCAGATTCCGGCTCACTAGCGTGACGAGCATCGACAGCCACTACCCTGATTTCATCCCTTGCTTCCCCACGAATTACCGGCGCCACAACACTTGGGATTTTTGGCTCAGCTTTAGCTCAGCGGACCTAAACTGGGTTTCTTAGGAAGCAACAGCCCTGAAAATCGTCCCTACCAAGTAATTCTCCATGCTTGTATCGGCTCAAGCACATACTAAAAGCTTGGTGGCTTTCAGAGTTTTTGGCCACCGTTTCAGCTCCTTGCACATTCTTTCTGCAACCCTGTTCCTTTTATTTTATGAGTGTGCCGAAATCCTACAACAATCGCATTTGGATCACGGCGATTTGTAGAGGTCCAATCCCGATACAAGTATTTTCCATTTAACATATAATTCGGGCTGATTCTTATGCTTTGTCACGACCGAACATTGTTATTAATCTATCGTCGAAATAAATGTCTCCACCCACCGGCGCGCCACCATCCTGGCAAGAGCGATGGAGGTGGATGGAGGGCCGTAGTCCCCATATCTGCTAGGTACCATCACTAACAAATATTAGAGGCACGCCACCCATAATATGACAACAGTAATTGAGGACCTTCGATGGACCATGGTTTGTCCCTCTGCAAAAATGTGGGGCCAGCCCATCCTCACCCCGCAAACAGCTAGCCTCCCCAGGAACGGGTTTGGTCTGGAATACCATCGCCCGGATAGACCTTGGAATTTTGATTGTGTGGTGTAAAGAAAGCCAAATACCGAGATCCAGACAAAGACCACTGCAGCCTTACTCCGCTTCAGCGCAGAATTAGAACAGAAAGCTGATGAATACTGTTCCAAGATGAATTCTCTATACCCTGCAATAGATTGCTAACAATTGTGTAAGTGAAGCTAGGCCCTTGCATACCAAATACGCCCAAATTGACCGCCAGTCCGGATGCTATCGCCGTTCCCCTTGGGATGCTCTAGTGGTTCTATGAGCCGGGTCTCTCCTTCCGCCTCCTTCCTAAATGCGGATGACAGGGCCGTTTCCCAGCCGTGGCAATTACCCGTCTAACAGCGTGGATGTGGAGTGCAACCGATTCGTGCCCTGTCGATCAACGTTTTGGAACCGAGCTTTCACGCACCCTTCCTTTTTGCGCCGTGCGACCCCTGCATTCATCACTTCGGAAAGCCCCTTCCACGCTTGACTAGAAGATCCAGCTGATGAACTTGAAGCCAGTGATCTAGAACAATCAATTCCCCTCTTAACTAATGCGCAACGCAGAATCCCGAGAGACCCGAGTTCTGGTTCCTCCGCCCGTCCTTCTAAATGGCTCTAAAAAGGCAACTCGTGCTCTTCTATGACGGGTAGCTCTAAGCTATTTGCTTTATCCGGAACTTTCAACATAAGAACTAATGGTTTAAACCCATGCAAGAAGCAGTTTTACACCTCAAGGCTCCGACTTATCCTTGCCTCACACGACTTGAGAACGAAACGTCCGGCCTTATCGGTAAACATTACTTTGCTATCTATAAATTGGCTAGGACAAAATCATTGAGAACACAACAGTACATGGGTATCAAGCACTCCTTACTTTTCTCCTTCCTTCTTTTCACTGAGCAGCTTGAGCTCTTTCACTTCGCGCGGCCTCTTAGCCAAGCGGGTCTCCACCTCGGCTTCGTTGCGTTGCCATCTCCCGCATCACTTCCCCCACCCTTCTCGCTGACCGCAGTTCCGATATCAATCCCGAATCTCCTCCCACCAGAAGAAGATATGCTACCATCACTATCACCAACGCTGCCACCCCACCACCCCATACTATACACTTTCCCCTCGAAAACACCACTCTCCTTCAGCTGCTTATCAGACATCCACTCTGCACCCCGTGGAATGCTCGCGAGCAGCTCGCTTCCAGCCAACAAAGTCGCCACGGCGGCGATGCTGCACGGGTTCTTAGGCAAGACGCGGTTAGTATCCAATAGCGCGGCTGATAGGGCGGCGCAGATGAACATGATGGCCAGCAGCGCCTCTAGAATGCGGGTCGAGATAGGGCTCTGCTTAAGGCGAGTGCGAGCGGTGTACAGGATGGTGCCGGTCAACTCGTTTGTATCGCGCTTCTTCATGCTGGCCTCAGCGGTACCGTTTCCCAACCATACCCTTTCTTTGTTCAGGAGCTGCGCCATCACCTGCGCGAACACCTTCTCCACCCTGCTCACGAGCTTCTCCCCATCTTGGACTAGCTCCTCACTCGGCACGCCGTCCGGCCCCCAGACCACGAGTCCATACAGCGACCCGAAGTCCTCATATGTGGCGTTGAGTAGGTTCGGGTTCGCCAGCTGTAACCCACCGATGTCACCGTCTGAGTCAAAAGACCAAATATCGTCGCTGAATAACTCGCCGTGCCCGATGGCGGGTGCCTCCGGCGGGCGCTGGTCGATGTCGACGCGGTAGTCGGGCAGAATGAAGGTGACTGTCGCGTCAACCTTCTCAACGTACGGGTAGCAGGCAAGATGCGTGGATTGCACGATAGTGTCATTCTCAACACGGCCGAAAACCGTTATGACAGACGGACAGCCGGGCGGAGGTGTCGCTTCATCATACGGAGGCAGCTGCCACCGCCCGAAATAACCGTCGTTGTCGAATTTTGAGTTTACCTGGGGGACAAATTTGTTGCCAGTTAAAACCATGTAGGTCTCCAGCCAAGTTGAGCTGCAGTTCTGGAACGAGCTCGGGTTCTGTACAGTGCAGTTCGCGACGCCGCGAACAGCGGGCACGGTGGCGCGGAGGCTGGTGGCGTTACTCGCAGTAGATTCAAGGCTGTGGGAGGACTGCGTCGAAGCAATTTTGAGTTGCGGGATGGCGAGTGTGTCGTAGGTCCACTGCGGGTACGTCAGGTTGCTGGCCAGCACCAGGTTGGCCTCTATGGTGCCCGAGGAGTACTGCTGTCCGGTGGTCTCGAAGGTATTCAGCTGCGTGATAGCAACAGTATAGTTTACTGGGGCCGTCTCCGCGTTCAGCAGACCACTGGTTACGATGGTCAGGAATGGGCTCAGCACCGTTGCTACCGCAACCGCGGCCACGGCCCATTGTTTCCGACCGAGCGCTGCGAACAATGCGTGAACCCCCAGCTTATCCAAATAGCTGTCCATGATGCTCGTGCGGGCGGGGACGCCGCCTCCTTTGCGGAGAGCACTGTAGGGTGCGAATAATTTGGTCGCGAAATCCAGCATGCCGAACAGTTGGCCCACGCCCACCATCACCAGCGTCGGGATGAACGTCCAGGCGTAGTGCGCATAGCGGTTGTCTTGGTCGACATCGGCCAAACCGTCATGGCCAGCCGAGTACTGGTAGAGAACCTCAAGCGCGACCATCAAGGCCAGCGGGACCGAGATGATGAGCACACGCCCAAGCAACGATACGGCAAAAGGGCGATACCACTCCGGAGGACCATCAGAGTCTTCTGATCGCTGATTTGCACCATCTTGGAGAGATCCCTCGTCGTTCGTCTCGATTAGGAACTCACACCAAGTAGACGAGCCATTTGAAGCCTGCACTGTGCCGGCGGCGAACTCCTTATCGGGACCAACCACCTCTTTGACCTTGCTCAATGGCATCGCCCCCGTCCCGGCAAATATCCTCATCGTGCCCTCACTGCGCGCTAGGATAGTGGCTAGACCACCAATTGTGCCTGGGTCGCGCGACATGCGCATGTCGGACGAGTTGAGCAGAAGGAACGATGTACCGAAGATGGCAACCAACAAGGCTGCTTCAGTGATCCAGAAAGCCGGTGCTTGCATGGCAAGACGCGTTTCCTGCACCACGGTTCTGCCGGTGAGAGTGCTATTTAGATCTCCTTCGGATGAGTTCTGAGCGAAAGCCTGTGTCAGGTAAGTGCTTGCGACCTGCGCCGAGATGGAGCGATATGTTTGTCGTAGTCCATCCATGATGCGGTCAATTTCGTCTTCGCCAGATTTGGCTTCTGGTGCCGCCGCGTTGATGAAACCCAGCAACCCATTGTTATTGAGTTGATAGTTCGCTAGCTCTATCGACATGAACACCGGGCTCATCATCGTCCAGGCCGAAAAGTTATCCAGTTCCCGCTCACCCTCAAGCAGCGTCATGTTTGCGAAGGCGAAGCCACTGCTACCGCTGGCTAAATTGGTGTTGATGTCCGCAGAACTGGCCGTCTTGCTGAGCGTGACGTTGGCTTTTCGGATGGTGTAACGAGGCTTGCAGACAATAGCGTATTCAGGCGTATATGTTGACGTAGGTAAGAGAAAGACAGAGGGATCTGCTAACGTGGACGTGCGCGTCGTCTTAGTAGAATCGGCTCTTTTAGCATTCACTCCGATAGTGAAATCGCTGGGGGGATCGTCGAGCTGTATATCGTTTCCTGAAGAAGACGTTGCAGAACTCGAGGATGACGTCTTTGTCTCTACTTGGATGAAAACGTCGTGGGAGCGGGATTTAGTGGACACGCCTGGGGCCGATGTGCTTCCGGTAGAAGACAGCCCGGCCGCCGAAACTGTCTGCGTAGCTATCGCCGAAACTGTCTGCGTAGCTATCGCCGAAACTGTCTGCGCGGCTGTCGTGGAATCCCCAGCTAAAAGCGATGCCGGGATCAAACCGGCCGTGCTCGTAGGTACGCCACTGACTCTGATCGTCGACATGGCCCCGGCATTCCAGGACCCAGAAACGAAAACCAACCGATTCCTGTCAGGGCCCTCCGGCTGATCAGGGCAGTATGAACCGTTGTAGTTCCATAACTGTCCATTCTTGATCCGTACCACCAAATCGGAACAGGAAGGCTCATCGACAGCAGCCAGCCAGACATCTCTTGCAGCATCGTCGGTGGAAACGGTAAAGCCGGTGCTGTCAAGAAGCGGATTGTCCTTAGACCCAGTGTAGAAGCTATTAGTCACCTTAAGTGGTGTGGCACTACTGCAGTCTAGATCGGCGGAAAAGACATCGACGGTAGCGAATACATCCTCGACAGATGCTAACAGGTTGCATGTAAGCGTTGTCACATTTTGGCTAAAAATTTGGTTCGGTATAGAACTTACAGTGCGAAGAGTTGAACAACTGATAAGCATAATCTTGCGTGGTACCCAGCGGGTATGACAAGTTGTAGAGCAGCCTCCCGTAATAAATTGACGCCGGCCTGGCTGTCATGGTGTTGTTGTAGTCGCCAGTGAACAACTCAGTAGCTGTCACCGATCCGTCATCATAAACGACTGTCACGGTGATGGCTTCGAACAAGCCGCTCGAAAGTACAACCATAAGCTGCACAGTCAGCGCTGCCGCTATGGCGACCGTGACGAACATGTGTGATCTTCTGAAAGATTGCACCAGGCTAACAACGTTCATGGGGTCCACATAGTCGAGGAAAAGGCTCTTCTCGCACCGTTGAGGGGTACGCTGCAAAGCACTCCAGGGCATTAATTGCTTAGACCGGTACTCGACTTGCGCCCATAAGGCCGCAATAAATGTGAAGACTGGTTAGAATTAGTGTTATCCACTGTCATTTATTGTGTATTTGAGCAGGGGATATACCAGCGGTTGGTCCGTACGTCCACAGGTAATAGAATCCGTTCCTAGCGGTACTGAAGCCGTCATATTGGTTCGACTGACTGAACAGGACGGCTAAAACAATGCCAATAACGATAAAGAGAGCGATAAGAGCCAATAGGAAGATTTTGCGGAGAAAAAATGGCCCCCATAGCTCGTAAGTTGAGTTATCCGTTCCTGCGGTATTGGCAACCACCCCAGTCTGGGGGTACCCAGTGCGACTGTCCGTCCGTTCTCTCTCAGGTCTGCGGTTGGAATTACTGTTGCCGTTCGAGGAGACATCACCTTCCCCCCCATTTACTGGGCCCGAATTGCTGCCGGCAGCGATTTCCTCGTCAACATGTCGTCTCTTCCAGAACACCGGCAAGCGCATTTTCAATAGAAAAACAAGGGAGACAGCGGGGTAGAATGGTCCATCGCTACAGAAGAGCGGTCGCACAAGTGGTTGTGGTACTCGCGTATAATATGTATTGAGCGGCTTTGCGGCACAGTAACCTGTAAGCGCCGACCATGGTGGAGCTTCGCTCTGACTGGCTGAACACCGAGTCAGGCCCCGCGAGCCGAACGTTAAGCTTCCTATATTTGGGCGGGCGGCTAACAATTCAAAGAACAGAAAAACGGGGCAGCCGCCTGGATTTGGAGATTCACTGTGGTTAAAAGTATGCTTACCTGGGTAGCGAAACAGCGGGGCGATAAATTTGTTTAGACCGAGCTGAAATGGCCCCTGCAACAATCCTGATATCCGCCCGTTTTTTTTTTCAAATCGGGAGTAAATCAAAAAGATACCAACGAGATGTTATGACTTTTTTTTTTCATTTACAAAATATGGAGCAGAAGATCTGGGCGTGTGTGGCTGATGTGCAGTTAAGGTTACCTCCAGCGGCAGGGGGAGTCAAGGCGGTTGAAACTTGTGGCGTAGGTTGTGGGCGCGCTCTCTACGTTGAGAAGGCCGCTGACGACAATCGTCAAGAATGGCATCAGCACAGCAGCCATCCCGGCAGCAACGACTGCATATTGTAGCTTTCGAGCAGCACGGCACAGAGCAGTGGCTGTGACCGAGCGCATGTAGTTCTCCATGATGCTTCTCTCAGCGGGTGCATTACCCTTCCGTAAGCTGTGGTACGGGTTGAACAGCTTAGCAGTTGTGTCAAGCATGCCGAAACTTTGACCCGCGGGAACCATGACAGCTGTTGGGATGTGTGTCCAGGCATAGCGAATGAGAAAGTCTGCACCATCTATAGCCAGAAATCCGTGATTGCGCGCGGAGGACTGGTAGAGAAGTCCCCGGCTCGTTGGTCTTAGGTGACTCGATGGCTTCGCTCATTGCGCTCTCCATTTGGAAGCTTGGATGCCTGCTGTACGCCGAAGCAGTTGCGGTTGTGTTGAATTACTATTCCCATAAGCGTTTCCCAATTTCTCTTGTACTCATACGTCCGGTGTCTTTCAGGCTGGTCACTACGCTGTGAGACAGGATAGTGGCTAACCCCGCTACAGTGGACGGGTCTCGTGGTAGTAATGGTGGGAGACTTGAATAAAAAAAATGACGTTACAAGGGTAAGAAACAGAAGAAAAGACTCAATTAGCTAGAATGACAGCGGGTGTATCTGAAGTCGCGCCTCCCTGGATATGGTTACGTTGGTAAAAGGATCTTTCACAGCGTTCTTAAGGTATATGGTAGCGAATTGCGCGGATATAAGGCGAAATAGCTGGGTCGATGCTACTTTTGTGGTGTTCGCGTTGATAGTGAAGCTTGCTTACGGAGTTGTTGCATTGATGAGGGCTTCCATGCCCAGTGTCGAGATGGATATCTCTGTTTGTGCGATCGTTTGTGCGAATGCTTTCAAAATGCTCTAAGAAGTGTCATTTGGACGTCTCCGCCGAAGCCAGACGCTCATTTCTCGACGAGAGGCCTAAAAGAGTAGCAAATACAGCAATTAGTACGATGAATAGAATAGCGAAAGACGGCGTCCAGAGCTTGAGCCTCTCATCTTCCCGAGAATAGGAGAGCGCTGAAGCTGCTCTGGTCTTGTGCCTGATTTGGAGTTCGGCTAGTTGAGGTTTCACGAGGAGCTCTTTCCGGAGTCTCTGGATGATGAAACTGCGCATGCGGAGTCGAGGTGGCCTCCACACTCGCCGCTTGGTCGTGGTATTCGTTGCTCGCTGAGCTCCATCTTGGATTCACCGGGGAGACTGAGCGCGACACCATCGGAATAGCAGCAAGGTGCGCATGCTGAGTGTAACCGTCATTTCGAGCTTCCAGATGTTGTGAGGCACAGCAACTGATCTGCTACAATAGCCGCCGTACTACGCGACCGGCAGTTGCTATTGGCCCAAAGCGTCCAGGAATACGAAATCACCTTTCCAGCGCTACGGTACCACCTGTGGCACATTCTTCAGCTCTTCCGGTCCTCGCATCACAGAAGTATGCTGCTTTTCTCTCCTGAAGCCTTGTAAAGTCCGACGATGCCGAGCTGGCATTTAGCTGGCTTCTAGAGACATGAATGCAGACAGGAAGATGCTGAAAGGCCTATTTGCAGACGCGCTTGTAGGGGATATTTTCTGGCGGGTAGAAATGACCCACTCTGTGCGTGCTGTGCCGCCCCCACCAGCGTAGCGATATAATGCCTCTACGGCGCGTAAGTCACGTGTGCGGCGCAGTTGCTCTGCTAAATACTTGGGTGACCCGGTTGACTTTGAACAGAGGATGGGACCCGCCCCGAGGCCTATTGGACCCCATCAGTGACTTCCACCACATGGCGTCGCCTTGTGCTTCGAAGGCTTGCAGTATGGCACTCGATGCCGACAACCGACCGACCCCTGCTTTTCATGGACACAGCCTCCGGAGGTTCCTTTCTGCCGCACGCTCCTCGGCCTGATGGCACCGTTATGCCGACTCGATTTGGAGCTGCGATCGGCCAGCATGCGCGCACGATGAAGAGCGGAAATTGCTGAGATATCGCTGACAGTGTGGTGGCAGATTGCGTGCATTTGAGCAACGACGCGCGGACGCCAAGATGTCAAGACTTCTGCAACACGCGGATAAGCTGCATCTTAGCACGGTTGCACTACCTAGTCGCGCAGCAACGGCGTGATGCGAAGATGCGACGCTGCTGACGCCGCAGACCGAGACCGTCAACCAACCGCAGGACCGCATGCGCGTCGAGGGCGCTGCGTCTGGGGCCAAAGAGGAGGAATTGCCATCGTACACGCGGCAGATCAGTGCGCGTCAGCAACGCAGGCGCCGGCGAGGTTGGATGGACAGCAGGCGTCGGCGCAGACGCAGACGCAGACGCAGATGCAGGCGCACGACAACGGCAGGCAGGCCCCCAGCCCACGTGAGGCTTCCGAGCCCGCGCCGACCCCCCAGGCTCGCGACAGGACCACCCGCTCCCGTGCTTCAGCATTGAACAGCGTTTCTTGGCCGCCGGTCCAGAGAGTTCGAGGGAAGACGGCACCTGACGGGATCCAGCCCAATTTTGGCCGACGGTGGCCAGCAGAAGGCCCACCGCCTGGTGCGTGAGACGGTCGGCTAGCACGCCCGAGGCAACGAGGCTGAATCCTGAAACCTGCCAACGCCGAATGCTGCCCCTGTGCCTGCGCCTGGACGTCGCACCGCCGCCCAAAAACTTCAATTCGACTGGATCGCTTTGCCCACCAGCAATCAAACCCTGAGACCGCTATGCCGTCCACGGCGCATCGCTGCCGCTTTTGGCCCCAGAGAACGCCGTGTTTTCCTTCGGTGGTTGTGCCTGGCTGCTGCCGCAGCTCTCTTACTGGCTGCGACCCGCTCTTGTCCGCGCGCATTGCTCTCGGCTCTGGCCGCTTCGGACGACACTGCTGATGTTGATCGCCGCGTGGGTGTGGTCCGGCCGAGCGTTTCAAACCACGGAATGGCGCTGGAAGGAGAATGGTCGTTCGAGCCTTTTGGCGGAAAATGCACGACATGAGCCCGTGGGGAGTGATGCATGTTTCGCCCCTGCGCGAAATGGGAGTCGAGGCGGAGGCTGCGCGCCATGCATCAAAATGCACTCTTTCCCCTCCATCTCACTTCTTAAGTCTCTTCTTGTGTTTCTGGTGTACGCTCCCTAGGTGTTTGATATACGGCATTTCCCTTCTTTATTAGTACCTAATTCTCCCTCTCCTTCGTCTTTCCCAGCCTATACGGAGCCCCGTGCCGGCACGGTCTACCAGACAGAATCAGACCTTCATTTTCTCCAATTCAATCGCCTAGCAGCAACGTGCTTCAACGTGTAGATGTGAGTACTAATACAGAGCAAGACTCAGGATCCCGTTTTCTCCCCTTCTCAAATCATCGGTCAGCCCGTCCGTTGATTTACTTTCGCCTCTGAGCCAGACGTGTCTTAGACTTGTCCAGAATGGCATTGTTCATGCTTCATGATGTCTTTCCTACTTCTTCATCCAGCTGGATGGTCTATCCGTGATCTTTTGAGCCCCCAAGTCTGACATTCGTTCCTTACAGCACTACATTCGGTCTTTTACATCACTCCTTAGATCAACCTTCGTTCTCTATCTCAAGGATCGCCTAGCGCGCTCCTAACACTCATTCACTATGAAGCACGCTTTTGCCGCTTCGGCCGCCGCTCTTTCTTTACTGGGATCTGCTTCGGCATGGACAATTCCCATTCCCGCCAACTGGAATGGCAACTTCATGGGCTTCAACCGCGGCTCCTCCGATGAGACCTTCGCCGAGGACCTAGCTGCTCTCGCATCAGCCGTCGCGACCTCTACGGCCCCTGCCACCGCCGCAGCAACTGGCTCCTCTCACGAGTCTGGTGGCGAGGAGCATCTCGTTATCTTCAACGCTTCGCATCCCACGACTCCCGATATCGAGGAAATCCTGAACCGCTTGGAGCTTAGCTCGAATCATTCTGATGTGCGCTATGTTTATGACAACAGCGTCTTCCGCGGGTTTTCCGCAAACATGAAGGAACACTGCATCAAGGCATTGGGCGAGATGGTCGAGGTTGAGACGGTGGAGAAGTCTACTGTCATGTCCGCCTCCTTTAGGAGGGGCAAGAGGGACGTTAGCGCGCGGCGTGGCTCCCCCTGGGGTCTGCAGCGCATCTCTAGCTCGCTGTCGGTCCCCGGCAATGCTACTGATGGCCTCGCTTTCACCTACTCATTCGAGAACTCGACGCTGGGCAAGGGTGTCGATATCTACGTCGTTGACACTGGCATCAATGTCGACCACATCGCTTTCCAAGGACGCGCGAAGAACGGCTGGACTGCCTACCCGGACAATAAGGATCGCCCAGTAGATGGCTGGACCGATGAGAGGGGCAACTACACGGACGGCGCCGGTCACGGCACCCACGTCTCTGGCACGTCTGCCGGCGCCACCCTCGGCATTGCACCGGGCGCCAACATCATTAATGTGCGTGTGCTCGATGCCGATGGTGGTGGTCTCTCTGCCGACACTATTGCCGGCATCAGCTGGGTCATCAACCAGCACGATAAGCGCAAGAACGAGTCAGACTTCGTCGGTAGCATCCTGAGCATGTCTTTCGGCACCTCTGAGGTCGCCGCCGCGCTGAGCAGCAGAATCATTGATGCGACTAGGGCGGGCATTCACGCCTCGGTGGCTGCAGGCAACGAGGGCAAGGACGCGTGCGACTTCTCGCCCTCCAACGCCGGCGGCTCCAACTCGTCCGTCGTCACCGTCGGTAGCATCGGCATCAATGACGAGATTTCGTCTTTCTCTAACACTGGTTCTTGCGTCGATGTGTACGCCCCCGGTGAGGACATCCTCTCGTCGTACATCGGCGGCGACAATGTGGTGGAGTACCTCGACGGTACTAGCATGGCATGCCCCCACGTCACAGGCGTCATGGCCTACCTGCTGGAAAAAGAGCCTGCCTTGCGTCAGGACCCCGCCGCCATGAAGGCCCGCCTGACCTCGTCCGGCCTTCTTGATTCTATCACCGGTCTCGTGCTTGACACGAAGCAGACCGTCCTGCTGAACAACGGCGTCACCAGCGCCTCCCTCGGCAAGAAGCGTCAGGTCTCTGACGACGACGATGAGCTCGATGCCCTCACGTCTGGCGTGTTCGTCCTTGGCGACGGGGACGCCAAGTCGAAAAAGTGGTGGTAAACGCCAAAATAGCAAAGAGAAAAATAAAAAAGAAAGGGGCGCCTTGTGACGCCGCCGAGCATACGAAAGCCAAAAAAAATATACATTGAACGCATCCTCATTATCTGTTCGTTGTAAATCTTTCCAATACCTTTTTACCCATTTTATTTCCTACATGTTACACATCGGCCATTAATATACTACACACTCCGTCTTGGGGGAAGCCAAAAGAGTTGGGAACGTACGGGTTGACGTCGATTTTGACTTTGGTTATTCGGAGAGTTTTCTGTTAGCGATGAGGCGCAGTGCGGCGAAGCAGAGCAGGAAACAAAAAGCGGAGAAAGAACGAAGCACTCAATTCAGTCTCGACTTGCAACGCCTAGAGAAGAGATGCTTTCCTTTTCTTTCTACTAGAAGTAGAGTCGCTGAGCGAAGTGTTTCTTTTCTCATTTTATTTCAAGTCTGTATTTCTGCATTACATGATACCATAGCATCATAGATACTTGACAAATAATTCTGCAAACATTCACAAAATACCGGCTCCTCTGCAAAAGAACGGTGTGTGATCGCAAGCTTTCTGCGCTAAACAGTCGTTGATGCCGGAGGTGTTACAAGCGCTCTCCTGTACTGTACTTCCGACCAACATTCTTGGCTCTACAAGCGCGAGACAGGTGCAGACGCCATTTCCCGCGCGTATCTACCCCTCCGATCTTGGCGGGGGAAGCTCGTACGATAATCCTTTGTGGATTGCTAATTTAATCAGGGTGGGTCCGGTGAGCTCGGCTTGGCGCATAATGGTCATTTGAACGAGGTGGTATCTGCTGCTATAGAAGCTCTTCTACATAAGGGGAATGGTTTTTTGTGGGCTTAAGGTTGCCCAATGCCAGTCATCATTTCCCATCGTGCCCCGTAATGCCGTTCGTGCCGTTCGTTGATTCCTAATTATTACTCCATGCACAACTTAATGCTGCCGCACACTTCCGCGCGCCTTTCAGGCGGGCTGCGCTTGTGCATCGGCAGATGCAGGACCACCAGCGTTCCGCTGCGTGCTGACTGCATACTCCTTTAGGAAGTCGGGACTGTTCTCAAACTCCTCACGCACCTATTAAGTTTTTGTGTCAGCCAAGGAAAGCCTCTCCCTATGACGTGTACATGCTGCGCTCTGCATGTCGAGAACGGAGAAATGAATCAACTTACGATGTCCAGTCCACCAACGAGCTCACCACCCACCCACAGCTGCGGGAAAGTCGGCCAGTCGGCGTATTCCTTGAGGCCTTGCCTGACCTCGTCGTCGGCTAGGATATTGAAAAAACCGTACCGAATTCCCTTCTCTCTCAGTATGCTGACCGTCTGCCTGCTGAAACCGCACTGCGGTGCGCTGGGAGTGCCCTTCATGAACAGCATCACCGGCGCCGCCTTGACGAGGCCGTCCAGGCGCGCGAACAGCTCCTCCTTGCTCGTCTCCTGCTCGCCCGACTCGGGCGCGGTGGCGGGGTCATTGGCGCCGGGAGCGTAGCCGGCGAGGTTCGGGGCGGTGCCGTTCGGCTCAGCGGGCTTGGTGACGGCCTGGGGCGGCGGCAGGCCCAGCTTGCCCGGGTTGCCGCTCTTGCCGGCGTGCCGCTCGACGGCGGCGCGCACCTTAGAGGCGTCGCTGCCCGACACGGTCTCGACCGTCTGGCCGCCCTTCTGCAGCACGATGTACGGCACCGCCGTCACGTCGTACGCCTCCGACACGTCGGGCAGCTCCTCCGCGTTTATCGACACGAAACCGATCGACGGTGGCGACTCGGCCGTGTACGTGCTGGCCAGCGCCTCGAGCACCGTCGTCATCTGCTTGCAGGGCGCCGCCCACGGTGCGTGGAAGTAGACGACGAGCAGCGCATTGGGCGGGAAGTTCTGGACGTAGGCCGCGAAGTCGGCGTCGGTGGTGATTTCGGTGACAGTCGCGGCGCTCATGTTGGGCGGCCCAGAAATTTGTCTTCGGCGATCGGGGAGAGTGTGGGGCGTGCTCTGCGCGACAGTCGGTTGGGATAGAATTGGGCGTCTGGCGAGGGTTGTCGGTGGCGTGCGAGAGGTTAAAAGTGACGGTGGTCGTCGAGTAATCAGATCGAACTGATTGATATGCCCCGCCGCTGCGCCCGCCGAAAAGCTCCTCCGAGGAAGCGCACACGCCACTTTCCCTGGTCACGTCATCGCTGATTGAACCACACACCAGCAAGCTGACATAAACAGACCATCAGAAATATCGTAGCGTGCTAGTTGACTCACGCCAGGAATATTAAATAGCTCCAACAAGGTCTAGTGCAGCTTCTGGCCCTGTTTTGATTTCACTAGCCGGATGCTTATATCAAATGGACACGGTCTATGGAGGCTCACCCGCTAGAACTGCTTATATTGATGGACGCGTGTAGACCATGGAAGTTCTAGTCTGGATAATCAAGGGAGACTGAATGGTCAATGCAAGCAAAAGGTGGACACTTGCGAGGTGACGTTGGCATTCACATACCGTACTTTGCCCGATATCGGCGGCGACTGCTTATGTTCCAAGTTCAACATGCAATCGAATCAAACCAGGATTTGCACAGTCACATTAATGAACTACTTGTAGTGTACAATAACACGCATATCGAGTGCCTAGAACATTCCTCATAATGCTTATGTTGCTAACTGAAGTAGGTAGTGGCGCTCTTCGTTTGGTATAAGGTCGTGGGAAGCATCGTGAGGAACGTCAGCGCTGTATTGCTGATATCAACATGGCTTTAGATGGTCTCTGCAGCTTCAGTTGGCCGATAACCCCTTTGAGCTGCGCTAGAAGCCGAAGTAATCTCCGCCCTGTTTCGCAACAGGTCTCCATATTGTACTTACAACACTTACCAGCTAATTTTAGTTCACGTTCGTATACACACAAATCCGTGTTTATACGCTATGGAGCTTTAGAAAGTGGGAGTATATTTAGATGTAAGTTTGAGGGATTGAAAATTGCTTCGCGCAGAGAGCAAATTATAGCCACTTGGTGGTTTGGAGGTAAAAGAGAATGTATATTATTCCATATACAAGCGCATCTAGTAGATTAGACCTTGTCAACATATCTCATCGAATCATATCGACTATCTTAGTTGCAATAAGATATACAAGAGTGGAAGACGGTATGAAGACCGGAGCACGTGCTTTGGATGCTCGCGGGTTTGCGCTAGTCCGTAACAGGTACCGCCTTCGCGGCAGAATGTTTGCGGATATCAAAAAGTTCCCCGGCGCAAGTCGCAGCCCAGCAGCGCACCTCAAGATCACGCTCCGCCACAATGTCGATCCCGCTCCGCCAGATGTATGCAATCGCCTAGAGTGAACTTTTCTTGAGCGCTTTCTGACTAATCACTTCCACAGCAAGCCCAAGAGCGCGCGCACAAAGCGCGCCCTCGAGAAGCGCGAGGCGCAAGTGCACGAGAACCCGAAAACGACGCTTTTCCTCCGCGGCACGTCATGCAGCCAGATCGCGCAGTGGGCACTTGCAGATTTCAAGCAGCTGAAGGAGCCGTTTGCGATCAAGTTCAACAAGAAGAACGATATCCACCCGTTCGAGAATGCCGACTCGCTCGAGTTCTTCAGCGAAAAGAACGACGCCTCGCTCATGGTCTTCGGCCACCACAGCAAGAAGCGGCCCCACAGCCTGACCTTCATGCGCTTTTTCCAGTGGAAGGTCCTCGACATGCTTGAGCTGTCCATCGACCCGGATACTTTCCGCCAGCTCAACCAGTTCAAGAACAAGAAGGCCGCCGTCGGTCTGAAGCCCATGCTCAGCTTCTCCGGCACTCCCTTCGAGAGCCCTGTCCCCAATGCGTACACCCAGGCGAAGAGCTATTTCACCGACTTCTTCCGCGGACAAGATGCGCAGAGCGTTGATGTCGAGGGTCTGCAGTTCATGATCCACTTCAGCGCAAAGGATGAAGTCGATGGCCAGCCGAAGCCTGCAATCCACATGCGCGTGTACCTCATCAGGACGAAGAGGAGTGGTCAGAAGCTGCCTCGTGTCGAAGTTGAGGAGATGGGTCCTAGGATTGACTTTAGGGTCGGTAGGGTCAAGGAAGCGGATGAGTCTATGATGAAGGAGGCTCTCAAGAAGCCCAAGCAGCTCGAGGTATGTTTCTTCTCCTCCATTTGATTTGTCCGACAAGAAATGAACCTAGAACTGACATCTTCCATAGCCCAAGACGAAGAAGAACATCGAGACGGACATTATGGGTGACAAGATCGGAAGGATACACGTCGGGAAGCAGGATCTCAACCAGCTGCAGACCCGCAAGATGAAGGGTCTGAAGCGTTCCAAGGACGATGTTGAAGAGGAGAGCGAGGAGGATGGCACCATGTTCGACGATGACGACGAGGTCAGTGACGAAGAGATGGACGAGGATCTTGCACCGGAGACGCACCCCAAGCGTGCCCGTGTGTGATGGGTGGCATAAAAGTCTTTCACCGAGGTTCTATGCATTGAGCGGGCGCGGGTCTGGCTGGAAAACAAGCTGGCGTTCTATGGTATCTATCTAATGGGGGTTTTTACGGTCGATCAGGCGACCTCTGGTAGTACAAACAATCAAGAAACCAATAACTCATGAATTTTTTTTATGGGGCACCGAGACCCTTCCTATGCAGCTCTACCCCAAGTGCTCCTCATTGCGTATCCCAACGCAGTCTTATCTAAGCAGGCTACTTACACCAGCAAGAAGCAATCTAAGATGCGGCTTCAAGGGTGCCCTCCTTCTCCACGGCGGAAGCAGGTTTAGACTGAGTATCCGCACTCTTGTTCTGGACAATACGGAGCAGGTTCCTCAGCAGCACAGCGATGGTGCACTTGCCAATGGCAGGAACATAGATAGAAGCCTTCTGCTTGACCTCAGGCGGGAAATTCTGGGACTGTTAATATCAATTGGTGCGGCGACTGTTGATGCGCATTCACTCACCTTTTCACTGGAGAAGTTGATGCACACGGCACCCTCACGGAGAAGGTGGACAGGGACCTTGAACTTGTCACCCGGAACGCCACTGATGACAACGTCGCTCAGCGGGAGAATCTGCTCCAGACCCCAGCCGGGCTTCTCCTCGACCTCGTGCCTGCGCTTACGCAGGCCCTCACCTCTGTGGTACTGCTGGACGTCGTCAATGTCCTTGGAGTAGACTACAGCACCATCGTTGGCCAGCAAAGCAGCAAGCGGCCTACCGACAACCTCCGACCTGTTGATAACCGTGATGGTATGTCCGTGCAAGCGGTTGCCGTAGGGCAGGATGGTGTTGTAGATCTGGAGGTGCTCGAGGATCTTGATGACGGCGAGCGGGGTGCAGGGCAGGACACTCTTGAGCAGCTGGGCCTCGTCGAGGAAGCGGACGTTGCGGTACATGTTTGAGATGTACTTGTGAGTCAGACCCTCGACGTCCTTGGTCACATCGACGACGTTCTGCAGGTACTGGTCCTGGCGGGTGCCGAAGATGGGGTAGTAGACCATGATGCCGTCAACGCTGTCGTCGCCATTGGCCTTGATGAGGGCATCCTCGAGCTCCTCACGGTCGACCTCGCGAAGCTCGTACTGAAAGCCGCTGGAGCACAAGACTCGTCAGACACGGGGATCTAGCGGGGTACGAGGCAATTGCGGAAGCAAGAAAGCGACTGGAGGCTCACTTTTCGCGGGCCGTCTTGCCGGTCCAGTCGGCGTAGACGCGCGAGGCAGGATCGCCGCTGGCAAGGAAGCCAACGAGCAGCGGGGAGCGGTTGAGCTGCTTCAGGCCGTCCTGAACCTCGGCCAGCAGCTTTTTGGCAACGCCGCCGGCCAGAATGACCTTGCAGGTGGGAGCGTCGGCCATGTTGTTGTTGTCGTCGAAGTCGCGATTCCTGCGGGGTCTGGGATCAGTAGTATGGGCTGTCCGAGGCAGCAGCAGCGCGTCCAGTCTTACATGGTGGAAGTTTCTGAGCTGTGCCTGGGCGACCAACTGCCGACAATATTTTGGCCGCACGCGCACCGACGCCGCAAGCCCGTGCAAATCTTATCGGCGGGCCGCGCTTGGCCGTATCAGGAATAGCGCGCTACGTGCTTCTCCGTCACCCGCAGGCTGCTTACCTTAGGCTTTTCCGCCATTCGCAGACCGAGCCCGAACAGCGACCCCAAACGCCATGTCCGATATCCAGCTGTACTTGTTCGAGTTCTCCAGGAACAAGGACGAGGCGGCACGGATTGCGACCCAGACAGCCGAGCGTGCGCCCCCACCCTCCTCCGCTGACGTCAAGCCCACACTGACCGCGCCTAGGCCTGGAGAGCAAGCAGCTCAAGCTTCTCGAGTTGGTAGAGTCTCTGGGCGAATTCCTCAACAACGATGACGGGCCCACGAGAGCGAAGGGTGCGCCTGCTTCCCAAAATCTATTTTGCCTTATGTACTGAATTTGTCAGCCATGGCCTACCTCGCCGACGTCCTCTCGGCTACCCCGTCCAAGGCCTTCACCCGCCAACACAGTACGTCCATGAATCTCTTCGAATTCTGCTCCATGCTTCCGGATTTTACTACCATTGCAATTGTTTCTTTGGCGAAAATTAAATTTCCTATTTCATTTTTTCATTCTTGGAGTTCCACCTGACCTCGAATAGGAAATCTCCTGTGCGACTTCATACTGTCCCGTATAGCCGACGACAATGAGGGTATTGGCTCGTCAGCCAAGGCCCTCATGGCTCTGGAAGAGCGTGGGGCCTGGGAGAAGGAGAGAGCTGCCACCGTGCTTTCTTCTCTTGTAGACCATACTCATCCGCTGCGCCAATTCAAGCTCCAGAGCGAACGTTATTCCGTCTTGCGGCTAATCGATATGCTTGTGGCCAAGTACAGAGAAGGTACTTCACCATTGGCCATGGTAGTTGACTTGAAGCTGACCTGAACAGCGGTACGCAGCGTGCATGAGACTACGCCGGGTTTCCTTTCGCGCTTCATTTCCTACTTTGATGGAGAGAAGGATCCTCGTAACTTGATGGTTGCCTTTTCGATCCTTAAGGTACCCATGACGGAATGGACCATTGGTGCAGATGCTCAGGTTAGTTTTGCAACAGTTGGGGAGCACAACTCGTCCCAACACTCACGTCTCGTTGATGTGCCATCACCATACTGACCGATAACAGGACTTGTTCGATGCCGTCTTTAATTACTTCCCAATCACATTCAGGCCTCCACCGGATGATCCTTATGGAATTACTGCCCAGCACCTAAAGGACCGTCTGCGGGAGTGTATCTCATCCACTGCAGATTTTGCTCCTTATGCTTTTCCTGCTCTCCTTGACAAACTTGACTCCACATCAATCAATACGAAGGTGAGAATCACAGATTTAGTTGCGGGAGCACATCTGACAAGCACTAGAGAGACGTCCTTCAAACTCTGACCGCGTGCATTCAAGATTACGGGCCCCGTACCGTTTCCTTGTACGCTGTGACTCTATGGGATGCTCTGAAGTTTGAGATCCTAAGCGCGCAGGAAGAGGATCTTGCAGAAGAGGCTTTGAAGGGCCTTGCAGAGATCGCAAGACAGCTGACACAGAACACGGCCGGTTCACTGCATGCCTACCTGAAGCCGATTACGAAAGAGTGCAATGAACATCTTGAAGATGCGCCAACCAAACAGTCGGCAGCTTCAGGGAAGATATTGCATGCTATCGCTAAGGTGTCTCCGGAAGTCGAAGACTCGATACTTGGCGCAGTTCTGCCGAATATTTTCACTCTTTACCAGACCAGCGACACCATGGCAAAGAGGAGAGGTCTTATAGAGGTCCTTGCCCAGCTCGTTAGGGCCGATATCGCTGTTTATGGTGAATGGCGGCTTGTTGACAGCGAGGTTGTCCAGCCTGGTCCCCGGACGTCCGACAATGCTCTTCTGAAATTCCGCGATCAAGCCTTAGAGGTTATGAGCAATGGCCTCGCGACAGCACCAACTAAGGAGGTCTCCTTCCGCTTGGCGGCGCTCGATGGCCTCTTGCAGCTTGCTAAGGCTAGACTTATCTTGGATGACGACGACATCGCCAAGGTAATTTCCGTATTCCACAACATCGTTATCTCTGAGGAGTCATACGGAAAGGACGAAGTCAAAGCGGCGGCAATTGCTGGGTTGGTTGATATTGCGCACCAAAAACCTCAACTGGTGATCGACAAAGCTTTCCCTGCCTTCATGGCAGAATTGCCAGACAAGGACGTCGAGGGGTCAGATTCGTATGCTCCTGTACTCGAAGCATTCGCAAAACTCGCTACGGAGGAGCAGATTTTCTCGACTGTGGTGTTGCGGCTGAAGAACAAGTGCAATGTAGCGATCCAGCAAGGCGCTTCAGATGGATACATTATCGCGCTTCTCTCTGCAAAACTGTTTGCATTCTCGAAGGGAGCAGTCAAGCTCGAAGGAACTTCTGATTCCTGCCCCTACTACGACGAAATCATACTCCCCACCCTTTCCGAAGTTTCAGGATCGAAGTCGTCGGCCTTCGATAACGAGTTCGCCCTTGATGTAGTCGGGCGCCTCTGCAACACCATCCTTCGGAAGCAGACCGTGGAGTTCCAGAAGGACAAGATTGCCCCGGAGACATATACCTTGTTTTCGGGCGAAGCTCTGGACAACGTACCGCCTTTCAGTACCACCTCCTCTCCTGAAAGGAGGAGAAAAATGATCGTCTCCACACATATTCTTGCAGCACTCCGCCGCGAAGCTGCCCCTATTGCGGATTCCCGAAAGCTTCTCACCGCCCTGATGGATTTCGCGGTATTGGAGGACATTCCTCCGCGCGTCCGTCTGACAATAAACTCTCAGATCTCCCTTGTGGCCAACAAGTTCATCCCTTCAGCTGAAATCAAGGACACAATGAACAGCATCTTCTTCGAGCCACAGCATTTACTATCCGCAGAGAAGCTTGATGACAAAAACATCCGTGTCATTTTCGCGATCATCAAGGGCCTAGCTCTCCGCAACGCTCCTATTCTCAACACCGTCCTCCCGTCACTCCTTGAGCTTCTCAAGGATGCCAAGCATGGTCTTGCGGTAGCCCGCGGCTTTTCTACTATTCTGGCCCCACACGACCTCTTGACGAAGGAAAACTACTGCACGGTATCCGGGTTGCACAAGCAGAAGGTGTTCAATCTTCTCGTACCAGCAATCGCTTCCTCATTCAAGGCTGCGGACCAGGCAACTAAAACCAATTATTTGATTGGTCTATCTGGCATCTTACGCTGGATCCCATACGCAATCATTGAACCGGAACTATCGCAGCTGACCCCCTTACTCCTGCAGTGCCTGGACCTGCAGCAATCTCAAGCTCCACAAGGCCAGCAGCAGCAGTTCGACGATGTCAAGAAGGCTACCGTCGACACTTTGATCGCAGTCTTGACCCACGAACCCAAGGCACTCGAGGAACATGCCGCTAGCTTGATCACCCGTCTTCTCAATACGGCAAGTGCTGCGTCAGCCAAGAACAAGGCTGCTGCCGTTCCACCGAGTAACAGCCCGGCCCTTCGTGCAGCCGCGCTCAAGTGCCTCGCCCTTATTCCCGAGAGACTGCGTGGCGAGATAGTACTGCCCTTCAAGCGGCAGGTTGTCAAGAAGCTAACAGCGGCCCTCGATGACGGTAAGAGAGCGGTTAGGCTCGAGGCGGTCAAGTGTCGTGCGGCTTGGTTAGGTATGGACGAGGTAGATGATGATGACGAGTAAAGATATCATGCCGGGCGGGGGATAAAGTTCGGTGTGCACGGGCTTGTAAATTGAGTTCAACGTATTTCGATGGAAGAAAAAAAAAATGGTCTGACTGGCTTTTGGGGGTGGGTGGATAGAGGATTCGGTACGTATGACAGCGTGTGCATTTTTTCCTGGGTGGCCGCATGTAGGTAGGAGTAGATAGAAGGCATAAAGTTCTGGGTTTCAATTGTTCTTCGACGTTTCAGCAAGGGATTTCAGAGGTCAAATACTAATGTGGCATCGCAGGTCTGCATCACTTGCGATTGCATCTTACTCAGACCGATCAATTTGCAGTAGATCTTTTCTTCATTTAAGGCTTAAATACAGCGAGTTTGAACGTAACATCATTAGCAGCATTATCGAGTACTTGGCTAAGAGGAGTATAGGAAAGAGAAGGCTGGTTCATAAGGGGGCAAGAAACCCGCTTTTACGCAAACGAATGGAACAAGGACAGCTTAAAAGAAGACTGAAAAGACAGGAAGGAGGGAGGGATTTCACAACGCAGACAGCAACCCCTTTCCTTGGGCCAGCTTGGCGGTAAAGGCAACGACGCCCCCAGCAAGGCACATGACGCCGCTGAAAATAGCCATCTGGTCGTAGCCGCCGAAGCGGGCGAGGAAGGCGCCGTTGATGGGGGGGCCGACGAGCATGGCGACCGAGGCGACGGCCATGCCCATGCCCAGGTAGGTGCCGATGTTCTTGGGGGCGTCGGCGCAGAAGGCCAGGGCGACGGTGAAGCCGGAGACGATGGCGCCGGAGCAGAAGCCGTAGAGGGCGGCGAAGGCGATGATGGTCGGCCCCGTCGTGCAGCGCGTCCAGCACAGGGTCAGGATGCCCGAGGTGACGCCCGCGACGGCCAGCGTGTTGAAGCGGCCCAGCTTGTCGGCCAGGATGCCGGGCACGACGCGGCCGAAGAAGGAGGCGCCGTTCAGGATGGAGAGGAGGTAGGTGGCGAGCGGGGCGGAGAGGTTGGTGTGTGTGAGGGCGTAGCTGGGGAGGTAGTAGAGGGGCGTGAAGAAGCCGAGGAAGAGGAGGAAGGTCGCCGCCACGGTGACGAGGTAGACGGGGCGGCGGAAGGCCGAGAGGATGAGCAGGCTGCTCTTGCGGGGAGGGAGGCGCGCGCGGATGGTCAGGCACGGCCAGATCAGCATGCCCAGCGCGATGAAGCCGCACACCCGCACCGCCCAGGGGAAACCGAGGTTGTTCGAGGAGTGGTTGGGGAGCATTTTAGCCATTACGACCGGGAACACGGCCGCTCCCAGCGATGCCCCGGCGATCCCAAGGCCCATGGCAGCACCGCGCTTCTTGGAGAAGTACTGCGATGTCGCCGCCAGCGCGGGGCTCATGACCATGCCGTTGGAGATGCCACCGAGCACGCCTTGCGCCAGGATGAAGTGCCAGTACTCGGTGCACAGGCTGGTCATCATGATGGACAGTACGTACGCCACCGCGGCGGGGGCGACGATGACGGGCCCGCCATAGCGATCGAAGAGCGCGCCTCCGAAGAGACTGCTGAAGAAAACGAAGAAGTTCTGCAGCGATCCAATCCAGGAGATGGCCGAAGGCGTCATCGAAGACAGTTGGTACTCCTCGTAGTAGGTCTGGTACACTCCGAAGGAGTTGAGGTAGCCCATGGTGCAGAACAGCGCTGCTGCCGTCCCTACAGCAACAGACCACGCCTGGAATCCGCCCTCTGGGAAGTCTCCAGCGGCTGGAGTCTTAGGAGGGTCTGGGAAAGGGCGTGGAGTATAGGCTGGGGTGGGGGGCACATAGGCATCATGCTGTTCTGGGACGTTGAAAGAGTATTGGGTGGTTCCGGAGAGCCAGGATGATCTGAAATCCGCCTTCACCCAGTTGCCCTTTTCATCCATCGTGTAAGTCATGGCTGAGGCTTGATCGTGCATTGAAGAAAAGGATAACGCAAAAGGGCACGCAGGAAAACAAGAGTTTACTCAGGAAGGCACGAGAAATTTGAAGGCCGAAGGTCAAGGACATTGCCACGATTTGTGGAACAGCAAGTCCCCCTCGGCTCCGGAACAAGCTACGGGCCATGTAGATTCCCCGTCATCTTGAGATATCTTATCCATAGGAAGCTGCTGTGAAGACCGGCCCGAAAAAGCCCAGAAGGAAGAACAAGGAGCGAAGGAGGCGGTTTACAGTAAGCCCACGTGCAGGGCCGGGTGGAACGTGGCGGGGCGGGAAGGATTCACGATCATCTGCTCCGTGTTTCGTCTCAAAAACGCTGTGGTTCATCGCAGAGAAGGTACTTCTCAGCCACGTGGCGTTGAGAGGCTTTTTAGTCTGGGCTTCGCGGCGAAGTGCCATTATACGAGCTGGTGTAACTTGGCATAAGTGGGGAGCCGGCGTCGACATAAATGGCGTTGTAGATTGCCTTCACAGTACGTTGAGCATTATCATGGCCTCAAGATTCGAGCTTTTACAAGAGTCAGACTACCCATCCGGAACAGGACACATATATGCTGAGCAAGTTGCATGCATATGCACGATGATGCACAAAAGCACGTCGTCGAAAAGCAACGTCAGCATTTCGGGACGGAGAATGGAGAAAGCTGAGGATGCCGAAGGCCGGGCAGCTGAAAATAAAGCTGTGGTCTAGCCCACCTAACCAGGTTGCCGCAACGGGAAATTCCACCCACGGCACGGCAGAGGTCCCGCTTAGATCTAGAGTATCGCCGCGTGCACCCCTCGCTCCCGCTGCAATGATGACGTGCAGCGCTCCGTCAATTTTCCCCACCTTTGGTACGGCGACATGTGAGATATTCCTGTGTCTCAAACGTCCGATATCGCCGCTCTCTGTTGCTCCTCCTCGGTATTTCCCACGCCATAGCACGGTCCGGCTATTGGACATCTCCAACCTGATTTTGTCACTTGCACCAGTTGCATGGGAGCGGTAGACTATTGGGTTCCGAACAACGAGCGCTTGGCGGGACTAAAGCTTCGGCGAGGGATGCTCTTTACCCAATTCGGAAGGCTTCAAAACGAAACCACAGTGTACATCCACCGCTACCATCCTTTGCATCAGCCAGAGGCTTTGATGGGCTTATGTTATTGCTGGTTCAACGTCTGACCGTTATACACAATAAACGCACCCCAGCTTCTTTGAACCTCTTAACGGTATTTTACAGTTTTGCCTACCGACTATCCAACAAAATAACAACAGGTGACGAATGGCGATAGCTCGTTATCTGAGTTCTCTTCATCGTGCGTCCATCTTCATCATAATCAAATCCCTGGGCGAAGCATTTTGGCAGGACTATCTGTTTTTGCCGCATTGAAATCCCATCTTGTTTGGTAGACTTGGATTAAGACCTATACGAAACATTGCATCATGATCACGCCACTTGCGCCCTTATAAAGCCTGATCTTGATACGTATATCATGCGCTACTACTCAGCGTGCCAGCATGGAATATAAGGCATCGCAAACCTTCCGACGACCGTAACGCTATGCCAAGCACCATGTGATCGACCCCCGGCGGAGTTCCGCTGACTGGTATGCAGCCTCGGAGGAGCTCCTTTATGAATTCAATCCCGTTGGAATTGCTATAAAGTATGAGTACTTGAAAATCTTGTCCCGATGCATTGGTTTACGTAGATACCATGCATTCATGTCTGGATAAACCATCCAGCTGTCTGTCGTCTCTTGGAAATTTAACGGAACCGACCTCGTAGACAGGCGCAAACCTTAATGTAGTAGTTTGAACCCAATACTACGCGATAACCATAGTCACGGCTGAAGGGTTAAATATCCTGCACTACATTCGTGGTTGCTAGTGGCTGAACCCGTAGCTCAGCCATAACAAGTAAATTTACTAGAGCGTTAGAGTATGCTACGGAATTTACAATGTTTAGACTCGCTATATCTGCTACCTCCCTTTCTTTAGCAGGTTTTGGGCGTGGTGATACTTTTATACAATTCTCTTACCAGCGCAACTATTTCACTGTAACTTGGGAGCCATGCTCGTTGGTTTGTGGTACATGGACAGATAAGTTAAACTAACACTTCGGAAGACTGTTGACGATCATGTCGTAGAGTAGATCACGATTAACCAATCCACCACTGCTACAGAATTTTCAACCTCCAAAAGCCTAATCATGTCATTCGAATGACGCCAAACTTAACTTCCACCCCTAAGCAACTTCAAAGCTCATGAGTACTATAGAAAAGTGTTTCCTGTTACTTGAATAGTTGTTAAAGGTCAAATCATGAAAGTGAAGACTAGGAAAGATACACTCGGCTTGTGGCAAACCCGTGCGCAGAAACCGCCCTCATTCTCACGCAGGATACAACCAGCAGGAGCAGTACGTGCAATCCGCTCAGTCTTTACCGCAAAAAGACTCATGCACTCGTAGTAGAAAGTCCCTTGCAATGGGGAGCCCGCCCTTCGCCAACCAAGCCGTCATCATTCTCACCACCGAGCTGCGCATACCGACCCCCCCGCCCGCCCTCGCCACCGGGGACCGATCCGGACCACCGGCCCGAGCCGAAACAGGGCCTGACGAATCCAGACACGCGGTCGGGCACGCAACCAGAAGCACCAACCACGCGCTGTCAATCCCTTCCCCGCGCACGCTCCCCACTAATGCCTCCCCCCCGGTCGACCCAAGTCCATCCCGTGTCCCTGCCCTTTCCCCCCCCTTCTCACCAATCAGCTGCTCAGCCCACCCTCCGCGGCACATATGGGGAAATTCTTTCCTCAACCGTGCTTAGGTCCCGCTTGGCGGGGTTAAGTGTTGGTAATAGAAAAAAACGTCAGCATGCTGGTTGGTTGAGTGACCGATCTGATGCCAGCGAGACGATCCGGGGTAAGCTAGCAACGTCTATCATCACGAGCCCCGCTGTCACCTGCCTACCTTGAGATGTGTAAACCACCTGAGAATAGTTCACGTGGTTGGTGGCCTATTCACAATACGGTTACGGGTGGACTGACCACCTTGGCGTAGTTGTCAGATATCACGAGACTGTCAGGACACGCCCAATGAGGCAGCTTAATTGAGGAACGTGGAGGGAAGTGCAAGCGCAGTCCGTCGCGGACGAAGCTTTATGTATTTGATAGTGAATATTGACCTCCCAAAGAGCAGAAAACTCATGTAAATCGCTGACGCTACGCTGAGGCAAAAACAAAGAGAAACCTGTTGAATGCTTTTTTTCAGCAATTCAATCAGAGGGGTATCATCGCTTCCCCTCCTGGTATATTCCACCCAAACAGAGATCAAACCAGTATAACAGCCTGGCCGTAGACTCATCACCATGCTTTGTATGAAGACTTTTTCGCTTTTTCTTGTTTCCCTCCCAAAAGAAATGCCACGCAAATAACCAACGCCTTGCTTTCGTGATAAACCCATCGATGTCGAGCCAAAGAAGTTCCGACGCTCGTATACTTTTGGAAATAAGAGCAGAACGCGATCCAAATAGTAGGGTAATGGTGTAGTAGTAATAACGACCAGCCAGGAATGAGCTTCACTGACTAGAAGAATGGAATGCAGCGGCAGCGCAAGCGCATAGCCAGCTGGCAAAACAGGGCGGCGCCTAGTTGAGATAGACGCAGCGCCTGCGGACTCCCTCGAGGAATTCGGCCTCGTCAACCTTGGAGAAAACGTCTTCCTCGTCCTTGCCGTACAGGCCAGTGCTTCCGTACGGACCCTTCCTGCTAGGCTCGTGGCTGCGAGGCCATTGTCCCTCTGACTCGACCTCGGCAATCTGGAAGTCGCCGTGCACAGCCTTGATGTGTGGCTCGAAGATGAAGCCGCCGAAGAAAAGTTCGATGGTAAGCTCCACGCCGTGAGAACCACGGGCTCTCTTCTCGGACAGTCCACGAGCTTCGGCAAGCAGTTCAGCAAGAGGCTCAGCAATGAGCGTCGTGTTGCTGCCCTTGGAGTAGTCGTGGTCGCAGAGACGAAGCGCACGGACCTGGCAGTCGCCTGCCCAACGAACGGAAGCGTTGGCGAACAGGGTGGGGCACATGGACGGGATGGAGATGGAGAGGGTGGTAAGACGGGGACAGTTGGCAAGGACCTCGCAGAGGTGCTCGTTGGACGACGGGGTGCCGGGGTGCGGGTGGAAGAAGCCAGCGTTGCTCCGGGGGGAGTGTTCGAGGACGCGAAGGGTGTTCTGGGATGACTTGACAATGGCCATGACACCGTCAATGCTGACTGTATCGAGGCAGGTCATGTGGAACTCTTCGAGGTTGGTTGCGGTGCGTGCGATGTCGTACAGGTCTCGGTCGGTGATGGGCATGAAAGTGGTGTTGCCCATCAGCTTGAACTTCTTGAGGCGGCTGAAGTCGACGAGCGGGGACTCGAAGGGACGCATGTCAACCTGGTTGGCCGGGTCTCTGGCCTGCTGGTTCTTCAGGGTGATGGCCTGCAGCTCGAGGTACTCGAGGGGGGAGGAGTGGTCGGTTCGCAGAATCTGGGCCCACTGGTGGGCGTCGAGATGACGGACCATGGTCCAGGGCACGCTCAGCGACACAAGATTGGTGCAGCACTTGAGTACAGCGAAGATCTGCGCATTGGTGTCAAACACATGGAAGCCGTTGAACCACATGCGGCGGATCTGCTGCGCAATGTTAGGATACTGGTTCACCAGCTTTCCAAAGTTGCTGAGTGCGCAGAAGGGGTCTCTGTACAAGGGAGTGCTCGAAGGCCTGTCAATGAGCTCGTAGGTGGCGTATGACTCTGGACGGACGTTAGTGACGCGACCGACTGACTAGCGGGCTGACGACATACTTCGACTCAGCGGGAGGTCGGCCCACCGCTCGGCTCCCTTCCACTTGCGGATGTAGACGTCGCGCAGGGCATATTGGAGGCCCCAGTCGTGCCAGACGCTGCACACCGAGCGGATGGCCGAGGTGGCGTCCCATCGCAGCATGTCGGGCGGAACGGGCCCGCGGACATAGCGCTGGACGGGCGGCTTTGCCACCAGGCCAGGCGCCTGGGACAGGCCGAAGGTGAAGGTTACGCCATGCTTTTCATTAAGCTTGGTGGCTTCGTCGAGAATTTGGGAGAGGATCTCGTAGGGGAGGTCGTTGATGTGCATTGGATTAGCGGCTAAGGTACAGGAGACGGCGGGTTCTCAATGGGATTTTGTAGTGATGGGGTGTGGGTGTGGGCTGAGAGGACAAAGGGTCGCAAGGGTGGCCAAGAAGGGTGGCCCTGGGGGCTTTATATCGGCAACACGCACGAGGCCAAAGGACCCTTTGAGGCACCGTGAAACGGTTGCCGCACGGGCGGGATTGTTAGTAGCATGGGCCCATCTTCAGAGAGTCGACAGGTTGCGAGCTGGCGCCACGCGGAAGGAGCTGGCATGGTACGTGGTGGAAGCTGCGGGCTTGGCGCGCTGCGGCAAAGCGAGCCAGCGAAATACGCACGCGCGAGCATGCCGCGCCCGAGAGCGAGCGGTGCAGGTTCGGATTGCTCAGGGAGATGATCACAAGGTGCGAAGGAGCGTCTGCGGTCGAGTTCCTGTTACCCCCATTTAATTCCCGTTCGGGAAAGATCCTGGGCGCTAGCGAGTTCTGCTTACCCCCAGGAAACTCCAGCGCACGGGAACGGCGCTCTGGCGAGGCTCAGGCCAGGGCACCGCGCCCCCAGCCTGCATCATTGCGTAAATCGCCTGCGCTGACGAATCGCGCGCCGGGCGTTTGTTGTTGCTCTTTTTTTTTTTTTTCTGAGCGAGCTCCAGCAGTGCGGCGGTGGAAACAGCAGCTGCGATTGCGGAGGGCGAGGCGTGACTCAGCACCCAACCGGGCACATCTCGGAGCCGCCTTCTGATCGCACCCTCACTCTTGCGTCATCCAAGCAGCGAATTTTTCAGCCCTTCGCCGACCCCGGACGTCGGCGCTGCGAGTGCCCGCCATCGCACCTCACTCTGGCGCGAGCGGCTGCGATGCCGCACCACTATTTCCTTTTACCCAACAGATTGCCAAAGCCGCCCGTACCCGCGCCCGCGACAGACGCGCGAGCCTCACCGCTGCGCCAGCGTCGTGCTGCAGCAATCGTGCCGGATCATCCCTCCCGCCCACCGGCACCCCAGCTTTCCCCGCACAACCCTAGCGCTCCCTGCTGAGAGCCGCCAGAAGGCCTCCAGCCCGCCCCAACGAGCCTCACGCGCCCCAAGCCCGTGGCTAGCCCAGCCTTTAGTCAGGTACGCCAGGTTACTGTGAGTAACAATTTCTCCTTTCCCCGCATCCGCTGCTCCTGGTCCGCTAGCACTGGCCGTCCGGAGGCGCCTGTACGTGTCAAGTGATGCAAGGGCAGGAGAAAGGAGGAGACGCGCGCCTGATGCCTGCGTGATGCCTGCGTGTCCGTTCGCCATTTGAAAAGGACCAGCTGCCGGTCAAACCCCCGTCACATGACGCCTACCCCAGATTCCAGATCATCTCCAAAAACGCCTGCATGACTAGGGGTTGCCATCACCATGAGGTCCTAGCAACGTCTCATCAGTGGAGGTGCACCGCCCCTCTTGACGTTGCGGTGTCACTGTGCCCGCCAGCTGTCGCTGCCGCCAGTGGAGCCGCTCCGCAATTTGTGCTGGCAGCCAGATGGAAGCTGGAGAAGAAGCTGGCCGAAGCGGCCGACGGGCGGAAAGCGGTAATACGATTCCGTACTCAAGCCCTTAGTGGGACCTCATCAGCGCAGGGACTCCACAATTCCATTGATGCGACCCCTCAATATGGGAATAGGCCCTTCTTCTCGAACGGCTGACGATGGGCGCCAACAGCGCTGCCGGCGATGTGCACAAGGGGTCGAAAGCCAAGCTCACCATCAAGCCAACTAGAACTTCCCAACCAGCCACGACCTGCGCTTCGGCGGCACACCTGACCTTACCCCGGATTTCTATTACCCCAGAGTTTCCTCCCTCCAGGGAAGCTGCCGATCCGGAACAAAGAGAACTCTCCCTGCTGGCCTCGCGGGTCGGCTAGCCTTCCGCACGGCTAAGCATTTTCTCCTCATCCGGACGTTGTTGTTACCAATCGAAATCCGGGGAATGGCTGCCATGGAAATGATGCAATCTGTGACATAATTTGAACCACCTTCCGTCCAAACCTCCGCACTCAACCCGTCAACCATTGGTGTAGGCCCCCAAACTGCTCCGCGGAGATGCAGGAACAAGACATTTAGGCTTACAGGCAGGACAATATCACGCTGTGCGACGCAGTCCAGGAATTCGTTCCAGACCTTCCGCGTGCGATAGAGATCCGACGTGAGCGTCCCTGTGCTGCTTTCTGTTGAATCGCCATCGCTTTTCGCCGGCCTGACGTTCATACATCGCTCCTGATCATGCGGGGTCCCCAAGCAACAATCATCAACGCGGACTAGCAGTGTGCAAGGCAGATGCCGTAATTTTCTCGATTGTTCTCCCATCAAAGACCGTCTCTCTTTAGCTGTAACGATCGCTCAGGAGACGTGAAAAAAGAAAAACTCGAAAAGTTGTTGCTTCGCATCCGGGGGTATCAATTCCCTTCCGCACTCTTGCCATTTAAGCCAACCAATAACTGCTCATCCAAACCACCAACCACCAGAAGAGCCAAAGCTCAACGTAACCCCAAAGAAGTACAAGGTAATATTGACATTAAAAATCGGAAGCCGTTCATCCCGCATCAACCAACAGATTTCTCATCCACTACGTCTCCACCACTTAGTTCTTCACACGAGCCATTCGTGCGCACTCTTTCCTACATTTCCACCTCTTACAAGATGAAGAAAGCGCAGGCAGCGCCCAGCAGGGCCAGGCCGCCTCCAATGACGCGGTTAGCAGCAGCGCCGCTGGTGGGTGCGTTGCCGGAAGCGGACTGGGTGGAGGTAGAGGTGGAAGTGCTCTCCGACGACGAGGCGGTGCGGGACGAGGAAGAGCTCGACGATCCGGATGCAGAGGCAGAGGCCGAGGCCGAAGCGGAAGACGACTTGGTCGAGGTGGCCAGGGTCGAGGACTCGTCGTCGGAAGAGGACTTGGTGGAAGAGGCCTTGACCGAGGTGGCCGAGGGGGTGGTCGTGGCAGCACCGTAGGTGTAGGTGCTGGTGGTGGAGGCGACGGTGACGGTCGACTCAAGGACGAAGTACGGGTAGTAGTTGGTCTCGGTCGGGTCGTCGTCGTTGATGATCTCGATGGTGTAGTCGGAACCACGGACGGTGTCCTTGGGGACGGACCAGGTGTAGGAACCGGTGTTGTCGATCTTCTCTGTGAGGGAGAAAGAGACATGTTAGCGCCTGTGGAAAAAAGAGCGTAGGGATTTTGAGAGCGGCGAGGTAGACGTACCGGCAATGGGGGAGCCCTCCTTCAGGTCGTTGCTGGCACCGGAGCGGAGCACGAGCGTGACCGTCTTGCCGGCGGTGGCATCCCACTGAAGCTGGATGTCCTGACCAGCGACGGGAGCGAAGCCACTGGGATAAATGTCAGCGATGATGTCACCATGATGAGAAAGAGTTGTACTCACGAGGTAGGGACGATGAAGGCGTTCTCGGCAGCAGAGGCCAGAGCAGCGAAGCCAGCGATGGCGAGCGAGGTGATGGTGTACTTCATGATGACGGTGGTATTTGGTGGTTGTTGAGAGGACGAGAGGCGGTCGTGTATTAAGAAAGTACCGGATTAAGGGAGCACAGGCACGGGCTGATGATGTCGGCAAGGGCAAGAATGCTGGGGTGGATGCGTGGCAAGTCGGCGCTACTGAAAGGCGACAAGAATGATTGGCGGTGTTGGTAGTTGCTGTTGTCGAAAAGAGGGACAGGCGGTCAGGTATTACGGTACAGGCGAGCAAACCAGCGACAAGGAAGAAAAAAAGAAAGAAACGAAAGAAACCGGGGAAATTGGGCTCTATATCATGGCACTCTTTCTCACACTAGGTGCTCTATCTCCGTCCAACTTAGCCTAGGCAGTCAACCCCGGCGCTTTCCAGATCGTCCTCATGGATGGGAAATTGGATGTGCAAGATAACGTCCGTTACTTCGGCCGCCATCAAAAGTAGCGCGCAATTATAAGAGCATGGACCATTGCCCATCGCGCTCTTAACGCCGACGCCCACTACTCGCGGAAACCTTTTGAAGCTTCCAAGCATTCTTGCCAACGTCTTTTTCAATGCCGAGTCGCCGCCGTCGTTTCGCTGCGAGTAAAGGGGGTTGTGTGCAAGCGAGCGTGACGCACAGCATCAGCAAGGGAAAAGGGAGGCATGATGGAGGAGGGAAGGCAGAGGATTGGGCCTAGTGCAGCCTTCACCGCTTGTGCTAACTTCCTCTTCGCGAAGTGGGCTTCCTTTCGGGGGCTGAACTGGCTGAAGAAACTATCACCACCAATGATGTGGCGTAGCGATCCTCTTTGCTCTTACCCCTTATCGATCCTACCCACTTCCCGACGGGCGCTTAATTTTTTTGTGTCTTGGATTTTAGCATGCTTGGTTTGCTCGCCGCAAATGTTTGCTATTTTAAAAGGGGTAGGTGGTGTGGTCCAGTAGTCGCTCGCTCGCTCGCTCTTTCGCGCTCGGCTGTCGGGAGAAAGGCGCCGCCAGGACCACCACGGTTAGCCTTTTGCCGGGGCGATGGAGGGTCCGGACTCGATTGAATGACTGGCTGGCTCAAATCTGACCGGGGGCTGAGATTATTCGCTTGGGCCTTCTGCCGCTAATGTTATTGGACGGTACCTGTCCTTTGGCTTTTTAGCGCCGGCAGCAGCCTTTGGTGGACCACACGCCGGAACCTGACGGCAGGGAAGCGCGACGACACAGAAGCTGAACGTGCGCTTCCCGAGATTGCTGCGCGGTGTTTTTCGCTGTTCCTTTGCCGAAGGATGACGTTGTATTGGAGCCGACAGCTGGCACATGTGGAGGTCGTTCATTGAAACGCGGGGCTTGCGGTTGTGTGAGTTCTCTGCCGGATGTCGGCGGATGGTGATTGGCTTTGATGGTTAAAGGGGTCGTCGAGTCACGGTACCTGGTCTTCGTCGACTGCTGAAGCGACTGAGCATCTCGCGATACGGGCGCGACGACGACACATGCTCTTTCTTCCGCTTGGCCCGGTGGCCATTCCTTCACGCCATGAGTAGGTATAGTGTGAGCACGAGCATCGTCGCCATCTCTCGCCATGCCTCGTCCCGAAACTCTCGTGTACTCCATCCAACTTTCCCTTCCTTGAAGAAGAAGTAGCATGCGATAGTGCAGTGTCGCGATTGTAGATAAGGACACAACGCGGGGAGATGATCCGAGGTCTCCTCTAACTACTCTCGTCTGCAAAAGCGTTATCCGATACGAACCAGAGGATCAGCGCGCAGCGATCAATCCGGGGTAAAGGAAGACAATTACGACGTCTGGAATGTTCGGATGGCATTGCAATGACGACGACGGTATTTGGCGCCCGCAGCCCTAAAGCGTGTGCAGAAAGAAGCTGAAGAAAACGAAGCTTACTGCCTGCCATGGCTTTGGCACTATTTTAGTCACTGTGTTGGACGGAACCTAATGCGCGTGTGCATATATTATCGCGTGCATATGCAGGTAGCCGACCCGCACATGCAGGGCAAAAACGATCGAGGGCGGCGGGTCGGTCTGGGCAGGATGGAGGAAGCATGTTTGTTCTCATATGCGCGTACACAGGCGGACCAGGGAAAACAACGAGGGAAAGTGGCGAAGCCGAGATGTTGTGCTCCCACACGAGGGAGCAACCTCTATCGATCGATCGTGTAAGGAAGAAAGACCATTGTGCGACCTGCCCGATGCCGGTAATGTGAGACTGTGTCTCTTGGAGAACCATGGTCATGCATTGCATCTAGACCTTCGGGGTCTCCAGCCTGAGGCATAAGTCTTGGTCGAAGAGCTTTGCCCCTGTGCTAGATACCGGGATAGGCGAAGACGCCGGCCATTTGTTTATTTTGTCTATAGAAGAGATCTAGTTATAGCAAGGTCATAGTGGGTCAAAAGGGTCCTCTTCGTCAGGCGTACCTATATTCGCTTGCCCGTTATACCATAGAGCTCTATCTGGGTAGTAGCCGGTGACATTCATCCAGGGGTCAAAGCTGCATCCTTTCTTTTTTCTCGGTGAGAGGCGTGTCCCACGAATGCAACGTCATACCGCATCAGCAGTGAGAGTATGAAACGTGGACGGTGACGCAAGGTGGCGACGCTTCAACAAGGAACAAAGAAGTAAGGGCGCGGGGCACGTGAAAATCTTTTGATGGTATCCGTCGAACGGAGTTTCATTACTGTGGAAACTAGCGGGCGGCGCTGGGGAGCGTCCGCCCGCATGTATCGTGTGAAGAATAGAGATTGTACATGAAGAATAGCGCTGGGGCGTGACTACGTCCGCCGCGACAGGGCGATTGTGTTTCGTTCATTAAGAATAAGAGCAATTACGTCGTAAAATAGAACCCTGTAGCATACCGAAGCCATTCGCCATGAAATGCTCAGATGCCCCTCCCTTACATGCACGGCAGATGACTCCTTAGTTGAGGAAGATCATGGCAGCAACGGCGCCGAGGACGAGCGCGATGGGGCTGACCATGCTGGGCATGGCGGCACCGGAGGTAGGGGCGCCGCCAGTCGAGCTGGCAGTCTCGGACGCGCCGGAGGAGCTCGAGCCCTCAGACGACGACGACGAGGTGGAGGTGGCAGTCGAGCTGTGCAGGGTGCTGCTGATAGTGCCGTTGGACGGCTTGCTGCTGGTGGCAGTCGCGTTCGAGCTGGTGATGGAGGCCAGGGTCGAGTTGGCGGCCGAGATCAGCGAGGACAGCGAGGAGGCAGCCGAGGAGAGCGAGGCGCTGGCAGTGATGGTGGAGCTCTCGGTCGAGCTGGCGGAGCCAGAAGCCGAGGCAGAGGCCGAAGCAGACGCGGACGCAGAGGCAGAGGCAGAGGCCGAAGAAGAGGCAGAAGCAGAAGCAGAGGAGCTGGAAGATGCCGAAGAGGCCGAGGCGGAACCACCGGTGAGGCTGAAGGGGCCGAAGTAGTTGTTGTCGTCGCCCTGCTTAATCTCGATGGCGTAGTCGTCGTCGCTCTCTAGGCTGCTGGCCACAGTCCACTCGTAAGAACCGCCTTCGGCATTGGCTAGAGTAAAGTTGTCAGTGACAGCGACCTTGGGTCAAAGTTGGTGAACTCACAGGTCAGGGTAGTGAGAGTGTCCAGGTTGTTGGGGTCACCCTTGCGCAGGATGAGAGACACAGCGGCGCCAGCCGGCGCAGTGTACTCAATGGTGTAGGTTTGGCCGGCCTGGACAGAGGAGGGAGCCTTGGTGATGCCGAGGTCCTGAGCAACGACGCTCGAAATGAGGGCGGCAGCGCCGACGATGGTGGAGAAGAAGCGCATTGCGGTAGTGTTGGCGGTGTGTAATGCGTAAGGCTAGTTGCGGGTATTAAAGAGCGAGAGCGAGTGTTGATGTTGACAGAAGAACGAATGGAGGCTGTGCAGAGGCGGACAGTCCGGGGGCAGCGGCGATAGAAGAATGTGGGCGGAATGGAAACACGGACAGGCCAAGGAAAATTCTTATAATGAGCATGATCGTGCGATTCAGCAAGATGGAAAGAGCGTGATCCAATGACATGGCCTGGGGGATCACCAGCCCTGCTGTCCCCCAGACAAGTGCTAGCAGGGATTGCCTTAAGGTTGCATTTAGCCTCCCGCGGGGCGAGGAAAAGGGGCCAATCCTGCCGCGTTGGGTACCACGGCCGCGTGGGCTCGCCGCTGAGCTGGCTTCGCTGCGTCGTCCGCGACCGCTGAAGCTCAGCCAGGGCGCGCTCAGCTGCCGTGACGACTGCGCGGCAGTGGACGCGCGCAGTCGAGGACCATTTCGCCCAGCCGCGTCGGTGGCGTTCTGGCCGCCGTTCGCATGGGGCGCAATTTCCGGGCTGTGGGCTGCGGATTCACGGATGCACCACAAATGCCGCCGTTGGGGGCAGGATCAGCCCGGCGCGAGGCTCGTGTTTGTGACCGCGATCCTGCGCGAGTTGGCGGTGGGACTGATGCCTGGAGCCGGAGAGAGGTGACAGCTGCCGAACCTCCCCGTTCGGAAGACGCTAGAAGGCCGGCGCCGCGGACCGTCTGTTCTGAGCTGGCAAGCTTGAGGTCACCGCATCAATCCTGACGCTCATCCTGACGCCGGTATTGACATCGCTTTTTTTCCCCGGTCAGGCGTACACCGAGTGCATGCGTTTCCGGCCTGTCTTGTACGACGCGATCATGCAGAGCGTGCGGAGATGAGCTTCGATAGCGCTTGCTTGGCCTGCGCTGTTCCTTGCAGCCGCCCGCCCAATCGAGAAATGCTCCAGCGAGTCAATTGCCAGCCTCAGCATCACGCGACTCCACCGCCCTCTTCCCGCCGAATCCTGGACATTCTTTTCGCTTGAACCTCTTGATCGGTTGCTATTCTGAGACCTTTGCTTCCCAGCAACCGCTTCAATATCGACCATGTAGCCCTCGACCCCGGCCATTACTACCCGCACTATCACCATTCTGAGCCCCATTGATCCTATAATCGCCCAAGCCTCGCCACGCCTGTTCGTAAGCTTGGGCGCCATCCTAAGATGATCAAACCACCCCCGCAAATTCGCCATCGCCATCGCTTCCCGCTGAGCTTCTTTTCCTTTTCCCGTCGGCCCCTCCCCTCCACGAAGTAAAATCCGAATGTTCTAGCCCCCCGAGCTTTCTTGGTTACCCTTGTCAAAAGAAAAAAAAGGAAAAGAAAAGAATGTGAGAGAGAGAGCAGAGCCACCTTCACAGCATCTCCAACCAAGCCGTCACCCTCGCCGTCCTCTCAGCCTCCTCGCCTTCCTTCTTCTCTTCTGTGATAGTCAGGCCCTTCTCCTCCAACCCCTTCAGCTTCTCCCTCAGGTTTCCCGCCGAAACCTCAATCAGCCGGTGCCTCTGCTGCTGCTGCTGTCGCTGTTGCTGTGGAAGGCAATCGCACTTGCCCAGCGCCCTCCTGCTCTGCTTCTCCAGCCCTGCCAAGACCCTCCTCGCCTCGGTCACGTAAGCCAGCGCCTTCTTGTTCGCAGCCGTTGATGTCGGCGGGAGCAGCCGCTCCGCCAGCGCGAAGAGCGTGTGGCAGCGGATCATCAATGAGAGGAAGCGATTATCTACCTCTCCTTCGCCAGAGGAGAGAAGCGCGGCTGCGGCCGAGGTTGCTGATGCGGTGATGGGGTTGGGTGGTGTGCGGTCGACGTGGGAGTCGGTGTGGTGCTTGTCTTGTTCGCACTCGCGGTGTTGGTGTTGTTGTGGTTCGGCTGTGGGAGTGTGAGCGGTCGCCGCGTCTTTGACGGCGTTGTCTCCGTGGTTGTAGTCGCCGTGACTGCTGTACACCGCGTGCGGTAGACTGTGGTAGTACGGCGATTCTTCTGGTGGGCCGATGCTTGGGTCGAAGGCCGGGAAGGGCTCGAGAGGTGAGGGTGAGCGGTGAGGAACGACTGGCACGGCGGGCGAGACGATGGCCGGCGTCTGTCCGTATGTCGCCGTTACTGTGAGCAGCAGCTGCTTGGGTCGGCGAGGCGAGGGCGTTGTCGGCAGCGGCGGCGCCACCACCGTGGTCGTCGTGCTTATCTCATGCGGAAGGAGTGGGGCGCTGTCATCCTCTATCGCGATCATGACCGAGCTGGTGTTGGTTGTGCTCATGCAGGTGTTTGAGGAAGAGATGGGGCAAGAAGTGCTTGCTGTTGGCTGCAGAAAGTAGAAGAAGGCGGCGTGGGTGCCTGCGGTGGGTTGGTGTCCAAGGATGAGCGCGAGCCGCCCGTCAAAGAATGCGCAGCGCTGCCTCACCTTAACAGTTATGCATAATAACCATTGAGGTAAGCACGCAAGAAGAGATTCATGGCAGGTGACGCGCGAGCCGTTCGCGCAGCCCCGTGCCAGATGCGACTTGTTATCCCCCATGCTTCACCAACCGCGGGGCTCGAATTACTTCTGCCTTGAAACACGGCACGAGAAGCGCGTGTTTGACACACACCCCTCGAGTGCATATCTGAGAGAAGAAGATTACATCTAGGTGGTCGACTATTTTTGACGCACGCGAGGTGAGGCTCTTGGGGCTTTAACTTTCCCCACGCCCGAAACGGGTGCATGCGAAGGAGAACTCGACCACGGTGGGTTTGAGACGTATTGGACCCCAGATATTGCGCGCTACTTGCGTAGATATTTAGTGTTGGCGTTTTGATGCCATTGTATACTTTCTAGACCTAATGTCTAAATGGACAGCCACTTCAACTGCCCATACGAGAAGAGTGCAGCATTTCTCCCGCAACTCACTGTGGGATTTGCCTCACACGTCCCTCTCAAAATGGCAGTTTCTCTCCAACTTTTCTCAGAATAACCCATTGCTCCTCGATCCTCGTCTTCATGCCCGCCAACACGGCATCATCACCCCTGGTCATATCCACCCTGATCTGCTCGAACTTCTCCATCACCATCTTCGCGAACACGCTGCCTGCGCCGTGACTCGCCGGCACGTTGGCCACCGTCTCGACCAGCACGCCGAACAGCACGACGCCCAGATTCAATTTCGCAAACTCGGTTCCGAGCGTGCGCGCGAGAGCTTCGTGGTGGTCCTGCGCGACGACGAGCGTCAGCATGGCAAGGCTCCACTTGTGCACGACGCGCAGCGGATGGTGCGGCTGCGGGTAGAGCAGCGGATCGATGTCGAAGTAGCGGCGCACGGCGTGCAGCCAGGCGTCGACGAAGCGGCCCGCGTACAGGCATCCGACGATGTACTCGTCGCGCATCGTCGCGAACGGCTGCCTGTCGGCCGGGTACACGCCCGTCTCGGCGCAGAACCGCAGCCCTTCCTCGATCGGCTGCAGCTCCTGCACGTACTGCGATCCGCCGCGCGCCTGCTCCAGCTTCGAGAAGGCCGTGGCTTCGATGGACCCAGGCTTGACTACCTGGACCGACGAGGAGCCCGTCAGCCAGCGGTCTTCGCGGAGCGTCGGGCCTTCGGCGCATTTTTTGCAGACGCACTCGAAGTGGTAACGTTGACGGAGCTCGGTTTGGCGGCGCTCAAAGGGGTTGGTCGCGTCAATGTAGGAGATGAAGATTTCCTCGTCCTTGGCGATAGGCTTGAGAGCACGGAATGAGAGCTGCGCGCCGTCCATGATTACGAAGGCGTTGGGATCGCAGGAGTGATTTGCACTGCATGCAAGTGGGTCGAAGCAGATGCCCAACGGCTCGAGAGCGCTGCCAATAAGGGTCAGGCTGTTGGTTAAGATCTGCCGCTAGTTAGATAGGTAGTCGACGGTCATTACCATGTGTGGCGTCTTACTCTGGCATAGATGCCTGTAGCAATGTTTGAGTTGAACGTGTCTTCAGCTCTGGAGTATTTCAGAGCGCCCATGGCTAGTACGGCATGTCTCTCCCACTCGGCACCCTTGCGAAGTTCATCAAGATGGTCTGGTAGGCTCTGCAATCGTTCCCAGTCTTCGTCCGAGATGAGGCCTGCCTTTCTCATAGTCAAGGTCTGAGTTACTGCGCGAACAGCATTGGGCAGTTGCCTCTCGGGGCCTAGCGTCTTGAGAACTGGACACTCGAACTTGTGGTGGCGCTTCCACGACTGGCTCTGGCACGTCTGCAACATACATTAGTCGGCATTTCAGAGGATATTTCTGTCAATATTACCCTGCCGCAATACTTGACCGTCCGGCAGCCAGTGCATGCTTTCAATTCAAGCTGGTTATTGGTGGCGCCGAAACCAGTGGAAGCGAAGCAATTGGCGCAGCAGCTGTCCAGGCTGACACTGTCCAGCACCGTAATGAGGGGTCTTTTCAGCCCAAAAATCAGGTCGCCGGCCGCGATGTCTTGTTGCGCGAACAGACCGTTGCCCGCGACGGGAGACTTCTTCTTGAGCGCTTTATTTTCAGCCATTTTCGTAGAGCCCGAGAGTGGATGGTTTTGGATGCCGAGTTGATGGAGGGACGTCTGACGTCGGTGGGGCGCGTTGCCTGCTCGCTTCTCGTCGACGCGCGGTCACGTTTGTCTTACCCCCACGGACGGACGGTGTGGGAAGAGATGACAAAGGGGCGGGAGATGGACGCTGGAAGGAGGTATGTGTCCATTCAAGACGGAGCCCGGGCCAGCGGTGTCTGCGCCATTCCCCACATCTGCGGAGAGCTGTTGACGTTGGCCTCTTTTCCGGCATTGATCCGGTGCCACAGCCGGCCACTTCTTTCATGTCATGGCTAGTTGAAGTTATCGTCTGGACGTGTATGTAGAATATTAAATTCCACATTCCACATTTTCGTCCGGACGATAGCTTACATATGTTGGCTTTTTTTTTAAAAAAAAAAAATACATAACGAGCTGAGGCATAGTTACGCCTGGGGCCTTACTCTTCTTTACGATAGCCTTCGGCTACGATACCCCCCTGTACTTTGAGAAGTTCGTATCCTTCTAAATACCGAGCTGTGTAGGGTTGAAGCTTAATTTTGCTAATATTAGATATACTCTAAGCTGCTTGTACAGTCCCCTCTCGCAGCCAATGGCTAGCGTAGATTTGTTTTTTTGCTCATGTCATGGATAGTTAAAGCTATCGTCCGGACGTGTGGGTAAAATTTTTAATTCGACATTCTTGTCCGGACGATAGCTTTAACTACCCTTACGTTGTTTTTTTTTTTTAAAAAAAAAAGATGAGGCATGGTTACCCTCGAGGATCCCGCTATTCTTCGCGCTAGCCACCGGCTGCAGCACCCCTCTATAGTTTGGCGGCCCTTTATCGATTTTGACTCGCCGAGTGAAATATACCCTACCTCGTCTTTTACACCAGACGAAATTACTTGAGAGAATCAACGTTTGTACTAGCATCCTCACCCGTTGTGCATTCACCGGCATATCCTAATTTGAAGGCTTGACTTGGAGCACACTTGAACCGTCTATCAAAATAAGGCTAATACTCCCCATATGTACGGGCTCAGGTCATAACTAAATCTGAATGGTGAGATGCTCGATTTGAAATACATGAAGACAAGGACAATGCTGGGGTATTTCGGGTGTGAAGGACAACCATCCTACTCTATGATGATCCCGAACTCTTGTCACTTATTGGATTTTGAGAGTATGTCAATGTACCTCTGTATACTTCCCTGTCGTTTGAATCAAGCCAACCCATGCGCGTAGGCAAGGTAGAGGTGGGAAGTGCCTATCGTATCTGCAAATTTCTTAAAAAGAAACCATGTGAGTCATGACTGCAAGCACGTCGCTGATGAGCAACGCTTTTCTGGTAGAAATATGAAGGAAATCGTCTGAATGCAAGAGCTTGACGACGCGACTTTGGAGTTTCTGCATGCAGTCCCCTCTTGCAGCCGATAGCTAGCGTGGATTTGTTCTTGCTCATGTCATGGGTAAAAAATTCTACATACACGTCCAGACGATAGCTTCAGCTACCCACATGTATTATTTTTCCAAGGCAGAGCCAGGGTATAGTTACGCAATTCTAAAGCCTTGCTATTCTTCCCGCCAGCCATCGGCTGCGAGAGGGGGTTGTACTCCCGCTCGCTAAAAATTGCAGTTTAATGAAGTGTTAGTCGAGCATGTTATTAAGTTATGTGATTTGAAGTTACGCAAAACTCAGCGCCAATCAACCAAGAACGTGTCTAAACGTTTTAGAAAGAACGACAGCCAAACCACTCCTTTCCGATCTACCTGAAAACATTGGTATCGCAAGAGCAGTAAGCAAGGCAGCATTAATGAGAAGAAGAAGGGGAAACAAGGGGGTTCCAAAACAGTAACAGACGCGGATGTAGCGGCCGTTGTGTCCTTTCCCATTCTATTATACAAGTGAAGAGGGAAATGTGCCTCCCAGAAAACATGTCCAGGCACTTGATCTTTCATCGGCCGAAAGTAATAACAAAGCTGTTCAATGTTCCTCCCAGTCCTCACTTCCGTATCGGTGGTATTGCAAGAGACAGAAGGGAACATGGGGGGCTTGAAAAAAAAAGGGACAAGGATTACGGCCGCCAACACACCCAAGAGCTTGCGCCTTTCCTGGAAACCAAACCAGCATTGTACGCCGTATTACGCCCACGCTTCCTTGCGACACTTCGGAAAAGCTGTGCTTTGTATGTATTGTGTTGTTTCTTTGCGCCGGAAATGCGGATTTCATAAGGGAATCCCAAGAACAGAGGTGGTATGCGGTTATAGCGATTTGTGTCGTCTCGTCATTAGCCCAAAAAAGAAACAAGTCTCGAGGAAGAGTTTATGGAGAAAGGTAAAGACCTAAGCCTGGCCAGGAAGCTGAAGTAGAAGTACGCTCGATGCCGGCTTCATACTGTTGTGCGGGCGGGATTTGAACGCGAACGCTTTTGACGTAGCGAACGGGAAAAACACGAGACGGTACAATCGGATACATTTTGTGGCGTGGGAGCCAAAGGTTATTTCGAAGGCATGTGGTATTGCTTGACGTAGCGGAGGAAGGCGATGGCATCTTCCGCCTGCGGGAGAACCTTGTCGAGATGTGAGAGGGATTCGGCGACTTGTTTGTGCATCTCGGCGCCCTCTTTGCGTAATTTGCCCACGTCCCCTTCCGTCTCTTCTCTGTACTTCTTGGCCTCCGACTCTGTGGTGTTCTTGTACGTGGTGAATAGATGTTGTAGTTCAAGGGCGACCTGATCCTTCTTTTCCAGTTCACTGCGGAGTTGACTGACGACGACGTCGTGAGCGGCGATAGCGTGCTCCTGCCTGATGACCTGCCGGCGCTCCTCTTCCCGGCCTTCCGCAATTGCGTCGAGCCGTCTGTCGCGCTTCTTGAGCTCGGCCTTGAAAATGCTGTCGGACGCGTTCCAGCGCGTTTCAATCTCCTTGTTCTTGTCCGTCATCCGCCGCAGTTGCTCTTGGGCCTGCTGCAGCTCTTCGCGGAGGTTGGACACCTCCCGGATCTGCTCCTGGCGGGCGCGAGCGAGCTCGTCAGTGTGCTCCTTCTTGGCGGCGGCGAGCTCCTGCTTTGCGGCCGAGGTGACCTGTCCGAGCTGGATGCCCAGGCCGGTCGCTTGTGCCTCGGCCTGCTTCCGGCGCTCCTCCTCGCTCTTGAGTTGTGTCCGCAGTGTCTCCTCGAATTCCTTGCGGGATTTGCGGGTACGCTCGGCAGCCTCGGCGGCGGAGCGGAGGGTGTTGTTATCGGCCTGGAGGCGCTCAATGACGTTGTTCTTGGCGCGCAGGTTCTCGGTCAACTCCTGGCTCTTGGCCTTCTCCGAGTTGAGGTCGCGGCGCAGGGCGTCATTGGAGGCGGTCAGGCGCTCGATGACCTTTGTGGTGGACTTGGAGGGGTTCGAGAAGGGCGAGGCGCCGGGATTGTTGGAGACGCCGTTGGGGAGCTCGGAGAGCGGAGGGGTCGGGGTGATGTGGACGGCGGGCTCGTAGACGCCATTTCGGTTGGAGGACGGCATGTTCACGACAGAGGGCGAGGGAGTTCGAGCATCGTTCTCGGAGGGCGACCACAGCTTCCCATTCATGTCACCGAGCGAAATGTCGGTCGGCGTGAGCTGGATTTCTGGGAGGGTTGGGGGAGAGCGAGGCGGCGCCGCATCTAGAGACGCCCGCCGGTCCGTGAGCTTCAAGGCTGCGAAGTGGAGCGCACGCTTTGGGAGGAATGCCAGGTACGACGAAGGGGAGATTGGGAGGTGGACGCTAGGGTAAGGAAATAAACATACCGCCCACGCGGCGGGTCTTCTTGAGCGTAATGCGCAGCAACGCACTCATCGATGATTGGACGCGAGGCAGCTGCAATGCGCCTCGATGCCAGGGGACCCGCGCAATTGACTCTCACAAGGCGTTTTGTTACCTGCGTAAGCGACCGCAAGCAGGGGGCTGGCAGCCTTGGTCATCGGGCAGCGCCCGGTCCCTAGCAACAGCGGTTGCTATCCCGCGCGACCGCTAGCCTTTCCACGCCTGGGCCGGTTGAAGCCATACGTCGCGGCCAGAGTCGGCGCTCCATCATTTCCGCGCCGTGATTCATCTCCCTCTCGAAGATCTCGACAGCATGGCAGGCAAGTTCCGGCCTCCATACGGACCGAGCAGTTGCCTGCACGCAATATTGCGACCATCAAACATCGCAAGCAATAGGCTAAGCTCGACTATTGATGTCGCTTAACTCCCATCGTTCGTCAGTCATTTCCCCAGCTTTTTCGGCCGCCGAGTGGGCAGCAAGATGCTTGCGGCTAGTCGTGGCGTATAGCGGCGCTATTGTATATAGCGACGCCCTTGCTATATCCTCACACCATGGGCTGAATGGGCAGTTCGACGGCGATTACATTACCAATTACGGTAAGATACAGGCAGGGCGAGGGTGCAACCAGTGGCTGATCGGCAGGGCGCGGGAGCTTGCTGAAACGATGCGTCAGCTGCAAAGCTTGCTTGCCGAGCCAGGGGCCTTCCGCCTTGCGGACTTGCTCTCTCTTCAAGCACTGCGAGGATGATCCTCTCGCCACGCTCTCGTCTCATGAACCGGGTGCCATTTCTCAGCATGCCGCGCACCGTCGACGCCCAGGGCGCCGTTCCAGAGCCAGCTGCGAGACATGCACCGGAGTGTCAGCAGGCGTCAGCAGAGGCGCAGGTGGGCGCTGCGCTGGACCATCTGCTGGAACGCGCGCTGCCTGCTCGAAGTGCACGCGTTTCACCTTTCCCATGCTGTCTGCCTGAGCGGCACTGTTCTATGGACCACGGCAGCGGCATAGTGACCAAAGGGGTCTGCAGCTGGACAGGTGGCTTAACTGTAATGTGCCGGCCGTCGAAGTGCAGTCGATGTTTCAGGGTGCCGCTGTCACGTAGCAGCGAGCTCCGAAGGCAATGCTTGCATCATAGGACCCCTGAAAGCGACCCTGTCGTCGCCTTGTGAAGTATGTCGGCGTCTACTCGGTACTACATTCGTTCACTTCTCTCAAACTTCGTGTCGTCGATGTGAGCCATTGCGACCGCCTGCACCGCCGCCCGGAGGATGTGCAAGTGATCGCCAAATGCTCGACACGACGTCGATAAACTACGACTAGCCGGCCACAGCGCAATCATGGTGAAACAAGAAGCAATATCGAGACTCGACACGCAGCGGGGGCCTACGTGGAGGAATCATCCCCGCTACTTCTCAACCTTGGGAAACCATTGCATTCAAACCTACAGAAACTTCATTCACCAATGACATATGTGCAGCCCGTGTCGCCGACCCAAACCTCGTGGACACGCTTTGCGTCGACGTCAAGGCGGGCGCCGGGGCCGAACGTCTCCTTGGTAGGGCTCTGGTCCTTGGGATAGGTGATGGTGAGCTCGCCGTCGAGAATCAGGTGGGTGGTCAGGCCGTTATGCGAGTGCGGCGGATAGTGAGCATTTCTGGCCTAGTGAGCCACCGGGGCCTTCAGTTGGCAGACAAGCCGTCGCTCACTTACGGGCTATCAGACCAGGTGAACACGTGGCGGAAGCCCCAGTCGCGGACTTCCTGCTCAGCTTCCCTCTGGCTCTTTGCGGGCATGGTCGTCGTGTGCGCGTGCGAGCTGTGGGGCGCAGAGTCTTGTAGATGAGTCGCATCAAAGAGGCCTGCTGGACGACGAGGAGGGGTTGTTTGCCTCGCGCTGCGTCTGGGGGACCCTGGATGACGTCGACCGTTGAGCCGTCGGCACGCTCCTTCCTTGAGCGGCGCTGGGCTAGCCAATCGCCGCGCCCGCGCGCCCGCCCGCAACGCCTGCCAGCTGTGCGGTTTGCGTGCATGCCTTGTTTGCGCTCGTGGCTGCTCCAGCTGGCAGCCAACATCGACCGTAGCGCCAGTCAGTCGGGGCTGTGCACCATCTGTCGGCGCTGGACGGCAAGAGCCAGCCGGGCGAGTTTGCGCTCGGCGGCCGAGATCGTCAGCTCTCTGACATGAAACCCCGTGGGTCAAAAACGCCCGCCTGCGCCTGGTCGTGCCTTATCCTCTTCCAGCCTTTCCTCTGACTCGCCCGCCCAAAGCCCGCCTTTTCTCCCTTGCCCGGACACGTGAGGCGCCGCGACGCTCTTTTGGCGGTCTGTCCCAGAGGCGCCTGGACTCATCAAGCGAGCACCGCCTCAGCTGGACCTCTCAAGCGAGAGTACTGCCTTAGGACGGCCCCCCGCCCTGCTGCTTCACCAGCACCACCACACCACCCATCATGGCCACCGATCTCGCTACAACCGTCCCCCAGGCCACAGAGGACCATCCCGTCCCGAAGCAGGAATCCGTGACCAATACCCCGGCTCAGGCTGGCGGTGGCACTGCCAGCTACACTATCAAGAATGCGCAGAAGGTCGACAAGCTGAACGCCACCCTCTCAGGCCACATCGAGCAGATCTACAAGAAGCTGGAAAAAGAGTTTGAAGTGTCCAACAAGATTGGCCTGTCCAACTTCCTGATCAATGGCCAATCTCACTCTGCCGACGCCCTTCCCATTCAGGAAGAAAAATTGACTGCCGCTGCTCTCAAGAGCTACTTCCAATCCCACCACGTGAATGCCTTGCGTGCACCCGAGCCCCTCGATGTGAACTGGCCGATCTCCAACTACTTCATCTCTTCGAGCCACAACACCTACTTGACTGGCCACCAGCTCTACGGCGAGTCAAGCACCGACGCTTACAAGAACGTAAGCGCATAGAAACCGCCACGAATTTTCATCCATGCTAAACCTCTGTAGGTCTTGCTTCGGGGCTGCCGGTGTGTAGAAATTGACGTATGGGATGGCGACGCCCCGTCGGACTCGGAGGACTCCAGTAGCAGCGAATCTGAGGCCGAGGTCGATCCCAAGACGGGCAAGAAACCCGGCTTGAAGGACCGCCTGAAGGCAAAGATCGCGAGGAGGACTTCCAAAAGAGAGAAGGGGCCTCACCCTGTGGCCTCTAAGAAAGAGAAAGAGAACCATCCTGTGGCGAATACCGATGGCACTTGCCAAAGCCAGAGCGAGATGCCAAAGCCCTGGAGAGCCAATTCCAACCGTGCTGAGCCAAAGGTGTACCACGGTACGGCGTCCCTGCCCGTCTTTCCCGCCGACTTACTTGCTAATTCATGGGTTGTCAAGGCTACACTGCCACTTCCGATATCTCCTTTCGCTCGGTTTGTGAAACCATCCGGGATTACGCTTTCGTGACCTCGTCAGTACCAGGACCTGCAGACCATCTGAAATGAATCCACTAGAACTGACCCATTGTAGGGAGCTTCCTGTCATCATCAGCTTCGAAGTGCACACCAGTCCCGAGCAACAGGAGGTCATGGTTGAGATCATGAACGAGACGTGGAAGGAGTTCCTGGTCGACCATCCACCGGAAGACCAGGCGAATCCTGCTAGCCTGGAACTGCCCCCCTTGGAGAAACTCCTCCGTAAAATCCTGATCAAGGTCAAGTATGCGCCTCCCACGAAGCCAGGTGAGATTACACCACCGCAGGAGTCGGAACCCACGACGCCTTCTGAGTCAGAGGAGGATGCCACTACTTCTGCTGCAGCGGCTGGACAGGCCAAACCTGCAAAGAGCAAGATCTGTCAAGGTCTTAGCCGGCTCGGCGTATACGCCTGGGCCATACGCTTTCAGAACCTTCACCAGCCAGGTAAAGTTACACCCTGCCTACCTGAGACTCCCCTAACAAGCGTACTGTATAGAGGCTCAGTACCCTACCCACATCTTCTCGCTGTCCGAGGGCCGCCTCATGGAAGTCCACCAGCACTTCCCTAGTGAGCTCTTTCAGCACAACAAGGTACGTTTCATCTTTTTGATTTTTCCCCCCTTTGCATGTCCATGGACTGGCTGACACTACGTAAAGAAATACATGATGCGTGCTTACCCCAAGGGTACTCGTGTGTCCTCTTCCAACCTCGACGCGCCCGTTTTCTGGAGGCAAGGTGTGCAAATCGTTGCATTGAACTGGCAGCGTTGGGATGAAGGAATGATGCTGAACGAAGGCATGTTCGCGGGTACCGGCGGGTGGGTCCTCAAGCCAGAGGGATACCGCAGCACTTCCCAAGCAGCCAAGCACCCTCATGCACTCACATATGGCAAGCTTGACATGACCATCGAGATCTTCTGCGGCCAGGACGTGCCATTGCCTCCGGATGAGAGTAAGGCCAAAAACTTCCACCCTTACGTGAAGTGTGAGTTGCACGTTGAGAAGCCAGAGGAGCGTCTTGGCGAGCCCGTTCCTGGGGGTGGTAAGAGTAAGGAAGGCGAATACAAGCAGCGCTCGAAGACCGTGAAGGGCCAAGACCCAGACTTCGCTGGAGAGGTTCTCCGCTTTGAGGGTGTGCCTGGCGTCACGCCAGAACTGAGCTTCGTCAGGTGAGTCCATTTTCCAGCTTATCTACTTCCTACCAGATCCCCGCTTCCGTTGCACACCAGCTTCGTCTGTCTGCGTGTCACCGTGCACAAATGTCATACTGTGTATCGCGAGGTGGTTTTCTTCTGCTGCACTTCGCCGTCCCATCGGCTAAGTGTGGCGGATGGCTGCATTCGCAAGCTCCACGAGCCCGCCGTCGTACTCCTAATGCCCAAATCTGTTTCTTTGTTCTCGTTATTTCGGGATATCGCGGCATGCAGGAGAGGCAATGGGGGGGCTCGCGCGGTCCGATGCAGTGCACCGGCAACTCTCTGGCACGAAGCGCCAATAGCGCACAAGAACTGGCTTCACGAAGAAAGCCTCGCCCTGCGACTCCACTGTTCTTGTCATGTGGACCTGCGCAAGGCCGCTCCCAACTTCTTACATCCAATCTCTTTCACACTGGCCATCTTTTCCATAATCACCACATAAGGTGTTCCGCGGCAACCGGCATTAGCAAATAACTAACTCGCTCTCTTGAACCTTACAGATTCAAAGTCATGGACGACGAATTCGGCCGCGACGACTTGGCAGCTTGGGCATGCTTCCGGCTCGATCGTCTGCAGACGGGTTACCGCCTCATTCACCTGTTCGATGCCGAGGGCGTGCAGAGCAAGGGAGTGCTTTTGGTGCGCGTAACCAAGAATTTCGTCGTTGAGACACCACCGGCGTCGTTGGCGCCTATTTCGAAGGATAAGAGCCTGGATGCGGTCGTGGAGGAGGTGAAGAAGCTGGAGACATAAGGAAAAGCGGCAGCAAACGGCTGCCCACTGCCACAGATCGTGTAAGAACAGTGAGATGTGGGGAGATTGGGAGACTGGCGTTGTCGGTTTGCTACCTGTGTTTCTGGTTGGTCTTCATCCTTCAATCGGGTTCCTCCCCTGTCCCGATATCGGGCATAAGGGGAATCGGGTTGGTGAGAGAATGATGGAAGTGGGAATGGGCGGTGAGTTGCATTTACATTGTACGAGGCATGAGACCAGGGGATGTCATGTCATACAGGCTCATGCATAGCGTACGCGGCTGTCAGACAAGATAGCAGTGTCCAGTCAGAATTATGGATTTCTTTTCTCTCATATCCGCAGTTCTGAAACATGTGTGCATGTGCGGCTCTTTCCACTCTGTTACCTGGAAAGAGAAGTATCTAGAATTAACCACGACGCTTCATCTGTGGGTGGGGAACATCTGATTGGACATTATTATGGTCAAGAAAATCATCAAATGCAAGGGCGCCATCGGATTTTCTTGATCGCTCGCGTGCCCAGTTGCCTATTCTTGGATTGACTCATTCTCATGAGACTCGTCACTTTTCGGTTCTTGTTACGTTTTCTTCTAGAATTCTTTCCATTGTTCACGTCAGGTCAATATCAGAGCGGTGAGGGACGAAAAGGAATCGAACGAATCGTAGCGACTTCGATGCTCTAAGCCAATCGAGATAGACGAAGATCCGATCCGATCCGATCCTGGGAAGATTGCCGGAGACAAATAATCGCAAGCAACGCGTATCTTTCCGTCATCAACCCGTGCTTCTTGCTCCACGCGTCCTTCCATCAGTCGCCCGGTTGCAAAAATGCATCACAGCACCAGCGCTGACATCAATAAAGTGAGGCAAAGAGAGAGGGGTCAACGACCAAGCCAATGCACACACGACCCGAAGCCGGCAGACGGCGAGGGCAAGACACACCCCAGGTGCCGCGGCGCCGGCCGCTACTGCACGTAGCCGTCGGGGCTAGCCCGCTAGCGCCACGCGTAGCTCCCCGTTTCCAGTTATTCTTTTTATTTCTTTCTGGGATCTTATTTTCCTTCCTTTTGTTCCACCCGCCGGGAATGCTCCTATCGGAACCAAACATACAAAGAAAAAGCAAAAGTTCCCGGGGTTTGGGAGCCGCAACGCATGTCTGTGTAACCGAAGCGTGGACTTTTTTGCTGGAAAAAGAGAGAATGGAAATGACGAGAGCGCCGCTGGATTGGATGAAACGCGGGAATGCAGGATGCGGGAGCTACGGGAGATGGGAAACGGGAAACGGGGTGGAAGCGGTGAGGGAACTGATCAGGTCAGAATAGCATGTGGGATCTGCAGTGAGGGCTGATGGCGATGTTCCAACAGAGAGGAAAGAAACGGGTGGGCTGAGGTGGCTGATGGACGTATGCTGTGTAACAAGACCAAACTCTGCCCCGGTAAGGAGGGATGAGGGGTGGACAGCCGATCAGTCTTCCACAAGGCTGTAACAAGCGATATTGGCCATGGGGCGGCAGTTTCAGGGCGTCATTGTCAGCCTTGTAGTTGTCATCCCTCCATTCCGAGCAAGCAATGGGCTGATAAGGAAGGAAAAGAATTAACAAGAATGGTAGCCCAACTAAAAAATATTTACCGGTAAGCAGACAAGACGCCAAACAATTGGAATCAGCGCAGCAGCAGCAACTAGCTTCGTCATGCCAAAGAACGTATGACGCACGCTGCATGAAGCAGCATCTCATGGCGGTGGTGTGTGGTACCGTCCGGTGAGTCGAAAGAGGACGTGGTCGCATTGGCGTACATAATCAAGGCGGATGCATACGTAAGCGGCAAGCCGAAATCCTGTCTAGAAAGAACCGGTGAGCCTGGTGCGAGGAGTAAATGCATCTTTGCCTTGCCATCCAGCGAAAGTAGAGCTGGAGGTGTCTGTCGGGAGCGCGCGGCCCAATGGCGTGTATGAGCTCTTCGGAGGCTTTACCGCGAGGCGCTGCACCTCATTGGCCGGGGAATGAGGTGCGCGCCATAAAAAGAAAAAAGAATACGAAGGATCGATAAGGAAATAAAAAAAAAGGCCTCGTTCGATGAGGCAAGCAAAGGAACCCGTCGGCGACAATTCAGCTAGGCAAACGATGCTGAGGCTTACCTTGCGGTCCCGCAGCGGGAACCAGGTAAATGAGGAGCCCCACCCCAAAAAGTAAGTACACCCGCCCAAACTGGGAAAGCGTTACAACGGCCGACCTGCATAAGCAACGCATGCAGTGTGGTTTTCCTTTTTCCCCTCCCTCGCCTTGTCCCTGCCTACGTACATACCGCCTTTTCTGGAAAGACTACCATGCCAACGGCTGGAATCCGTGAGATCTATCATGTCAACGGCCGGTACCGGGTGCCGCATCTCCGTTAATCTCATCGGTGGAACGTGGCTTTCGGTTCTCAGATGGCGGGATATCTCTGACCTCATCATGAGTTGAGTTGACTTCCTTAGTTGGCCGTTGGGTCTGTGCACAAGAAAAACAGAAGAGGAAATACAATAAACACGGCAGCGTGCATGCATTGCCGGCGAAGCTACCAGACAGGTCGTAGTCGCGCGAATGACTTCCGTGAAGATCGACGAGGGTGGACAGTGGTGGAAAGGAAAGCGGCAGCATAGGCTAACGGCAGCCCTCATCATTGGCGGGTGTCACATTTGAGCTGACTAGGAAGCGCCGGCACGGATGGCTGCAGCATTTTAGTGAAAACCCTCCTTGTGGCCTCGAGTCCCACTTCTACGCTAGTCGCTGCATCGCTAGACTACCGTTGGACTACGATGGGACCAAACAACGTCGACTGCTTGTACTCGGAGAAATTTAGAGTTTCTTTCGTGAGAGGACGTGGCGTGCAGCCCTGCCATAGCTGCCAGCTCCGTCTGGAGCAAGCCGCGCGCTGAAGGTCTTGGGAGAGGCTCAGACGAGGGCCATGTGGATGGTTTGGTGGGACAGAGAAGCACCAAGTCATGAAAGGCCATATTTTTGTCGGTGAGCAGCATACTCTTCTGAAACGATTGAACATGCGCCAACCCAGCCGCGCGTCTAAGCAACGCATTCGTGTTGCCCTCCTTCTTACGCTCATCGGCCCACAAGTGATCAGCAAATGCGGCCAGTACGAGCGATAATGTGAGGGTAGGTCGAGAGATGGTCATAGGTAGCGCTTGTTTATTGCGAGTAATGTTTAGCGTTGGAGTTAGTAGCTCGTCGGGTTGAACCGATTGGCCAGAGCAGTGGCGCGAGTCAAAGGCGCCGAGGTTGGTGGAAGGTATTGCGAAACGGCCCTTAGGTAAACGATCGAGCAATGCCCGGCGGCTGCGGATGCGGTCCCACTGTTGACACCGCATTCCGGGTTACAATACCAACCTCGGGCACCGTGTCGTCGGGCCCGGGAAATTGGATGAGGATGGTGGGAATAATCGTCTGACATGGCAAGGAGCATTGCGGAGCTGTCGACACACGATGAATCCGCAAGACCCCGGATGCTTGACTCGTGACGTATGTACAAGCGGGCCCCGTGGACGTTGATAGCGGGTACGGGCCATTGCAAGAAAACTGGAGACGAGGTCAGCAGCGGGCGAGAAGAGGGCGCCATACTGGCCGGGACGCGCGTTGCTTTTCTGTTGACGGAGGCATCGAGGTGAAAAAGCAAGCAGCGGATGACATCTTGTAGCAGATGCGCGTGCCGGCTGGCGGGCGAGATCGTGGCTTTGCCGCGTGGCGGGGCATCGGGCTCTGGAGCGCTAGTGCGTTCGGGAGCTGATCCGGCCGGGGCTGCGGCTTCGTCGACGAGGCGCGGAAGACGGAGGGTGGCCGGGGGCGCGCAAGGACAGCGGAGCTGCGACATGGGCACAGCCCGGAGCTGCCGAGGGCTGTTCTCCGCAGATTGACGGCTGGAGAGGCCTGTTGCAAGAGGCATACCGGCCCGCAAAGGCGTAAGAGCGGTGAGATCTGGCGCCGCATTGCTGAATGGCAGATAGACGGGTGCGTGCGCGTGCGGGCAGAGCTCCGGCGCTGGCGATTGAGCTGGTGCGACTTCGACAGTTGAAGGCCGGCCGTGGTTGGCATCGCCAGTTTGATGGTGGCAGTGGAACGGCGGCAGCGGGTGCTGCTGCTGCGTCGCCACCGCCGTCGAGGACCCTCTCTCGGCGCCAGGGCCACAGCATTTGTATCACACATGCTGGATCTCCTGTGGGGTTGCGCGGCGGCGGCATCGCAGCTCAGATCCTGGCGTGCGCCCAAGTTAGAGCCCCAGCAGCCGAAACGGCCAAGGCAGCCCGACGTCAGCCCTACCGCTCGCTTAGCAACCACCCAGCTCTTGACGTTGGAGCGCTGCCAGCCGCCCCCTCCCAGCTGTTCCTGATCCGCCGGGCGCGGGCTCGGGCGGGCTGGCCTAGCGGCGCTGGAGGCGTTGCTTGTTGCGTAACTGCTGCACCAGTAGGGCCACTTGGCTACTGCATGCGACAGCTCATATCAGCCCGGATTTGCATCCGCGAGACGGCCGAGGGAATACAGACGCTGGGCTTGACCATCGCCAACCTAAAACACGCGCGGGTCGGCCTAGCGCTCCAGGGTGATAATGTGACCAGTAAGTCGTGAGTTCCGCATTCCCACCGCTGCTCGACGCGGCCGCCGGCAGCAGTAAAATCTCCGAGTCATAGCCTGCTGATCCGTACGACCTCATCATGCGCCGAACGCCCGCCTGAGTCGCCGCTGTCCCGGTCGAGCAGGGCCGGCCGCCAAGGGCGAGATTTCGAGGCTGCTTCCAGAGATGCCGATCGACGCCATGTCCCAGCCGGAAGGTTCTGGGATCACAAGTGACGAGCTAAAAGCAACCCAGCAAATGAGCTTCCCCTGGCCCCATGCGCTTTCTCAAACCCACCCGCCAATCTACCCACCGCTCAATGGAGCCTCAAGAGCATCCCTGCCTGGTGGGCCCGCCTCTTCCAGAAGCCTTGCAAGCTTCCCAGAAAATATGATCACGGAGACGCGGCCTAGGGTCTCTGACTTCGTTCCGGGGAATCCCAATTGCCCCAATGCCCCAAGCTCCTGTTAGTCTCAGGCACGGCAGCCCTTGTCGGATCGCGCTACCTGATCATTGGTTTCCAGATTGCCGGCTCCACACGGAACGATTGTACAACCAACGGGCCGCTCCATGCACCATGGATGCTTTCTTGTGGAAACAGCGTCGAGAGGTACTTTCAATGTGAGCAACGCTCTCACAAAGTCGACCGACCTAGCGTCTTGTGGCTCGCCATGCCAGAGCTTTGGTAACCTCCTCTGGGCAGTCGCGAGAGACGAAAGCAAACTGGCGGTCGAGGTGCCGTATAAATACCTTGTCGTTCCTCCTCGCCATCCTATCCATCATCACATTCCAATCCCTTCACTTCGTCTTCCCTCTCGACTCCGACAACACAATCACACAATGTCTTTCAACCAGTTCAACAACATCCGCCGCCATGAGATCCTCGAGCGTATGGGCATCGAGCAGCTTCCTGCCCTGATGCCCGGCCAGGAGCATCCCGACGTTGAGCCCGAAGAACGCCGCCCAGAAGTACCTCTCGTCATGCTTCCCGTGAGCAACAACTCATATTTCCCCATCTTTTGCCGCTGTGCTTTCTGACCCGTGACCAGGTGCCTGGCAGGAAGTGCCCTTCTTGCCTTGCCAAGGGCGAAACCGTCTGGGTCATTCCCGGCAAATGCTGCCCTGCGTGTGGCACCCCTGTCAACTGATGGACGATTGACTTCCAGTAAGTATGATTTGCACGCCCCCCGCCGTGGTCGGATCTGACCAATTGCTCGCCTGCAGGTGACCTCGGAGTTCTACGGATGGAGTTCTTCTGGTTCGAAATTTGCCTTCGTTGAGGAGACTGGAGTTTCGATGGTTTCGGTTGGAGAGCGGCACCATACTGTACCATTTCCTTCTAGCCCGCCGACGAATGTGGCATTTGCAGGCGCACGGCTTTGCGTTACTGGATGGCCTTTGGTGAATCGGCGCTTAAAAAAGTTATTTTGATTTCCTTCCCGGTTAATGGCGCGAACCAAGGTGGAAAGATGATTGATCCGGGCGTGCTTCAGTCAAGGAAATTCGGAGTAACAGGGTTATGCAGAACGATTTCCAGCGGTTCGAGTGGTGTTGCCATTGCTTTGGGTAATTGATTTCTACAACAATCTCTTGACACTGCAGCTTCTGTGAAACCTTGACCTTTTTAAGCATGTGTCGCATGCCGTAGGACAATTTATCGTTGTTGCCGCCGACGAAGTTTATCGTCTCGAGTTGCTTTATCTTATGTAGCTAGCCAACAAGGCGGGATCATTAGCGCAGTAGTCACCGTTGCAACCGGGAAGTCAGTTCCGCGCCCATTGCTTGTAAGCCGATCTGCAGTCCATACTTCGCATCAGTTAAGGTCACTAATAGCTTTTTATGAACGTGACAGAACCAGGATTAAGGAAATCCAAAATAGGTCCATATTTTCTGGCTTTTCATTGTCCGCGTGGTTGGTTTGCCTTGCAGACTGTGCAGAAGAGGCTGATCCTTACCAGGGACTGAGGGGTATCAATAAGAATGGCCGGGCATACTTTGTGCTCCGAAGGTGATCGTCCATTGTTCATGTTTGGCGGACGAGGAAGCCTTGGCGTTGGTGCTCATTCCTCCGCTTCACCTTCTTCCCACCACAGGGTGGGGCCAAGGCCTGCTTGTGCCATGGAAGCCTATGGGTGTCAGTGGGAGCCAGTCTGTGGTCACAGATCAAGGGCACGGCCACTCACAATGATGCGATACGGCGATTTTCTCTCCACTGGAGTGTCGTCTGTGGTGGGAGCCTGTGGTGACTGGTCTGTCCAGATCTCGGCCTCAACTCTAAAGCGCACAGTCTCTTCGAGATCGAAGAATAGCTCGTCTCCTTGCTCGGTGACCCAGACCCAAACGCGCTCGGCGCCAACGCTAAAGAAGTGGGGCGCGGTGTAAGCTCCGGTGAAGTCAATAGTAACCGGGTGGCGGACCGGTGAGGGTTCAGTTCAGACTTACTACTTCACGCCTTCGAAGAGGTTGACAGGCCCGGGGACAAAGATGTCGTCGAAGAACTCCAACGCAACTGTTCCAGCGTCAGAGATGGCTGTCATATTGAGCCGAATACTGAGGGAAACATACTCTTTATGCCTTCTTGGTCAGAGCCGCTGATCTTTCCCTCAATGATCTCGCCTTTGAAGGGGCGAAACACGACCAGTCGAAATTCGACTGTGTTGGAAGCAAAGTCAGCCACGTAGCTGGAGTGGAATGATGTCGGGTTGACGGCGTTGGTGCAGAAGGAGCGTTGTACCATTGACGTTTACAATACCGGTACCGTGACCAATGAGGCCCTCGGAAGACTTGAGAATGTCGCGGAGGCAGATACACAAACCAACCTCCTGTATGACCTGCGGGCAGCACTGCATTAGTGAAGTTTGCGGAGTGACGGCCCACGTGGCGGACTGACTTTATTGGCGTATTTGGCGTGGATTGCATCCTTGATGGCCTGGATGCTAGACTTTTCAAACTCCTCGGGCTTGATCTGAATCAGATCCGAGATGGTGGTCTACAGGACGTCAGCAGTGTCACCGCATTTGACCGGGCGTGCATACAGTCAAAAACATGGCTGCACTTCGACGGTGGGTCGTGCGGCAGGTTACCGGTGAGAAGGTGGAAGAAAGGAATGTGAGAGCGCAGAGATAAGTGCCGTCTAAGCGAGGGTCAGGCCGGGCGCGCAAGCAGCCCCATTCTAGATTTGGACGACAGAGTGGCAGGTGAAGGAAAAGGTCGTTGGCGCAGACAACGGCGCCGCCTCACCGCCTTCGGGCTTGGCAAAATTTCATCATATCCCGGTCTTTTTTTGCCCGGCGCGCGCGACCACTGCCATCTCCCGCAACATTTCGCGCCGTCACCGTCTCTCAACGCCACTACAAGCGACAGTTTGCTGTACACCTCGTCGCGCGATGGCTGGGTTCTCTTTCCCACCGCCTCCTCCACCTCCGCCCAAGGCGACATCCCAGGATGCAAGCTCTGCGACGAATCAGACACAACCTGGTGGCTACGGACAGCGCCCGAACAGAGGCGGAGGAGACAGAGGCCGCGGTCGTGGGAGAGGACGAGGCAATCAAAGTCGCGGCGGTTTTGGCAGAGGCGGTGCCACTAACAGTCATGCCGCTCTGAATCATTCTCCGCAGTTTAATCGCTCTCTGCCGCAGCAGCACGCCTCCCCGCAGCAGAACATGTACGCCGGCGGACACCCTTTCAACATGGGGACTTTACCCGCTGGTGGACACATCAACCCGGCATTCGTGAATCCAATCCTCCCTACGCCCCAGCCTTGGTTTTCCCAAATCCCGTCAAGTCAGACAATGGGGTATAGACCGCCAGCTCCGACCGCGTCCAGCCCGCACCGTCCGCCTTCCGCCTCACGACCTACAAATAAGTCAAAAGTACAAACTGCGCCCTCCGTGCCAAGCTTTGGCTTCGCGCTTCCAACAACCCAGCCACCTGTTGTGCCGAAAGGTCGTGGAGAGGGGACCAACCCCAAGAAAAGGAAGACCAACATGCTCGGCCTTACCCCTCGTGGCGATATGCATGAGGACAGCGAAGAAGACGATGCCGACGAGGAGGCCAAGTTTAAATCAATGGGCGGAGTGTCAGTTATATTATCCCTTATTTTTGCATTTGTATTGAGATGGCACTAATCTACACAGTCTTCAATTCGAGTACAAGGGAAAGTCTTCCACGTTAAAGACTCCCGAGGATATTGCTGCCTGGATCGAAGAGCGAAGAAAACGGTTTCCTACAAAGCAGCGCATTGCACAGAAGCAAAAGGAAGAAGAGGAGAAAAGGCGTACCAGAGAGGAGGCCCAGGCCGAGAGGAAACCGAGATACCCGCAGAAAGAGAGGGATACCAAGAAGAGGAAGCGCAAGGACGATGACAAGCCGGACAAGGCTATCAGAAAGGCTGAGAAACTCCGTGAGAAGCTAAGAAAGGCTGAGGAGGCAGTAGCGAAGGCGAGAGCAAAGCTGGATTCCAAAGCTGCAAACGAAAATACGCCAAAGAGGAACTTAGGCATCGATTATGACAGCGATGACAGCGCTGGAAAAAGTGGTGACGACTCGAGCTCTCTTGCAGAAAGCTCCTCCGACGTCTCGACAGATTCGGAATCGGATAGCTCTTCATCTTCAGGCGGTTCGAGTGATGACGACGCACCTCCGGAAGAGGAGTCATCAGCCAAGCGACCGGTGAAAGTCCGCTTGCCCAACCGGAAAGCCGTGCAGGCCACCACCACACGCCCTCGTCGAGACAAAGGCAAGGAAGCACCCAAAAGAGTGACGTTACGTGAGAGGGTAAGTCCAGACAATCTCCATTATCATGGATCCGATACTAAGCCCAGCAGATGGCAGAGCAAGAGCGTCGACAAGATGCGGAAGTTGTCTTGCGATTCGTCAAAATGCTTGGTGAAAAGGGCATGCTCGAGTGAAAGCTCTCGCTGGCATGCATAATGGATGCATGGAGGAAAGGTCGGGTGCTGATCAGAGCTGGACGGCCCCAAAGGAGGCATCGAGACTCAGGCAGTGCGCAAGTCTATTGAAAGTTTGCAGTGTATATAAACTCAAGAGTGGCACGGCCTGTCTATACCCAATATTTTAGGCCAATTGATAAATCCCATCCTAAGAAGAATTCGCTAAAGCTTAATACCTACATGACTGCTCGTGAGGTATGATTACGTCACCGGACCCTGAGCCGCGCTAAGACTGATATTCGGGCCGACTCAATCTTATCGCGTTGCTGCCTCCAGATTTTCGGAGCTTCAACAACTGCCGCCGCATCTCGAGCGCCGCCCCGCTGCATCCGCCTCCAATCAAGTTCCAGCACGAGAACAGCGCGTCGCAAACGCCATTATGGCTGGGCAGAAACGTAGCCACGAGGAGTTTACTGAGGGCGACCCCAATGTCGCCGAATCCCATGAGCAGGCAGAGCGCCATCGCGACGCGTCCGCCGATGGCACCAACATCGCAAACGACGGATGGGAAACCTACGAGAGCAAGGGTACCAAGAAGCTCAAGAAAATTCCGGGCCAGCAATCGAAGAACTATCCTTCAATCACGCATTCTCCGAATGCCCGCCTGATGTCAACAGTCAAGATCAGCGACCTACAGAATCTCATACTCTACATTCTAAGCGACGCGACCTCGCCCCGCTGGGTGGCAGTCAACAATCATGGGCAGATCAGGAGAGTCGTCACAGTCATGGTGCCTGGTCTCGAGGCTGGCATGTTCAATGGACAAATATTTCTCGACGAGGCTGCCGACGTGCAGCAAGATCTTGTAGCACACAACAGCGAAAACAAGGAGAAATCAATCGTCTCTCCCGACGACTATTACCCCACTAAGCTTGTGTCAGAGAAGTTGCCTGAGTCCTTGAAGCCTTTTGCAGAAATGTTCCCGCACATCTGGCCCATCAAGAGCCCTGGCGACGACAAGTATATGAGGCTTCACTCGCCTCTGCAAGCAATATTGACTGCGCCCATACCAAAGCAGAAGGACGACAAGAAGAAAGGCCCTCAATCTGCCAATAACCGCAACTGGAAGAACAAGCGTACGCCCATTACCAACTACATCGCCACGCTTGAGCAAATGCTCGAAGACGGCGATGACTGGACAATACACCCCGCCATGTATTCCACGCCGGCAGAAAAGGCCGAGCATTCTCACCAAAGGCTGCTGAAGGAGAAGGACGCCGCGCACGGCTGGGTCGACACGCCTGTCGCGTCGCTGGAAGACGGCGATGTGCCCAACGACCAGATTCAGAGTGGCAGTATGACCGCCGGCCGGAAGGTACTTGCAATGGACTGTGAAATGTGCAAGACAGGAGAGCAAGACTTCGAACTCACACGGATCAGCGTTGTCGACTGGGATGGAAACGTCGTTATGGACGAACTAGTCAAGCCAGAACGCCCCATTACAGATTACCTGACCCCTTATTCTGGAATAACTGAGGACATGCTCAAAGACGTCACGACTACCCTCGCCGATATTCAGAGGCGCTTGCTAGAGATCATTACGCCCCAAACAATCCTGGTCGGCCACTCACTCAACTCGGACCTCAACGCCTTGAAGATGACGCACCCCTTCATTGCCGACACCTCGTTCCTCTATCCCCATCCACGCGGCCCGCCGCTGAAGTGTTCTCTCAAATGGTTAGCACAGAAGTACTTGTCAAAAGAGATCCAGAAAGGTCATGGAAGCTCTGGTCACGATTCGATCGAAGACGCTCGTAGTACTCTCGAGCTCGTCAAGCAGAAATGCGAAAAGGGTGAACTTTGGGGCACCAGCGAAGCCAACGGGGAATCCATTTTCAAGCGCCTTGGTCGATCTCAGAAGCCGAAGAACCAGGCAATGAGTGCCGCTGAGGAGTACCGGACGGGCGCTGTCGTCGACTGGGGCGAGCCTAAACGTGGCTTCGGAGCGGCCGCAGACATGTGCTTTGGCTGTAAAGATGATGATGAGGTCGTCGAAAACGTCCTCAAGGCGGTCAACGGCGTGCCGGATGCGACGAGGCCGGTCTCCAGCAAGGGTGTGGACTTCGTCTGGGCGCGCATGCGGGAACTAGAGGCCATCCGCGGATGGTGGACCAGGACGAAGACCAAGGACAATGCGGAACTGCTTGCCAATGCGCTGAGCAGCGGTAACGGTGACCCAAAGCCGGCTCCAGCAAAGACTGACAACGAAACCCCCGTTGCGGACGAAGGTGCTGTCAAGCGTGAGGCCGCCGGCACGGTCGACGACTCCAAGGACCAGGCCGCCGCAGCAAATACTACTGTTACTGAAGAGAACCTCACGGCTGCGGACACTGCTCCAGTCGGGCCCAGCTCTGCCGAACTCGCTGCCGCTGTTCGTAAGACAACTCAGCATCTCAAAGCGATATACGACGGCCTCCCTCCGTGCACGGCATTCATAATCTATAGTGGCAGTGGCGACCCGCGTGAGGTGACGCGCCTGCAGGAGATGAAGAAGCAATTCCACAAAGAGTACAAGGTCAAGAATTGGAATGATATTAGTGTGAAGTGGACGGACACGGAGGATCAGGCCCTGCGTATGGCTTGCAAGAGGGCGAGGGAGGGTGTTGGTTTTGTGGTTGTTAAGTAAAGTCAGGCGAAGAATTTTGGCTGGAAGAAGACAAACTCATGCTTGCCAGTCAAATATGGGTGGAAGAGATTCAAGGAAAGCTAGGAAAGAGTTTGCTTAAGACGAAGCACGGACTTTGGTGTAATAGTGTGCCTTGCTTTGTGGGAGTACCTGGAGCAAAATTTTAGTAACAGCAGCGCTATAGCTGTAGGAAGTAGGAGCGTGTTTGGTGTACGAGAAATGCGCGACTTTAGTATAGCGTGGCATGACGAGCACGAAACAAATTCTTCCTGGATGTGCGATCAGAAGAGTCTTGCTCCTGACCATTCATGCCCTCGGCCATACCGCATGTCTACCCTGCAACAGAATCCCATTCTAGTTCGCAGTGACGCAACACGTTAGAGACCCGCGGCTGCTGTTAATGGACTCTGGAGTTGTGCAACCTTCTGCTTCTCGAATTAAAAAAAAAGGTATCGTTCGTGACTCGGTTGTATAGAATCTGTCGTTGCTGCTACCGCTAGAGCAATTTATGAAAGCTACCAATGACTATAATGCGGCCTAAAATAGCACGAGGTGATGTGCTTGTAGTCCTGTCCGAGGAAAACACGCGCTCATGTCTCAAGTTGATGCGATGCCACGGGAGTAGTCGGTAACGCGCTACGTGGAGGCGTAGATGAACTTATAGTAATGAGTACGTCTACGAAATGATGGCGAGTTGACTTATTGGAAGTGTGAAGAAAGGTAAACACTGCAGCTATTTTGTAGGGTGTAGCATTAGCATAGGAGATGCACAAATAGACCATCTGTCTAAAAGATTTGAGGAGACATTTGATGGGTTAGTTTATAATTTCGAAACTATATGGAGAGAAAGACAGCTTTGATATAAACGTTAGATGGGAATCTCTCACTACGCACAAAACCCTTCATGTATATACATAGTACGCCAAATTTTATAATTTGAAGCAATTTCACCTGCGAAGAGAAGCAGCAGGCGCCGAAGTGAATTAAAACAGAACAATCTCTCTTTCTAACGAACGCTCAAACATCTACCTTGCAGAACAAGGACGAACAAAATTATCTACCGTGAAGCCCGTAGGCTTCACCGACCCATCCACAATACCTCGCTCAATCCCGACATTGAAACCGAAAAAATAAAACTTTCGCCTGTTCCCTTTCACCACCATGGATATATGTAGTTCTCTCTTTTTCCCCAAGCCAGGTCGCAAACCGTAAAAGCCAAAACGAAAAGACAAGCATTTATTTAGTCGTGTTGTTGGTTGTCCCCAAGCCTAAAAACACCAAGTCCAACCCCAATCCGACCGGTCCAATAATAGAATTTCCTTGCGCTCTCGTCATCATCATGATATTCATGATTGTCTCTTTCTTTTCTTGTCTCGTTTACAATCCAGTCTTACCCAGCATGTTGGCCAGCTCGTCGACGCTCGTGTCCTTCTTCTCGCTGACCTTCTGCGCCTCCGCCTCGTCCGCCTTCTTGACCACATCTTCCTTCACCTCCTCTTCCTCTTCCTCCTCTTCTTCCTCGTCCTCGCTCTCGTCGTCAAGCTCGTCCAGCTCATCGAGGCCGAACTCGTAGCCCTCCTTCAGGCCCTCGACGAACGCGGGGTCGGCCTCCTCCTTGCGCGCTGAGAAAGCGTCCTGCAGGCGCTCGACGCTCTCGTCATCCTCGCTGAATTTGTTGCCGTTGACCTCAAGTCTGCGCAACTTCGGCAGGGCGTGCTCACTTGCATCGGCGAAGCCTTTCAGGCCTGCCGCATTCATGTCGTTGTATTGAATGCGCAAGATTTCCAGCTCCGGGTTCTGTCCCTTGGCCAGCGCCGCACCCAGCAGCAAGCTACCCTTGGCTTGCAAGAAGCAGTCGCTCACGCCCAATTCGCGCAGGTGTGGGAAACCGCCGATGATTTCGGCCAGCGCCCGTGCGCCAGTCTTGGTGAACGTGTTGTCCTGCAGATCGAGGATGCGGATCTGGCTCTGATGCACCAGTCCGTGACGCAGCAGGTGCGTAATGCCCTCCTGCCGGATGCCGTTCTGCACCATCTTGATCTCCTGCAGGCCCGTGTGCTTCGAGTAGGCACGTGCCCAAGCCTCCATCGAGCCGTTCTCCAAGCGGTTGCGGCCGCAGATGACCGTCTCAAGGTATGGCACCTCGGCGCCGCCGTCGCGGGCGGCAGCCTTCTTGTCGGCGAGATCCGAAAGGGCATTGGCAATGAGTGTGCCGGCAGCGGGGCCCAGACCGTTGTTGTTGAGGTAGAGGTGACGAAGCGGAGTGTGCGCGGCGAGGAAGGCAACAAGAGGAGCTTGGGTGTTGAGGCCGAAAGCGTTGTCGGAGAGGTCGACGGTTTCGAGTTTCGGAAGGGCGAGAAGCGCCTTGAGGATATGGTCAAGTGCCTCGGGGATCTCGGAAAGCAGGCGCGAGGTGAAGATGTCGGCAAAGTTGGCGATCTAGTGAGCAAATGTTAGCGTCGCCGCACAAGGCGCCGAAGAGACGGTGGGGTCTTGCAAAAGGGGCAGAGCGGTACCTTGAGGTTTTTCTTGGTCTCCAGCACCTTGGCCAAGGCCTCCGAGGCACCTATTCCGAGTGTGTTGCCAACGAAGACGACCTCCTCGACATCGGAGTTCTCCTTCAGCGCCTGAATGTGCGGCTCGATGTCCTCGGCGGTGGTGAGTTTCAGGCCCTTGCCCTCCAAGCTGAAAACTTTGGGATTCGCCATGGTTGGCTGCAGAGAGTCGGTGTGTTTCGCGGAGTCGCGCGTAAAAAATAAAGGGTTGTTGCTGATGAGCGGCGGAAGAAAGAGTTGTGGAGGGGCACGGTGGGATGTTTTCGTCTGTCTGGTCCCTGCACGACCCTGCAAGCGCCAACGCGAGTGCCTGCATCGGCGCCTGCCCGCGCTGGCTGCCGACCGGGCTTGGCGCCCGGGCTGATGACATGAGCCGCCCATTGATTTCTAAGATCCCGTCTTCCACTGCACCAACAACCCACAACACCTGCACCATGAGTTCAATGCAGACTGGTATGCTGTGCTCGCTGTCGCAGCCATTGCGCGCATCATTAACAATGCTCTGCAGCTCCCGCCACCTCTGCCAACCTCGGCGCTGACCTCAAGTCCACCGGCACTTCCGCCGCCGCCGCAAAGCCAAAGGTGCGTCGATGGCGTGCTGCGACCCTTTTCGCCGCAGAATTCTGACTGAACATTGGACAGCCCTGTTGCGTCTGCAAGGATGAAAAGGCCGCCCGTGACGAGTGCATGCTCTTCTCGACCAGCGACAATGCCCAGGACGCGTGCAAGGACCTGGTTTCCAAATACAAGGCCTGCATGGCGGGATACGGTTTCAACATCTAGCGGCAATTATTCGAGGCATGGAACTGGCGTTAGATACTGGGCATAATTTACATGGCATTAAGATGGCGCAACGAGCTAATCTATTTCCCCTGTACCATTGTATAAGCATAATTGTACAACACATCCTCCACTCAAGACGCTGCAATCCTTAACCAATTTGACGGGTATCTTTTCGGCCTTGGCCTTTTGAAGCTAAGAAAGGGAGCAAGCAGTGCGATCTACTGCGTTTTCTTCCACTCATCCACCTTGACAGCCATCTTGAAGCCTCTGATCAAGTGGAACAAGCACCAGAGGTAGCAGAGGTAGAATCCAGGCGCGCCAATCAGGACGTTGGCCACCACCCAGAGATCCGGCTTGTTCTCTGGCGGAGTTACAAATGCTTCGGCGAAATGCCACACGACCATAGCCGTGTAAAACCCGGCGTGCATCAGCTTCTCAATGATGCTCAGACGGCCGGGTGTGTCATTACGGAAGATTGAGAAAGACGTCGGAGGAAGTCCGAGCAGATACGCCCAGAGCAAGGTGAGTATGAAGTACGGGATTGCCAGCTCGTCTCGCTTGAGGAGCGGATACATTGTCCAGACACCCAGGATGTTGGCCAGCCCAATCCAAGCTCGCGCTGACGGTAGCATTCCGCTACGAGAACCAAGGAGAAGCGTCATGGGCAACAAAGGAAGAAGAACATTCTTCTCGTGAACTTGGTACGAGAACAGAAAGAAGGCCCAAGAAGTAGCGGCAAAGGCCAAAGGAAGAAGCTCCTTTCGCGGTTTGACAAGTAGCGCCAGGCATGGACCGAGAATGTGGGCCCCGGTCAGGGTCAACGCACCAAGCTGCAGCTTCTCAGTGGGATAGTGGTGTAGCTTGTGGAAGGTGTGTACGAAGCACCATACGTTAGCTACCTTGTCCTCGAACAAACCGCGGGCGAACGGGAAGACGCGGTGGATGGATTGAGCCAGGACCACAATGATCGGAAAGTACCAAGATTTCTCATCAATGGCAGCCGGTAGCTTCGAAAGTAGCGGAGGCGTGGGTAGCTCGTGCACAGGCAGGCCACGGTACCAATCATAGACCGCACCAACGATGAGCGGTGCGTACAGGACTGCAAACGAGACGACCGTGACTAGCGCAATTCCAAGAAAACGCGGAACATTGATCCGGGGAAAGATGCAAACCCCAAGGAGGTAAGCAAATACTGCAGGAGCATAGAACAGTGCCATCTGTTTGAATCCAAGCGCGCCGACGAAAAAGACGCAGCTCCACAGAAAGCGGCCGGCGATCATGCTCGAAATACTTGCCAGAACCAAGCCGAGCATGACGGTGTTGTACTGGAAGTGTCCATGGTCGATAATGATGGATCCGGGCTGCATCAGGATGGCCACCAGAGCAAGGGAATATTCCCAGGTATTGACCTCCTGCAAGCGAGAGTAGCGGCGGAGGCAGATAACGACGGCCGGGATGTAAACGAGGTATTCAGATACGAAGACGGTGGCACGCATAAAGATTTTTAGCATGGGATCATCGAGGCCGCGGGAGGTGTGAAGAGCGAACCACGCCGGCTCGATATAGTGACCACTACCAAAATTAGTAAAAACCAAGCCTTCGAATCAGTAGGCTTACATTTTCCCCAAGAGCCAGCTGTGATATGCCGTCAACGGCGGGTAGTCAAGTCCCCACCATTCTAGGTCGTGGAAATACCATTGGGTCATGGGAAGGTTGATGGTAATTTCCAACCAGTGCCTCTGAGCCTCGAAGTCTCCGTGCATTGGCGGTTTTTCGAAGCCTGCAGGCCATCAACATGCTATCAACCGCGCAAAAAAGACTGACACGAACCGGAATAGCCCCAAAAGGCTGTCGCCCACCGGAACAAACCCACAACGATCAGAATCAGCGGCAAGAGCACCCATTGTGAGACTGCACCCTTGGCCGGCCAGAGGAAAGCGACGAGCGGGAAGGCGGGCCTGGCAACATTGTCCTGAGGATCGACCACGACGGTGCCATGGCGGGGATTGGCCAGGACTCCGGAGTCGCCCTTCTTCTTCTTGCGGGGCTTGTGGTTTGGGGTTGACATGATAAAGACGAGGTGATCAGTCGAGGGGCATCGCACGGAGCCGCGGGCAGCGAACGCGTTAAGGTGGCCGGAGACGCGGTCGGCGGCTCGGGACTTCTGCGGAAGCGCGGCGAGTCAGCGAGGCGCAGAGCTTTCTTACCGCCTTCCGTTGTGGCTTAGCGTCAGAAATAATTTTGCGGTCGCGCGCTGATAAAGCTCGACGCGCGACCCAGCGACCAATTTTTTTCCTCCAGCAAATTCTTTTCCTCACACCAACAACTCCTTGCTCCAGAGCGCAAGGTATCCTTTGCGGGCAATTTTCGATCAGTGATCGGAATCTTACAGTGGGCTTTTGATCCAAACACATCTCGGTTCGTGGGCTATTACTTCCTTGTGGGCTTATCGCGCTTGTTAGAGTGTGCGCGCAAGAGAGGAAACTCTCTGTGGGCTGTTGACTTCAGTGGGCTTCTGATCCGCGACCATGTCTCGGCCCTTGCGGGAACGCGCCGCCTTGACAGTCGCTCTGTGGGCTTGAGGGTTCTATCCGCCACGCGCGGACTCGAGGGCTGTGGGCTTTGCACACGTTTGAGAGATCCTGATGAAAAGCTATTCCCATTGGGCCACTGTCGGTTCAAAATCTCTCAGAGGGCTGTCGGCTTGAGCGCGTTCGCTTGCGTGCTTTTACTCTTTTGCTCATTTCTAGCGCACGCCTCCCGCTAACATATCTCCCTCCAGACTAAACATCCATCGAAATGGCCAAGGCTAAGGCTGTGAAGCCCACCAAGGGCGCCGTCGCTGAGACCCCCAAGAAGACCGCCGTCAAGGAGGGCCGCGTCACCAAGCCGTCTCAGACCCCCAAGGCGAAGGCTAAGGAGACTGCCAAGGCCGCCGCCTCGAAGTCCGACAAGAAGAGCAAGAAGACGAAGAAGGAGCCTACGCCTGAGCCCGAGTCCGACAGCGACGAGGAGATGACCAGCGGCAGCTCCGACTCCAGCGACAGCGAGTCCGACTCCGAGCCCGAGACCAAGCCGGCCCCTAAGGCCAAGGGCGCTGCCGCCAAGAAGCAGGAGTCCTCTGACTCTTCCAGCGAGAGCGACAGCAGTGACAGCGACAGCGACAGCGAAGAGGCTGCTGCTCCCGTCAAGGCCAACGGCACTGCCAAGAAGGCGGCTGCCAAGGACGACTCCAGCAGCGAGTCGGAGTCTGACAGTGACTCTGACTCTGAGTCTTCTGACGAGGCTCCTGCCCCTAAGAAGGCCGCTGCTAAGGCTGAGTCTGAGAGCGACAGCGACTCCGACTCTGACTCCGACTCTGAGGAGGAGGCCCCCAAGGCCAAGAAGGCCTCCAAGGCCGAGGAGTCTGTAAGTTGCACCCACATCCTGGTCATTTACTCTGATGTACTAACATTCATGCAGGACTCTTCGGACTCTGACTCGTCTGACTCCGATTCTGACAGTGATGAGGAGGGCTCTGAGGAGACCAGCTCCTCCGAGGAGGCGCCTTCTAAGAAGCGCAAGGCTGAGGCTGAGACTGCCTCTGCCACCAAGAAGAGCAAGACTGAGGATGGCCCTGGCTCTGCCAACCTGTTCGTTGGCAACCTGAGCTGGAACGTTGATGAGGACTGGCTCCGCCGTGAGTTCGAGGAGTTCGAGCCTAAGGCTGTCCGCATCGTCACCGACCGCGCCACTGGCAGGTCCAAGGGGTAAGCAATTCCATCCCGCTTTGTAAATCCTCCCTGATACTTACCAAGCCGCCGCCGTGGTGGTCGCAGATTCGGTTATGTTGAATTCGAGAGTGTTGAGGCTGCTACCGCTGCTCTCAACGCTAAGAAGGGCGCTGACCTCGATGGCCGCCCGCTCAACCTTGACTTCAGCACTCCTCGCCCTGAAGGCCAGAACCCCAGGGACCGCGCCAACGACCGCGCCCAGAGGCACGGTGATACTCCCAGCAGGCCCTCCGACACCATCTTCGTCGGCAACCTGTCCTTCAACGCTACCCCCGACAGCGTCACCGAGCTCTTCCAGGAGTACGGCACCATCACCCGTGTCTCCCTCCCCACAAAGCCTGAGGATGGCATGCCTAAGGGCTTCGGTTACGTTGGCTTCAGCTCCGTCGACGAGGCGAAGAGTGCTTTCGATGCTCTCCAGGGTGCCGACCTTGATGGTCGCCCTGTCCGCCTGGACTTCGCTGCTCCTCGCGACAACAACAACGGCGGTGGCCGCGGCGGCTTCGGCGGTCGTGGCGGTGGCCGTGGTGGTGGCCGTGGTGGTTTCGGTGGCCGCGGTGGCGGTCGTGGCGGTGGTCGTGGTGATTTCGGCGGCCGTGGTGGTGGTCGCGGCGGCCGCGGTGGCTCGACCAACCGTGGCGGTTTCGGCGACTTCAAGGGCAAGAAGATCTCTTTCGACTAAGCGACTCGTCTTTCCTTCTGTGAAGAACGCCATGAACGGTAAGTTTTGTATGGTTACTGGATAGGGACAAGGTTTGGTTTCACGGTCGGGATCGGGTCAACAAAAAAAAGTATTGCTTTGATATTGTCGGGATTCATGTTTGATTAAGCACACAGCGTGCTTGACATTTTATCTCTTTAGCTCTATACACCAGACAGTGGGTACAGGCGGTCGTAGTTTTCGAGAACAGGCTTAATACAGGTTCTTTTTATCCGAGAATGCTTTTGCAGTCAAGCTCAGTGATCTCCGCCAGTGCTCGGCATTATGAAATATTCGCGGTAAAAGTCTGACAGCCAATCCCGAATTGAGGAATGAACAACCTTCAGGACGCATGACTTTGGCAAGATTTCTGCTGTTTGTGGCGTGAGAGCAAGGCTGGGAGTCCTGAGATTGCGCACAGACCAGGCAAAAAAGTTCGGATAAGAACGAAGCCATAGCTCCTCCGCTCTGCCCGCCGCACACCTCAGGTCCCAGCCCATTCTACCCAAACCGCCCAAGATGCCGAAGCGAAAGGCTGAAGGCCCCGCCGTCGCCAACGGCAAGTCCAAGAAACGCGCCCTCTCCGACGAAGAGGCGCGCTCCAACTTCCGCAAAGGTCTTTTTGACACCAAGGTGCTTGAGGATTATCAGAAGCAATATGCGGAGTCGCAACCGTATGATAACAGCTCGAACAAGATATGCATAAGGCAACAATCCGACTGAGAATGCTATAGATACAAGCACGCCGTGATCCAGAACCTCGTCGACACCAAGCTGCTCCGCAACGTCCGCGACGAGATCCGCCAGCACATCTCCTTCACGCCCAAGGAGACGGATATCTACAAGATTCACCAGTCAGGCGATCTGGCCAACCTGGACGGGCTGGACGACTCATCGTTGGCCAAGCTCCCCTCGCTGCTCCAGCTGCGCGACGCCCTCTACTCGTCCGCCTTCCGCAAGTACATCGCGGCCATTGCAGGCTCGGGCCCGCTGAGTGGCGTGAAGACGGACCTGGCGATCAACGTGTACACGCCGGGCTGCCATCTGCTGTGCCACGACGACGTCATCGGTAGCCGGCGCGTCAGTTACATCCTGTACTTGCTTGACCCGGACCGGGAGTGGAAGCCCGAGTGGGGCGGCGCGCTGCGCCTGTTCCCAACCGAGGACCTGCGGACGGACGGGGGCGCCGAGGTCAAGGTGCCGCTGCCGGACCACACCGTCGTGATTCCGCCCGCCTTCAACCAACTGTCATTCTTTACTGTCCAGCCTGGCGAGAGCTTCCATGACGTTGAGGAGGTGTACAAGCGCGCGGAGGGCGACAACGAGGAGGATGGTGGCCGTGTTCGCATGGCTGTGAGTGGCTGGTTCCATATACCGCAAAAGGGTGAAGATGGTTACGAGGAGGGGTTGGAGGAGAAGCTGGCCGAGCGGAGTTCGCTGCAGCAGCTGGAGAGTGGTGCCAAGGCGGCGCAATTCGACCAGCCCCAGCAGCAGTGGTTCGAATATCCGGCCGATGAAAAGGAGGAGAAGGAGGAGAAGGGCAAGAGCAAGGCGGAAGCAGAGGACGACGAGGACGAAGAGCAAGCACCTCTCACCGAGCAGGAGTTCGAGTTCCTTCTCAAGTTCATGACACCCACATATCTGGCACCGGACACGGTTGAGGACCTCAACACTATGTTCGCCGATGAGTCGTCACTCCGTCTCGCCAATTTCCTGTCCAAGTCCTTCTCCAAGCGTCTGCGCACCTTCCTCGAGGAGCAGGACCGTAAGACGCCAGCCACTATGCCCGCCCCGGCATCGCGCACGCACAACACCGGCGTCGCCCGCCCGCCACACAAGCATCGCTTCCTATTCAGATACCCCACGCGCGATGCTGGCGACAACAAGGACGAAGAGCTTTCGCCGTATGACGAGCTCCTCGACGTCTTCTTCCCTAGTGTCGCCTTCAAGAAGTGGCTCGCTCTCGCCACAGGCCTGACGCTGACGAAGGCAAGCATGCTAGCACGCCGCTTCCGCCGCGGTATGGACTACACGCTTGCGACGTCGTATGATGACGAGCAGCCGCAGCTGGAGGTCACTCTGGGCATCACCCCTAGCAAGGGATGGGGTGATGATGATGAGGAGGGAGCCGACGGCGCCGACGAAGAGGACCAAGACGGGGAGAAGAAGAAGAAGAAGCAGAAGAAGGAGAACGGCGAGAAGAACGGCGCCGCGAAGAAGAGTAGCAAGGAGCAGCCCGAAGATCCCGCTCCCGCGGACGACGACACGCCCGGCGGCTACGAGATGTACATGGCTGCGGATGACGACGACGACGATGACGCTGGCTCGGACGACGGCGTCGAGGTGCCTGCCGGCTCGAAGAACAAGTCTGGCGAGGCCTCCGCCATGACGGGCGCGGGCAAGCGCCGCAAGGCCGACCCCGCCGTGTACCGCGCCAGCGCAGGCGATGATGACGACGGAGTGCTGTTCAGCATGCCCGCCGGCTGGAACTGCATGAGCGTTGTGCTGCGCGACACGGGCGTGCTGCGCTTCGTCAAGTACGTGAGCGAGTCTGCAAAGGGTGATCGGTGGGATGTCTGCGCCGATTTCGGCGTTGAGTTCGATGAGGATGACGAAGAGGATGGTGATGAGATGGAGGAGTAAATGGAGAGACAATAACGTGTAATATGGGGAGGGGGATGTGTTGGAGAATAGTGTCTGAGGCGGAGACTGTGCGCCTCGACGTGGGATCTGTCAGAGATGGCGGAGATGGTGATGGGCTGCGGAATATAACAGCGAACCACTGAAAAGGCATATTTGACATGCAAGATACCCCTGATATGAGGGGCTTTGGATATTAGGGTATTACGGCTCTGCTAAAAAAGTGTTTAGAATACAAAAGTGAAAGTTTCTATATGTTAATCAAACGCCACTCCGATGCTTCCTCTGATCCCGTGCAATCAATTATGTACGCTGCTCGGCAATCATAGTGCAGACTTAGGAAAAATGAAGTGCTTAGTGTTTCTTCTTCACACCTCCCCCTTCATCTCCTCCAAGGTCAGGAAAATCTTCATCACCCGCTCGTACGTCCACATCGTCACCGCACTCGTCGGCGCCGCCTTCAGCAGGCTAACCGTCAAGCCCCGGTACAAGCCCCTCACGCCTTCACGGCGAAGAATGGCCATGACCGTGCCCGCCACGCCCTGGTCGTAGACGGGGATGTTGCGATGCACGTAGCGGGCGCGCGTCGGGCCCTGGACCTGCAGCCGCTTGCGCACCGTGTCGAGCGGGAAGACGGCCGTCTTGGCCACGACGCTGGCGGCCATGCCGGCGACCGCGTCGCCGGAGCCCAGGTGGCCCGAGATCAGGAGCGCGGAGATGGGCTTGAACGTCTCATAGGAGAGGAAGAAGAGGCCCATGTACGGCACGATCTGCGCGACGGCGGCGCCTAGGCCGCGGAAGAAGCCGTGGGGGCCCTCGCTGCGCGCGATGGAGGCGACCGAGGAGAGCAGCGAGGCATAGACGCGGTCGGTGGGGCCTTGGGCGGCGAAGCGCGTGCGGAGGAGGTCGAGCGGGTAGGTTGCCGTCGTGGCGGCTGTGCCGGCGACGGCGCCAGAGGTGAAGGTTATGAAGGCGTCCGGGAGAAGCTTCGCGCTGCGCTTGTCCTGGCCATTTCTCTGCCAATCGGTACTCTCCCCTGGTGCGCGGAGAGAGGAGAGGAAGGTCGAAGTCGTGCGGTAGGCTAGGAACTGCACGGAGCCGTAGCAGAGGTATAGCGCTTCGGCCGGCACGTTGCCCTTCCAGAGACCGGTGACGCCTTCCTCGCGCAGGATGTGCTTCAGCGTGCCCAGCGTGCCTTTGTATATGGGACCGCCGCGCGCGGAGTGATGCGACAGCGGGTCGCTGAGGGAGTGGACTTGAAGCTGGAGGCGGATCTTTATGACGTCGAGCGGTGCGATAACGAATCTACAAGGGAAGAATAGCGTTAGTGTTGGGAAGTCAAAGCGATAGTAGGGCGAAGAGAGAACCGTACCTAGATACGAGGCCGGCAATAGCGCCCGAGCCAACGACCTGCCAGCGGGAGCCCTGCGGAGGAAGTTAGAATGGCTGGCGCATGGATATTTGTTGGGTGAGAGAACGGGGGGACACACCTCATCCTTCAGCTGCTCGACCTTGCCAGACATACATCCAGCGGGACCCGGCAGCTCGCGCTTTGATAACCGGAGTCGCCTAGGTGAAATTCGGGTGTATGGATACAAAAATGAGGTCTGGTGAGAGCAGCGGCGCAGTTGTTGGTGAGCAATCCCAGCGGCGTTGATGTTACGTATTTTGGCGGACGCTTATTCGCGGGTTGCTACTAACTTCCCCGGCCTCCGCGCTCCGGGGCCTTCTCCCCTCGCAAAAAGTGCCGGCCGGCATGGCTCTTGCTCGTCAGTCCCCCGCAGAAACACATGCGTGTTCCTTGCCAGGAACCGGCGAGCGAGTGTCAGTCCACCCGAACCAGACCATCCTTAGCTCCGAACACCCACCACACACAACTCCACAACGCATCATTTTTACTTTTCATCCCCGCTCTCCGGGTTTTAGCTCGAATCTCATCCACCCCGAAGCTTTTTCTTGCACGTCCTCCATCAGAAAGAGCAGCGGATTCAACAGGGAAGATGCTACGTCGGCTATACTCCGAATTCGGTAGACCTCGGCACATTGCTGCAAGGTTGCTGACGCGCAGATGCTGTGTACAACACCACGCGTTTTCGACCAGCATTTTGCGGTTTGAAAATCAGCTCGGTGGTCCTGCTTTCCCTTCAGCTGGAAAGAAGGATATTCATAGCAAGGTCGTCCACCATGTGAGCAGCAACGAGCTGCGGGAAGAAATCGAGGCGGATGCAAACAAGACTGCAACAGGTCATGCACTTCCTTCTTTCTTGGAACGGGACATTGACGCGTTACGGTCCGGCAAGCACGTGGTAGAAGAGGCCATTAGACTTGGAAACCGCCAGAAGCTCCACCGCGTAGAGGCATCCGAAACCGTCGAGTTCGGCGTGCCTGTAGGAAGCTCTGGGTTGACCTATCCGGCCAAGATGGACGCCGTGTTCGCGAGAGACAGCTGCACCTGCCCTATGTGCGTTGATCCATCCAGCAAGCAAAAGCAGTTCCAGACGTCGGATATCCCGGCCAATATCAAAGCCACCTCAACCCTGGATCCCGAGAAGCAGACACTCGAAGTCACCTGGACAAACGACATCCCGGGTTTCCCCAAGGACCATGTTACTCGCTTTGACTTGAAGCCTGCTTCTGTGTCATGTAAAGATTCCGTCTACCACCCCCTTGAGCCGAAGAACCGGCTCGTCTGGGACGGCAAGACCATCGCTGAGAAGAACAAGTGGATATCGTACGACCGCTATATGAAAGACGAACTTGTGCTGCACGAGGCGCTTGAGCAGCTTGGCCGCTATGGCCTCGTCTTCCTAACCGGTGTGCCGGACAGTGAGAAGTCCGTCGAGCACATCGTCAGCCGGATTGGCATCCTCAAGGACACCTTCTACGGCCGCACCTGGGATGTCAAGTCGATCCCGAACGCCAAAAACATCGCCTATACGCATCAGTATCTCGGTCTGCACATGGACCTGATGTACGTGACGAACCCGCCGCACCTGCAGCTGCTGCACTCACTGCGTGCCCGCTCGCCCGGCGGCGAGTCCATCTTCTCCGACTCGTTGCACGCAGCCTTCACGCTCGAGCGTACCGACCGTGCCGCTTTCGACGTGCTGACCAGCACCCCGGTGCCCTTCTACTACAAGAACGACAACCAGTCCTACGCCAAGTGGCGGCCCACCATCGAGCTGGCCGAGCCGCTCGCCGGCCTCTCCCCCAACCCGACCAACACCGTCGTCAGCGCCTCGGCCGACGACCCGGTGCTCGGCACCTCGCTCGCCGGCCGCGAGATCCTCGAGGGCGTGCAGCCGCCCCCGCGCATCAAGTGCATCAACTACTCGCCGCCCTTCCAGGCGCCCTTTGCCCCCACCGCGCTCGCTGACCTCGGCCTTTCCGGCCTCGTCCCCTTCGGCCCCTTGTCTGCCACACAGAAGTTTGCTCCGCTGCACGACGCTCTGCAGAAGTTCGCCAAGCTGGTCGAGAGCCCGGAGGCGCTGTTCGAGCACCGCCTTGAGGAGGGACAGTGCGTGATTTTTGATAACAGGCGCGTGCTTCACGCGCGCCGCGCCTTCGATGCGAGCAAGGGCGAGAGGTGGCTCAAGGGTGCGTATGTCGACGACGACGTGTTCTTCAGCCGGTGGAGAGTCTTGGCTGAGAAGGCGGCGGGGAGGGCGAGTGAGGGTGAGAAGGTTTGGGAGCGCTTGTATGGAAAAGTGTAAAGCTCGGAGTCAATATGGGCTTGTTTCCTCGTTACTAAGGCGATGTCTGGAAAGAGAAAATCAGTTTTAGTCTGTGATGTTGTAAATATTGGATGTTCTCTTTGACGATTTCAGTATTGTTTCGTAGGTGGTGGAAGGCTGATGCGGTATGGATCAAGTCGCAACCTTCTTTTGTATGCCTCGAAATATATGAACAAAAGTCATGGATCAAAGATACTGGGCGCGCTTATCTCATGGTGAGTGAAGAACTCAGTGATGAAACCGTCTGGTAAACCCATTCACGAGCAGCAAGGCTTGCTTCGCAATTCCGAACAGACCTCTGCCAATAGCATATTTTTCGTGAAAGTCACCGCACCAGGAGCGAACAGCGGGCCACCAACCTCCGTAACTAAAGAGTAAGAGTTAACGAGGAAAAGCGACGAGGGCTAAAAGCATCTAGTCCTATCCATGTAGCGGACTTTCCTTCCCCTCCTTACCACCAATTACCAACCGTCGCAACCCAGTCAGACAACGGGTCTCCTCTCACTCGTCCACTCGGCGAGAAATATGCGGCCCTCCCGAAACGGCAGACCGCGCACGGAAGGAAGGAGGATTAGCAACTTCCAACGCAGCAAAGCCGAAGGGCGACGCCCAAACCCCTTTGGGCAACGATGTGGAGTCAGCCTTGCAGGGCACGGGGCCTAGTCTGATTGGTCGGAGCAGGGGTTATTAACATGGGTGAGGGAGGGCGAAGGGCAAAGGGCAACGGGCGTTGCACGCGTGCATGTGTGCGTGTGTGTGGGAGGAGGAAGAGAAAAAAAAAACCGTGGAAGAGGGGGTGGCGACGTATTGGTCGATCGGTGTCTTCGGTCGATTGCCGGGGGAAGGGAAGTATGGAGCTATGTGGGATTGGTTGAATGGATGTGGGATGGGAACAGGGGGGGGGGGGGGGGGGGGGTGGTTGTGGATGAGGAAGTTGCTGCTGCAGGATGTGCTGCGAAAGGTGTGCGTCTGAGGGTGGCGGTGTACGAGGGGAGCCAGAAGGGCGTTGGAAGGGCTGAAGCAACTCTGCATCTTCTTGCTCACATAGATCCTTGGTTCGTCGGTGTTGCTCAAAATCAGTGCACGGCATGAGTTGGCTATGCTGTAGGACATTCATGGACGGACTGATGACTTATGTGGATGAGTTTCAAGAGAGTTGACCGAGGAGACTGGAAAATGCGTGGGTCGTAGTGAAGCACAAGACAACCACTTGGTGTACAAGATCGTCCCCTGTTATTGGTCATTTAGAGGCAGTAGTCGAAGAGTAGCTGCCTGGCAATCTTACCTCCTTGGGATATTCGTCCATTTAGGATGACGATAGGATAGAAATAGAAAATAAAAATAAAATATAGACAAGTATGCCATCTACGTCCTTGCTGTTGAGTACGTTTTCTTGTGTTCCCTTGGGCATTAATACGGATAATGCTGCATGTGCAAAGCTGGAGACACTTCAGTGGGATGGCAAGGGATATAGACTAGGTACGTTATGCATGTCTTGTGAAAGCTGAGCAATATTGATATGTACTGCGCGACTGTGACAGCCTAGGTATCCCTTCCCAACTCCTTACGGGCATAGCGTACGGCTTACAAGGGGCAAAGGTAGGGACAGAGTTTTCCGTCATGGGCAGAGTTGTCCTCAAGCAGTTTCAAAATCCGTCCCCCGGTGCCATCCGAGCGAAAGCAGACACGCAGCCCATGAACTTTGGTCAGGACAACTCGTGCAGGCAATACGCCTTGCAGTAACAAATGTGGGGAGAGTGGGTAAATCAAGGATATCAGTCTGCGCCCTTCGAATACATGTGACAAGAGGGCAATGGCCTGTGCAGGCACCCCTCGCTGGCTCCGTTGGACTGCATGATATGCATGTCCATCTTTCGATTAGTTAATGATCAGTAATAAGAAGTCGCAACGCATCGTCGGCCCGGTCGGGTTCTTGCTTTGCAATGTGGGGACGTTTTCCTGTGCAACCACCAAACCGGGCCGCAAAGGTAAGGGAGGGGTGCGCGTTTGGCTCAGTTCGACATGATTTGCTTTTTGTAGGGTTCAACAAAAAACAAATTAGGATTGCTCTCGCGCGTCCAACGGTCGATCTGGGCCCTGTCGTGTAACCGTCACATGTGTGCTGTTGAACGAAGAAATTTGCGTAATCAATTCTCCGAAATGTGAGACACTTACAACCTTGAACATTTAGAGAACGATATCGATGTGAGAATATCAACTTCTTTTTGAACGAGCGGTGTGGAAAGAAAATGAAATGAGGGGTGGTGACTCTTTGAGACCTGAGAAATTACATGTATAGGAACGAGGCTTTTTGAAAACCACTCTCAGACAAGGAGACCGAATGACATACCGAAACCTTGGGAAATTTGGAATGCAGCAGACCGGTTCAACGGCAACAGCTAAAGTGAGTGATAGATGCTGTCGCATGCATTTTCCGATGTCGGAGTCGCGCGAGCAGTTCCATTCTAGTAACCTCACATATCCCATTCCCAGCTTCTCCTGCGTACCGCTGAGTATGTGAGCAAAACTACTACCTCTGCTAAGGGAAAAAAAGCCAAGCAATGATGGTTGGTTTTACAGCACCGTGATTATGTGCTTCTTTCTTCAACAATGATTTGGAACCTATAAGAGAATGCTGCGAGGAGCTACCCCAGGTTTCCACAATTATACAAGCTGAGAAAGGAGGAAAGACAAAGAGAAAATTCTTCCAGACGTCTCCAGCCCTCTCCAAAACAGCCGCTGAAACAACCGCATATCTTACACAATCTGGTCAAGACAGCCATGACTCAAGAACGCATCTGTCTTAGGCGTCTTCTCTTGCGGTGTCCGTTATGCCGGAGGTAGCGGCCATTGGCGCGCATTCTGCGTCTTGGTGTTAGGGACAGGCCCTCATCCTCCGGCGGCGCGGTGCTGGGGCTTAGAATTCGGCGCTGCCGTTGCCGTTGTGGTGGCCGACGGTGTAGCCGAAAGCGCTGTTGTCTTGCTCGGATGTGTCGACGTCTCCGCTCAAAAGGTTGTTGTTGCTGGCACCCTCTGCACCGGCATAGGCGGCGGAGGCATTCGCACCGCCGGATGCGCTGCTCCCGGCGCCGGCAGCGGCATTGCCCTGTTGCTGGAAGCCGACGGCAGGCTTGTTCTGATTTGCGAGGAGGGTCTCGAGGCGCCAATCAATACCAATAGTTCAGATTATTCTTCGTCATATGCCAGAAAAGGATCGGCAACAAACGAAATGGGGGAGGAAGGGAAGGGGGCAGCTTACTTCGCGGTAGCGCGACAAATAGATTTTCAAGGCTTCGGCGTAGTTCTCGAAGCCAAGCGAGGTCATGGCAAAGAGAATGTCCTCGCCATTGACCGTCTTGCGCTTCTCCTGCTGGCACTTTTCGGAGGCTGGCGGCGGTCAGAAAACTCTCGTCAACCGGGGTTTCGCGGCACGCACCTTCGCTCGTGATGAAGGAGATGAACTCGCTGACGCATTCCTGCATGCATTCCTTGGCTTCTTTGGCGATCTTCGCGTTTTCGGGGAGAGCCATCTTCATGATGCGGGCGACTGGCGCAAAGTTGCGAATGTTAGCGTCGCTGGCAGCACTTTCGGGGCGGCCCTTGGAGGCATTTTGGGGCGGCGACTGCGATGACGGAGGAGATGCAGACGACATGGTTCAGGGCGGGCTCGGACCGTTTTTGAGCGACCGTCTGCTCAAACGCTGATTCGAGGTGTAGGCGTGGAGAGAGCATTCGTCGACGTGCAGCAGCGGGTTTGGGGCGCGCAAATCAGATGAGGGGAGAGGTGCATTTCAGACGTACCATTTGCTATAGGCAGCCATCGGTCCTGCTCCTTGACTTCGAACTCGTAGCCGAGTCCTTGCGCTTGTGTATCCTGAGCTTCTCTGTCCATATGCGGCTCCGAAGATTCGTCAGGCGACTGCGCTCCAGGTTCCACGTCCGACTTCTTCGGCGGGGTGGCCGACATGTTTATTCGGCCAGCTGCAGGCCCCTCGGAGCCTGACAGAGCTCTCTGTGACGTGGACTGCCAGCGAATAGGTCTGCTCAAGCCAGCGCAGAGCTTGGGCGAGCCGGCCGAGTATGCGGCCTCGTTGATGCGCGTCAAGGGCAGCCGGGGCCTGTGCGACTCGAGCCTGGACCGGGCGCTGGGGGAGTCGTGCGCCGTGGATGCCAGGAAGCTTCTGATGCAAGCGCTAATGTAGGATGGTATCGACGTGCAGGCGGAGCAGGGGACGACTTGGGCAGATCCGTCGAGAGTGGTGGCGCGTAGCTGCGCAATTGGCGAGCGCGGCGGGCGTGCGACTCGGGCTGCAGGCGCGCGAACGGAGGCCTGCTGGGTGCTACCGTCAGCCGCGAGGCGCGGCCTGGGACGAGGCGCGGTGCGTTGGACGAGGCGGGCGGGCTGCGAGCTGGCGGCGAGGTACGACGGGTGCGCTGGGGAGGGCGCGGGCGGGAGGAAGCCGTGCCAGCGTGCAGGCGTGGGGTTACGGCAATGGGCGCAGGTGGTTGATGGAGAGAGCGTAGCGGCGTTCGCGGAGAGGGCAGGCACGCTACAGCACAGGCGGCCGGGACCAAGATTGACGGCGACGCGGGAAGGCTCCGCCCGCCGGTCAGCAGCCGCGACAACAACAACAACAAAGACCCTCGCCCGCAGCCCAGGGCCGCATGCCGGACATGGAACAGGGCCCGGTGACGACACACGCCGGCCGCGAGGCTGAGCCCGCGAGTCGTGGCCCCAGCGCCGAAGCCAGCGGCCCCCAGCGGCGCGCTCGTGCTGCGCAGTGCATCCTCCACCGCGGGGTCCGGTCCAGCAGCGCGGCCAAGCCTCGATCTCCCTCGCGCTCAACAATTGACCAATGACCTCGCCCTGCGCGGCGCCAAACGCCCGCGTCGAGCCGTCAACCGCGCGCGACGGCAGCGCCGCCCTGCCCACGCGCACCGCGCCGCCGTGCAGCCCGCGGCCCGGATGCCAGGCGCCTCTGTCTCCGCCCAGGCGCCCGTCGCGGCCGGCGAGACCTCACGTCCAGCCAGCCGCCCGCCTCAGCCGGTCTCTTGAGCACAGGAGAGGGAGCACACAGCATGCAGCCACGGGTCAAGGCCTGCAGGACCAGACTGTCGGGGTCTGGCACACCACCCCCTCCGGCGCGCAGAATGATGTGCTGTCCTCCGACTGCCGTCAGATTACTGTCTTCGATCCGAGCTCGCATGCCGGCCCAAGACCTGTGACGGGCAGAGACAGCAGACCCCCTGGCAGCAGGCTTACTGCTCGACGTGGTCCACAGGAACCCTCGTGCCGCGCCTAGAGCGTCGTGGCTGCGGCGCACGCCCTGCTCTGCGGGCAACCTGCGATCCCATGACGTCGGCGCATCCTTTTGCGGTCTGCCATGCCATTGGCGAGTACCTGAATTGGGCGCGATCTCTGGGTACCCTATGAGCTGCCCGCCCACACTCGCGGAACTGTCTCTGAACGTTAGGCGGCGTTAAGGCGTCGATCCAGCTCTGGCTGCAGCTCCGGCCAACACATCCTGCAGCTGGCATCGGCGCGCGTCAAGCCACGAATGCTCAGCCTTGTACCGACAGCCCTAGGATTTTCCTAACCCATGCCGCCGTGGAACCGACGTCAAGAACGACCGTTGATCGGCTGGACATCACAGCGCTCGCGTGCAGAGATCGGAGACGAGGCGCAGCCGTCTGGAGATTTGCTGACTTCATTGTACAGGCTGCGTGTTCGACTCGTGTGCGCTATGTACAGCTCATCCCCCGCATACAAGCTTTTGCGCTTTGATTCAGCGCACCATCAGATGCTTGCAATAATGCCAGCAAACACCTCATCGTACCCTCGACGCATGACGTTGGCAGAGCAGCCTCGGAGCCTCTGGCTGATCTCAGATTAAGTTCGCTGACAGCGAGTGCAGTTATTGCCGTGAAAAGTTGCCAGTAGAGTGCGCCTTCGCCCATCGGCCGCAGGATTCCGAGGTCAAGGTCTGCTTGACTGCGACTTCGTTCCGAGGGCCGCCACTGCACGTTGAGTGGAGCCGGTGGATGCTGCGTGTTCGATATCATCATCCATCTTTGACTACTGCTGCACGACCTGGATGTTGTTCTTTTTCTGGATAGCGGCGGCGCGTTAGCATGCCATCTGACGTCTCCGGCTCTCCCCAACCTGATGACGTACCTTCCACTTGTCCATCTCCTCCTGCTTCGCCTTGTACTGCTTCAGCAGATCCTCCAAAACTTTCTTGAGACCTTCCGAGTTTGTCTTCAGCGCTGGTACCACATCCTTCACCGTCCGCTCCACCAACACGCCATTAATCATGCGGAAACACTTCCGATCCTCGGGGAGGGGCTCCAGAGTCTCGAGAACAAGCCTAGCGCCACTGATCAGTGCTGCCCACAATGTTTCTTTTGGCTCGGGAGGCAGGAAGCGGTGAGGAGAGTGCGAGGAAGGGGCGGGTTGAGAGGCTACGGGACGCGAAGAAGCGGTGAGATAGCTTGGAGAGGAAGCATGGATGCGTATTCTCGTACTTGTGCTCTTCTGTCTCTTGTTCGACATCGCCGATCTTCTGTGCGAGCTGCTGGAGGATGTTCTTGTAGTTCGAATACTGGATTTGCAGCTCTGCAACAAGCGTCAGCGCGAGACCCGTGGAGCTTTTACATCCGAGCGTCCGACCGTACCTTGCTGCTTCTTCTGCGACATTGGCTGCGCCATTGTGCTGGTGCTTGTGCTGGGGTGCCGTCGTCAAAGTGCGGGAAGGCTCGCGGTGACGGCGGGCGGAGTGCGGGACCCAAAGGCGGGATGAAGCACGGACGGTCCTCTTTCTCGCCGGTCGAATCGCGACACTTCCAATCATCCACCCAAACCCAGCAGCGTCCACCGCCTGCATCCTGCCCTGATCTACTACGCGTTGAAACCCGCGCGGATCACCATACCCAGGCTAACCTCACTGCGCCGCCCAACATGCATCCGCATCTGCACACTAAAGACAACAAAGGTACGCCCAGCCCTTACCCGCCGTTTCCCGTTTCCCCGTGCGATCGACTGACACCACCGCGACACAGCCTGCGAGGAGGTTATGAACGCCCTTGAAGAGTGCCACGCTCGCGGATTCCTCTACAAGGCCGTCGGCATGTGCAACAAGCCCAAGCACGCCGTCAATATGTGCCTCCGCGCCCAGCGGCTCGAGAGAACCAAGGCCAACCGCGAGCAAGCGAAAGTCAAGCGCGAGAAGATTGAGAAGGTCTGGGCTGAGATCGACGCCAACACGTAGACTGAAATAAGGGAATTTGTGTACTGGGTGTAAGATATACGAGTGGAGAATGCATTGTTGGCGTATGGGTATGGGAAGTTTGGGAAAACGTTCACAAGGCAATGGAGTTTCACCTGGAAAACCTGCAGGTATGGAGATGCAAGACAATGGACTCTGATCGACGCAATGGTCAGTCGCTGGTCGAGGATTGAATGGAATGTTCATCATTCTCCACTCCGTCTGTCAATTCTGTGGCATCCTGATCTGGTTCAAGTCGAGTTGCAGGACGACACGAATTACACAAAATCAGGCACCAAAGGCCCTTGGATGACTTCTCACGCATATCAAAAGAAATTATCTCAGGCAGCTTTGCTTATGGTGCTAGGTATTGTCCTCATTCGTACATTTATGCCTGACGATACACAGATTGGAGACTTCTACAAACACGAATGTAATTTCGTACAGGTTCCTCGACGCATATTCGTCCTTCCTACTAAAGTAATGGGTCTCTGCGCGGTGCTCGTGTGAGCCTGTGCTTCCTTCTGTCTTGGAAACCTCGACTTCTATATTCGTTTCCGCGCCTAAGGCTGTGCTCGCCGGTGCTTCACCCAGATAGGGAACTGCAATGAGGCAACCAACTTGGATCCAGCCAAGGGTTGAGTTATATCATATGATGCCGCACACCGACTCAGGCCCGCTTCGGCAGTCTGTTAAGGCTCCGCTACGATCCTTGCTTTGTGCTCTTGCCAAGCCTCCCAAATAGGAAGGTGCCACACCGGACTCCAAAGGTCAAACGAGCCAAGAGATGCGTTTACAAAGGACATTCCTCCTCTAGTTAGGAGCGACCCGCATACAAGCTCAAGGAACTGACCACTGCGCTGTATCGAAGACTTTTCCGCTCTCGTATTGGCCGACCTCTCTAATGCTCGTAAAGGCCGCCAAGTCACGATACCACTAGAAGCCGTGGAAGCATTTATCAGAGTGGTCTTCGCCTGAATGAAGGAGGAGCCAAGAGGCTTGGAATACATGCTACAGTCGGAGGTCAGCGACGTACTTCGTACTGTGTGCATATAAATTCGTCTACACGTTTGTTTATGTTTTGAAACATCGGGACCCACCTCTTCATCCAGCTTTTCGTCAGGTCGTGACATCGGATTCATTTTCAGTCGTCGCCATGAAGGTGTCCACTCTCCTTGCTATCGCCGCGGCTGCGGCCGTTTCTGCGGCTCCGCTCGCCCCGCGTGCCGATGAGGTCGCTGAGCCTGAAAAGTTCCTGCTCAAGCTGAGCGAGACGGAGGAGAGATGGGTTACGGAGGAGGAGAAGTGGGAGCTGAAGAGGGTATGCAATATCTCTTTTGCCAGTTTCGATTTTGAAACCCCCCCCCCCCCCC